TTCAATAATGACGGGAGGTGGTGTCTCAACATCTGCGTTCCATAGTTTCTTCTGCTGTATGGCACCTTCCAGACACCCTCATTACGAGTAGATTAAAAATTTATACTTCGTGCTAGACTAGCCATCTCTTGAAATAAAGGATATTGTTCAGTTTAATGCCCGCTGTGTATCTTTAAATTATTGTGTAGTCATACAGGTTGGTAACTGGAATGATATGCAGAGACACGGGGCATGGACGATACTCCGTATGGCCTTTTTCTGAGAGACATTGTTTATGTTGGTTAATGTTGTGGTTCCCCAAACCAGATGACAATAATTTACATGTGAAGGAAATAGAGAGTTGTATAAAAGGAGTTTCATTTTCACTGGGAGGTCGGAGCGGAACCTGTTAAGAATGCCAACGGCTTTCGAAGTATCCCATGACAGATTTTCCTGAAAAATTACGCCTAGGGTTTGAGTGCTAGGTACTCTTTCAATGGTGGAGGGTCCAAGAACAAGGTTGTAGTCGAAAACCATAGACTTGTATATTCTTCGGTTTGTAGAGCACTGCCTTAGTTTTGGGAATGTTAATAGGGAGTGAATTTACGGAGCTCCATTTGTGAAGCAAGTCAAAAGTATGATTTGCGACTTGCGCGAGCTTTTCCTTATCTCGAGCAGAAAAAAATAAACTACTGTCATCGGCATATATAGCATAAGTTGCCTCCGTACTAATTTTGACAATATCATTGATATATATATATATATATTAAAAAGCAGAGGACCGAGTATACTTGCCTAAAAAACACCGGCAGTTAATGATTGTAGACCTGAACGCTGATTGTCGATGACAACACACTGTTGACGAAATTCTAAATATGAAGCCGTCAAGAGTTACCCCACGAAAGCCGTAAAACTCAAGTTTTCTAGGTAGAGTGAAATGATTAATGCGGTCTAATGCCTTAGAAAAGTCCACAAATATACCGAGAGTAACACTTTTCTTGAAATTATTTCGAGATTATTTCTTTCTGGGTTAGCGAGGCAAGTTCAGTCGAACGTCCCTTTCGAAAGCCATACTGCGAGGGGGTCAGAATAGAGCATTGCTCGCAAAACGAAGGAATTTTGGTGTGGATGAGTTTTTCCAGGCACTTAGAGAAGACGGGTAAAATGGAGATAGGCCTGGAATGGGATTGATCATTCTTGTCGCCACCTTTAAAAATAACCACCACCTTGGCCGTTTGCATTTGACGCGGAGGAATTGCGACATTGTAAATGTGGGATAATACCGGTGCTAATAAGTCCAGAACGTATTTGACAGACCTACTTTGAATATCGTCAATGTCACTCGATTTACTATTTTGGATGGAATTGAATGTATTGAAAACTTCGTATTCGTCAGTAGGGTGAAAAAAGGCACCGCTTTTATTGCGAGTTTCTAGGTAGCTTGTCGACAGAGGGTTATGACTGCTATGAACACTGTTAGCGAAATAGTCGTTAAACCATTTTGCGAGTTTTTGTCCGCGCAATATTCTATCGCCAACGGTAATTTCTAGAATGCTATTGTTTTCGAGAGATCGATTTAGGAGTTGATTTACTATCTTCCGTGTTTTGTCTACACTTGACATTGGCCTCATGAAATGAAGAGTGCAAATGATTTTTCTTTGCTCGCCTAAGCATTTTAGTCGGTCTATTTCTATGTGTCTTGAACTTTTTTTTAAATCACCAGGCTTCCTAGTACTTACGAATTTATGGTATAATTTATCTTTGAGACATTCTTGGGTTACCCACGGCTTACGAGTGTTTTTCTTTTGTTGGATTGGTTTATAGTGAAAACTACCGTTATATGCTTCGAAAAAAAGAGCTAGGAAATTGATATACGCGTCATCAGCGGACAGTATCCAACCACTAACATTTCCATAGACCTGTCGAGGCTGCCGACGTGCCAGTGTCCCAACGGAAAGTTGACAACTCCTAATTATCAGGTTTTCCCATAACGGTCGTCTTTAGAATTTGTAAAGTTCGTCTTGAGAACTCAAACGAAATGAGCACAGTAGCTATACATTCTCCGGGATTTCTGGTCTTATGTATTTCTTTAAGAAATGCCCACATTCGTCCCAACCTTTTCTTGGGGACCGGAAATGGCTCGTACGTCAGCAAAAGTGACCAAGTAATGCGCCTGTCTGGTGGCAAAACAGTCAGTTGGGGGCTGGTTGGTTTTTCATCTGGTACTAAACGCAAAAAAAAAAAAAAAGAAAGACAAAACGAGGTATGGACAACACGCCTAGTGTTGTCTGTGTCTCTCTCTGTCCTTGTATTTTTTTTTTTGCGTTCAGTTTAAGCTATGTTTGGTATCTCTTGTCCTCAATTTTGTTGAGCTCGTGCAATTTACTTTAGATTACTCGATTTCATTGTACAACTGATCGGATAAGAAAGCGATACAAAGGCCGATGGATATTTTACAACGTGCACTAGTTGCCATACTGTGGCGCATCTAATCTGCTTTCAAGATAACTCGGCGGATTGAATAATCTGTCCGAAGTCTAGCACCGGGAGGGGAGGGGGGATTCGATCAACAGCTACAGAAAGCAGCAAAACAGCTTCGATCTCTGGTAGCAGAGACTGCAAGGACCAAAACGTTTTCTCCTCAAAAACACGAGCATCAAGGCGCGCAGCTCTTCTGAGCATTGCTAGACAGGGAGCCGCGGCTTTCAAGGGACGCTACACTCTCAAGGAAAAAGAGTGTAAGAGGGTGTATCCTTACACCCTTTGTCCCATATAATGCACTGCCCAAAACTTTAATTCGACGGTCAGCGCCCTACAGTCGAACAGACGGCCCCACATTTTACGAGGGGCTTGATAGCCGTGTGGTACAACGTATTAAAATGGCTAATGTACGTTTTGCTGACTACAAAAAAAAAAATAATAATAATAATAATCGGGGTTTTTTTGGCCCTACTTTAAAAACTCGATGTTTTCTTTATGTGGTCTTTGATACGGACTTTAGCTATTCAAAAAAAGCTATATCGCACCGTTATCAAGCCCCTCGTAAAATTTGAGGCCGTCCGTTCGACTATAGGGCTCTGTACGTCGAAATGAAGTTTTGGGGTGTATTATGTCGGACAAAGGGTGCAACGATACACCCTCTTAAACCGTTTTTTCTTGAGAGTGTAACGTGTTACAGTTTAGGGAGGAGAGAAGGGAACACCATCCGGAACCCATTGGCGCAAGTAGCCCTGGGGGAAGTGCCTGCGAAACAGGTCAGCGTGCAGCGAGCCTTTTCTGCACTCCAGTTCATTCGTCTCAGAGGGGCCGTCTTTTGCCGCATATGCATTCTTCGGTCAGCTGCCTGACATTCAACTGCGCTTTGACCCACGTCCCGAGGTGCCCCAGCACTAGCTCGTTCGTTCCACACAGCCTTTGCTTTTTATATGTAACACTTTTATAAAATATGCATAGTTTATCGTCAGTTGTTTTCGTAGCATTTGAGTACGAACCGGTTCGAACCGGTTTGAACCTTTATTTTTCCCTCCGGAGTTGAGACGGAGCTGAACCGTTTTCCCTGAACCGGAACGAAAACCGGAACGAAAAACATTTCGGTTCGACACCCTGCTCCCGCGTCCCGCAAGAAATTCTCAAATCTTCAAAATGTCCCGCCATGCCCTACTGTCGTAAAATTCACTCCGCAACTCATGGTGCTGCCGAACAACGGGGCACGGGAAAGCGCGGAGGCCGCTGGTATCGTGTGAAAATGGTACACGCCGTTTTCTATCCAAGCATTGCGGGAAGCGGCCGTCCTTCTTGCAGCAAAACCGAGGCGCATGCTGCGTTGTGCCTCTCCTCTTGGTGGCAAAATATTGTAAGGACAATGGCTCGCCGAAAGTTTCGATAGAAAATACTGTAATTATTTTCAAATCGCTGCGTCAATGCGAAAGGGTTGCCGCAGATTTGTTTTTAGTGCCACGAGGCAAAAAGCCTGCAACTCACAGCGGTCGAGAAAGAACATAATGTTAAAAATGTGTGTAGGACCATGTTGATAAACGGAAGCGTGGACAGGGAACAAGCCGAAATAGATTTTCTGTTTCTGATTTCCATTTGATGCATAAAGTTCTGCTACAATCGATTTTTTTTTTTTCAGCTTTGTCACACTTAATAACACATTTGGCATAAAAGAGTATATCATGGGAGTGTAAATTATTTTCGTCTATTTGTAGCGAACAGCACGTACGGCATCGATCTCTTGGATGAAAACATGCGTCTGTATTTCCACGTGCACCAAGCATGCCTACCTTGTGAACAAAAGGTAAGGGCGCAAACGAGCTGGCGGTGGTTAAACATTTCGACAAAAACCCCGAGACTGGGACAAAAAGGGGGACGGACAAACACAAAGTCTCCTTTGTGTTTGTCCGTCCCCCTTTTTGTCCCAGTCTCGGGGTTTTTGTCGAAATGTTTATGCCTATCTTGGTCGTAATCCGGAACCGAAACCAATTTTCCCCCGATACCGTCTCGACAAATATCCAAAATAATATAAACAAAGCGGAACATTTTATTCAATACTCGTATTATGTTATATTACAACATTATTTTGTGCACTTTGTAGAAGTTAGTGAATTTAATATCACGAAAATTTGAAACACTCATCCACGTGATCTGGCAACCATGGGAACGCTCCGAACGTTCCGAATCTATTTCGAACTTCTCCGATCTGCTTGAGATTCGGCTACTCTTCCGAATCTTTAGATTCGGCTCCGAATGTCCGAATCACTAGAATCAACCACTATCCGACTCCGAGTCGCTGATCTCCGAGCGCGAATAGGGATTTTTGTGTTGCTGTTGTGCGTGCTTAGCTTGCTATACTTCGTTTCACCTTATGTGCGAGCGAAGGCAAAGCTGGAAGCGCGAGCACGAAAGCTCTGTGCCTTCAGGCTTTGCTCGAGCGCACGAGCTGGGCAGAAACGCAAAAAGCGCTGGTCTCGCGCTTCTAGCTTTGGCTTCGCTCGGAGATGAAATGAAACGAAGTATAGCGTTTTTTCTCCTTCGCGTACTTTGTGCGCAGGTTCGTTTCTCCTTCTGTAGAGTGGATGTCATCGGGATACCATTGCGCGGTTCTAGGTTGTACGCACAACTACCGAACGAGCTCTGCAGCGTGCACAGAAGCCTCTAAGGCGAGTGCGGGTGCAATGTTTTGAAGCTTCATCGCTTTCCGGATGAGAAGGAACTCCGTCGTCAGTCGTCGGTAAATCGGGGAGACGTTTGCCCATCGCCGTACTCCCGAGTATGCTCGCGGCATTTCACGGATGGAGTGCGCGCCGAGACCTCCGTCCCGACTGTCGACATGGGCTACAGTCGCGAGGTGCGTACACGCTTCTTCGTGGGCATGGGACCGCAATCGGACTGAGGTTTATTGGCGAGATTTCGGTTGCACGTGAAAGGATACCCTGGTGGTCCAAAGTGTACTTCGGCCTTCCTTTGGAGCGTGCCAGATGACCGTCGTTGCTTTGGCACGCAAATCCCCCACATGTTCTGCCTTGCACGTGACGTGACACAAGGGAAGGATCACCGTGTAGCTCAGTTGTGGCACTCAGCGGAGGAGGCTAGCCCCCCTCAGCCCTGCAGTGGAGTGGAGAAAAAAAAAAAAAAACCCCATCCCCACGTGGTGAATGATGTTGATTGGAGCGAAGCTCTAGTGGTGCTTGTCTGCATAGGCGCTGAGCCGCAGCATGCCGAGCCTTTCGTTCGTTTTCATCCATGTCACGCTGCGGTCAAATGCCCAAATGCGTATATAAGCACGTTCCATACCACACATTCTCTTTCTGACATGGATGAAAACGAACGAAAGGCTCGGCATGCTGCGGCTCACCGTCTACGCAGACAAGCACCACCAGAGCTTCGCCCCAATCAACATCAATCACCACGTGGAGATGCGTTTTATTTATTTTTTCCCCTACACAAGCGCGTGAGCTCACGAGCAGGAGCACCCGATGGCTAACCCCTAAGACGCTTCGCCCCTAAAAAAAAAAGTATTATTTTGACGTGTCAGTGCCCTTCTAAGGCTGCATTGATGGCCCTCACTTCTGTTGGTCTGCAGCATTTGATGCGCATTGCTTTAGATACTTCGTTTACGACGCGCCATGCAACCGTGGATGTCGTTTTCGTAGACAATGTAACGGACGACGAAGTTCAGGTTCTCTCGGATCGTTTAGACTTCTTGCTCGTGTCTTTTTGCACACTTTGTTCTTCGGCCCTTACGTTGCAGTCTCACGTTTTTCGGGAGTGGCATACGTAGGCTAAAAACTTGTTCCCACGGTGGGATCTTCTCCCCATTTCCGTCGCCTCTCGCACAACTGCGTCGTTTATGGCAAGACACGCTAACACTCCTGCTTCCCTCTCTCTCCCCCTCCCTCGCCACACCCCACACAGAAGCAGCCCCGAAACGGCAGTTGCTACCACTTTGGCGTTCTCAAAGGTTCTTCGACTCGCCTACAAAGAAAAAGCGCAGCCCTGGGCAACGATAGATCGGTCCTTCCCCAGACACGGCCAGACCACGCAAGATTCGCTCTATCCGAAAAGTGGGAGGGACAAGCGCGTCGTGCCGAGCAGAGTCTACTGAGAGCCACAGCGGCACGACAGCAGCAAAAGGCGCAGGACCCCGAATATCACGCACGACAGGCATTGTGTAAGTGCAGAAGGCGTCAAGACCCCCGTGTTTGCAAGGAAAAGGAAACGGAAAGCGTCAACGACTGGCCACAGGCAAGGATGTGCGGGAGGACGTGGAGGCGGTAGAATCCAGACGTCGTCGTTCCCTCCGCTGTGGCGACCACCACATTAGAAGCGTGTCTCGGTCTCAGTTTCTCGCCAAAGAACATATTTTGTAAAAGCACACCTACAACTATACTACTAAAAGCGGAGCTCGTAAAGTAATTACCCTAAAGCACTTCTTGCGACCATGCAACAGCTGCCACTGTTGGCGGTTGATCGCAATCCACTTTGCGTGGTCATTCGCAATTTTTTACGGCGAAGCTGTTAAGGGCCAGTTCCCCACTATCGTGTCCGCGGACAAGCGGCGTGTCGACGCATAACTTGAGCCAGTTCACCGTCGCCCTCACTCACGTACGACGAGGAGAGTCGCCCGTTGTGTTCTTTGCCGTCTCTCCATCAACGCTGTCGGCAATGGAGGCTTATCGGTCCATTGTACCGTCGCGCAGCTTCACGTTCTTCCCCCGCGTCAGCGGCCACCTGCGTTTGTGACATCGAGCACGCCCGTGATTGGCACGGCCCTACTAGACTGAAACGTCATCGTCTCACCTTCTAATCGTGTGGATCCTGTGTCCCGTGACGTCGAGATCGCTCTAGTTCCTTATCGGTTGCCCTTTGGACTCGCGATGGGTCGGCCGCGTCGTCTTCGTTCGGAGCAAGAAGAGGAGGAGCGCAAGGAGCGGCGACGTGCGCAGCAGCGCGAATGGCTGCGCAACAAACGCCGCAGAGCCGCTATCGCCTCGAGTTCCACTGCGTCTAGTAGTTCCGAATCTCTCGCGAGAGAAGAGAGGATTGCCCGCCTGGAACGCCGCCGAGAACAGAACCGGGAGTGTAAACGGCGCCGGCGGGCCAATGCCACGGACGAGGATCGTGCCAGGGAAGCCGAGCGCAAGCGCCAGGCCCGGCGACGACAGGTCGCCACGCCGGCTCAACAGTTCCCAGGTGCGACGGCCAGGTTCTGGAGGGAGTTCATGGAGGACCCGTTCGGCGTCACGTGCGACAGAGTACAGCTTCATTGGTCTTCCATTTTCAGCAGAGTGGAAAGGCTGAAAGTTCATTTTATTTGTTTTCAGGGGGACTTTGGCCCGGATCAGTTGCAGATGGCCCCAAGGAGGACCAGCGGGGAAGAGGAGAACAATGGTATGGACCCTCTTCTCTTACCGGCTGCTGCCTGGTACGAGGTTCTGGCGAGAAACATTTCCCGTTCCAACTTGTCTGGCTCAAGTTGAGCCTTTTAAGGATTCCCGCGACATCCTCACCTGTGTAGTTGACAAAAGCTTGTGCACCGAGAAACTGGGGGAGACGAGAGCTGCTGGGGACGTCAGAATACCGAGCTCTGGTTGGAACGATCGGTAGATTTGGAGCTAGCTTGCCTTTGCCTCCACTGCACTCGTCGAACGCGTCAGAACGCCAGCGTGCAGCACTTGTCTCTCTCTCATTCGACGAGGGCAGTGGAGACAAAAGGGCTTTGGGTATACCCAATAACCATCAAAAGCGGAGCCCTGAATTCTGACTTCTTCGTGCGGTCTCGTCCGCTCCTCCCTCCGTTTCTCGGCTTACAAGTCTGCTCAGGCTGACATCCGACAACAAAAATGGCAGATTGACGTCCTGGGAATGCCTCCTGTTCCGACTGAACTAAACCTCAGAAATTTGTCCTCCGTCTGCGTGTCCCTCTGTGCCTGTCGTCGCATTTTGAAGGCGGAGCGACACCATTGGTGCGGTGCGGATTCCGTGTCGTCTGCATCGCATGGAAGGTAGCAAAATGATTTGTTGGCCTAGTTGGTTAAACATTACGAAAATTGTCTTTTGCGCTTTTTTAATTTTCGTAATCGCATGGAAGGGACCGCACGACACTCTTTTCAAGTGCAACCAAAAGGGTTAAGACGTGAAGCGTAAACATCTGGCCAGTGCTTCGCAGTCCACCAAAGCTGACGCCAAATTTACAGAATGCAAGCCCACGCTTTGTCACGTTGGCAAGCCGCAGCAAGACGCGTCGACTTGGGGGGCAGTTCCGCGTCCGTCAAAGCTCGCCGCGGCCGACGTGCGCCCGAAGCGGTTTAAAAGCTATCCGTCGGGAAGTGCGTTCCATGTCTCCGTGGACCGGGGTTTGAGAGCAATTTGGTTCGTACGCAAAATGATTGTAAAGTGCTGGCCAAACGAGCTTACATCCAACGGAGAAGCTCTGTAAAGTACCGCCGGTTCTGAATCTGAAAAAGCCGAAATGTCGTAGAAGTGGCTGCGCACAGTGAAACCGTATGAGGGGTGACAACTTTCGCCTTCAATCTTTTCATTCAATTCTTCTACACTTGAACAGCTTGCAATCGCTGTACGTACTTCCACCAAATATTAAAAAAATATATTTTGCATTGACCCCTTCTTTAAACGATTCCTTTGGAAACGAAACCCAGCCACTGGGAAACATCTTTTGGCAAAAAACTGTCGTCAAAACCCCAATCCATTTTTTTTTTTTTTGCTTTGGTGGCGTAATGTGAAATCAATGCATTATCAAACTGTTTAAACTAACCTTTTTTTGAGAGAGAGAGAGAGAGAGAGAGAGAGAGGCTGTAATTATATAGCCATTGGGTGTTGCCTTAGCCCACCATTTTTTGCTTTAACTTGAAGGTTTTTTCTTTTTCGTAATTTGCAAGGTTTTGACATGGAGGCTTCTGAAAAGAACTCTGGAAATGACAGTTTTGTGGGCCTCTGTCAGGCGAGATGCAGGCTGGTTCTAGCAGCAACTTGTTTACTCTATCATTATATATATATTTTGTTCATGCATGATTCATCATGTTTTGTCTCAGGTGTGCAGGATGAAGTGGAAGAAAGCATACTGCCGGACGATGGACCAGGCAAGTTTTCCTTTTGTTGTCTTTGGCCCCTGTGGCCGTGTGGCGTTACTGGTTAGGGAAGGTTCTGTGCCCTGGACTCTGGAAGACTTCATCACTTATGCAGAGCTTCTGAGAATACCCGTAAACGCATAGGCACTTTAGTGTCAATGGGACCATTTCACTAAGAATGGTCGCAGCCCACTTTATTATTCCTGAAAGACTTTTTGGATGAAGTGCATGACTTGCACGAGGTGTCTAACACCCGTGCTACACGGGCAACTCGAATGCCATTTACAACGTATGACATTTGAGCGTGTGGCCAATTGGCGCGCGACTCTCTGGGCGTGGCGCATTCCACGCACGACAGATTGCGAGCTGATTGGCCGATCACACAAATGTCATTCGTTGTAAATGGCATTGGAGTTGCCCGTGTGGCACGGGTATAAGAAACCTAACCTTTGATTAGTAAAAAAACATTCTTGAGGCGTGCTACGCAAAGATAGCTGCTTTTCATCGATATGGGTGGCAGGCAGTATTGGGAAGTACTTTAAGCACATTGTACTTAAAGCGGTATGGGAAGCAAATTTCAGGGCTCATCTCACTGCTTCAAGCTGGAGCAGATTGAAGGAGGACTTTGCAAACACCAATATTTCCTAGAAAGAAGCGAGAAAACAGTTTGAACCGAATAAAATGCTTTCTAGGAACACCTAATAATAAAAAAGTAAAATTAAAAAAAATATTATTAAGCGAAACCAAAAAATAAATTTTGGAAAGATTTATTAAAATTTTCCTTAGCAAGAGTGATTGAGCCATTTCTTGAAAGTTACCAACATAGATCAGCAATGGCGAGAGATTTTCATCAGTTTTTGCGGTAGTACCTTACTTTATATTTTAATGTTTATGAGACCTTTGTCAACTTAGCCTATCGTTGACTGCCCATGTGGCAAGAGCCATGCTCTTGGTCAGACTAAATGCTCTAGTGGGGTTACTGTAACGGTTCCCCTGCAGCCACGTGACTGCTAATGGGCAACTGGCAGCCACAGGTCACGTGACTTCTCGGGGGTCACGTGACCTCACAATTACGCCGCTCAGGCCGGAGACGCGCGCCTAAGAGCTGCGCTCTAAAACAATGTTTTCCCAAAATTAGTATTCTTTTTTTTTTTTAAGTTTTCCCCTAACTATGTGTCTGAAGCTTGAATGTAATTTTGTGATGTGATCAGATGAGCAAGAGCAGTGCCACAACGGGAAGTATGCTCACTTGTAGAGATTACTTGGGCCTGGCCGCAATACCGAAGCGCCGTGGTAAAGCAAGTTTCAGCAGAGTTGGCCACCTTGGTTTCAGTTTCGGGTGTTCGTTTCAGGCGGCCTTTCTGGCAATGCAATGTCCATTTGAAATCATCCAAATGCCCAGCTCTGGCGAGGACGACATTATCGCCTGGGAGAACTGCCATGAACTCGATTGCTACGAAGCTCCATCGTTGCTAAACGTTGGCTACTTTCAAAGTGGTGCACAATGAAAAAAAGAAAAACACCGCGGCCTTTTTCGTGGTTTCGGGGATGTGGGAAGGGGCTGACGTCCAGGAAGTTACGTTTGAACTACGACGGTGTCATCGAGAGCCACGTAAATACTTCACGCCGAGAGCGTGACCGCTTCAGGAACTGTTTTCTCACGAGCAAATATGCGAACCGCTGGACCACGAGACATTCGCAACTCAATGCTGACGTGACGCCCTGCAGAGGAAGATTGGACCGGCGTTGAGTAGCTCCCATTAACTGCTCTCGACGTGTGTTGGCACACCGTGGTGTTGGACAAAAAGAGGCCTGCTAAAAGAGTGTCCGTACCCAGGTTGCAAAGGCAGTTCATACCGTGTTCACTCGAGCTTTGAACGATCAAAGAAGGGAAAGTGTGGGTCCCTTTTTGACGAGAGCAGTGGCCACCGCTGCCTGTGAGAAGGTGGGTACGACGAAAGAAAGAGACGGGCCTTCTTATTTAAAGAGGTCAGGGCTCTGACTATTCGTACGGCAAGGGTCCACAAAGGTCACATCGTGGGCAGATGGCCTTGGCCAGGATCGTTGGAGCAAAGTTGCGTCGGAGTGCCCTGCTAGGCCTAGCGCTCCCGGCTAGTCCTTGGCGGTCGCTTGGTCAATGGGATGGTCGCCGTTGTAGCTTTTGCTGGGTATCCGTGGTTCCGGCATTTGTTTCCGCAGTGTTCACTTTCAGGAACTAGCTTCTTTTCTACGCGCCGGAGAAGGTTCGGCGCGTTGAACATTCTAACCTCGAATAAGCAACAGGGTTCTGGAATTCACCAGAACGCAACATTACAGAAACAATAAAAAAAGCTGTATCCGCGGCCAGGCATCGAACCTCGGCTACTTGCGTGGAAGATGAGCGCGGTAACCGTTGGACCACGGGCGCGCTGCCTAGTTGGCTAGCTGCGCACGCGGTAATGTTATGTTTTGTTTTTCTTTTGCCTCGTAGGAAACAATGGCTTCCTTCGGTTATGTGGCCTAAGACAAACTTGATACTTTTTGGGGGCCAGGAGTCGTCGGGTGCCAAGACGGAGGTCACATTGTTGCTTTTCGTAGTACACAACTGTGAGGCAATGTCCTGTCTCCATGTAAAAGTTAACAACAAAAAAAAGGCGTCCCCTGCTTTTTTATCTGTTCGCATTCTGCAAAACTGTGGATTTGTCTGCCTGTTCCCTTTTTTTCTTAGAAAGTAAGCTGTTCTTCGGGGGCTAAACGAGAACACTTGGTTTTACAAATATACAAACAAACAAAAAGCGCACGAGCGCTGAGCAAAGTGCGGACGTGAGTTTTAAATATAAACACCGCAGTGCGAACGATAATAAAATATTTCGTAAATGAGCTTTTCTCCGCATTTGTCGATTTTGCAGTTAGCATTTCACTGGCGACCTTCTCTCCGGTGAGCTTTTCTTCGCCGCCCGTTCTCCGGTGAGATTGTTTGTCCGCCGCTCAACAGTAACGGCCGACCAAGGGCTCGTCGCAGCCAAGACAGTGCAATCGACCAACACCAGAATAAAAGGAGTGCGGGTTCTCGTCGAATACATTTGCCTCTATTTCATAAAATACTGAATCGAGAGTGTGTTGGTTCGGGTCAAACAAAGAATCTTCAGCGCGACTTTCACAACTTCCAAATAGTAACGTGTCACGCCTACTTCCAAAAAGCTTGTTCCGTTTTTAGCTTCGCTGCATTTTTTTCGCAATGTTCGTTTTATTCGGATAGAAATCCGCCTCCACAAGCTGATCTGCAAAGCGAATGACGAAATTAAAACAAAATCGACAAACTCGCGTATGTTTCTTCCACATTTAAAATAAGTAAACATTTTAAATGCATCTCTGCAGAATATTTGAAATCGCCAGATCCAATCACCTATCCTATTTCGAACAGAAAGAAGTGGTAAGACAGTATCCACTCTTCGGTAACTTCTGTCTGCCCGCATTTGCTGACTTCAGGCCTCAAGCAAGGACCGCTCAAAGCCTGAAATCTTTCACTCCCATTTTCTTGACCCAAAATGCCAACAAAGAACGGGACATCCTCCCAAGGACGCGCTCAGGCGATTGAAAACTGATGACTCACCCACCCGCTAAATATCTCCGCCGCCAAACAAAAAGAGAAAAGAAAAACAAGAAACTTCTTACTTGCATTTGTGCGACCCCAAAACACCAACAAAGAATGGAACGTTCTCCCAAGGACGCGCTTGGGCGATGTACAACCTATTGCTCACTATCGCGATAACCCGCAAAATATCTTTGCCCCCCCCCCCCCAAAAAAAACAAGAAAAAAAAAAAGTCTGTTTTGAGAGGCACTCTTCCTCAAAACCCCGACTTTCAACCCGACGTTCCGGGGTGCAAGAACACATTGCACAATTTCAAGAGCGAGCATTGCGGACACACTCGTAGATGGCACCACCTGACAGCTGGGTTTTTTGACGTTTTGATAGGCTACAAACTTGGTTAAAATTTATTACAATGAGAATCTCTGGAAAAATGATCTTGTAAGAGATATATCCAAAAAGTCCTGGTCTCGAATATTGTCGAGCCTAAATTTGTATTTAGGCCCCGGTTTATTTTTCAATATTTATGAAGCGCGGAATGAGAAAAAAAGGCTTTTTCAATCATCTTTAAGTTCCCATAAAACATTGTAAGCTTAAAAATAAAAAAATGTAGCGCCTCAATATTACTCAGTTTTTTATTATGTTTCGAATAAAACCAATCCCAAGTCAATCCGTCTGGTGGTTGTTGAGAAAAAATATTAAGAAGTTGCCATTGGAATTGCATAGGGCTTGAGAGGTGCGGTATCCCTTTAACAGCAGTTCACCGAGCCTCTTGGCATCTCTCTTTGCAGGCTGGGGTGGATCCAGTGGTGAGAGTACCATTTCAGCCAACACCATCAAGACAGGTTCGTTGCTGCACGAGCACTTTGCACACTCTGTGGCAGCTCATGTCGGGTGAAAGCGTGGCGTGAAAAGGGCTGCCAACATTAGAGGTTCATGCGATCAAACAGGACCCAAATAGGACGGACTGTTGCGCCCACATGTAGGCCTCTCTTCATCGGCCTGGGAAACGGGAAGTAATTCTGAGAAGTTCCTCGTCCTACGAGAAGCGATCCGGTGCGTTGGTGGCTTTGATTTCTGCACTTGCATGGCTCCAGTTTGCTAGCTCAAATTTTTTACGATTGGACCCTATTATAGTTTGAGAATATCTATATTCATTTACGCTCGGATGGAAAACCGCTAGTCACTGTTTCTAGAAGGGTGAGGATTCACACAAATTGTGTCTCCCAATAGCTTAACGCTTTGAGAGCTGAATTTTTTTATAGGGCTTTGTAAAAACACTTGGACATTAATTAGTACTTGCAGTCCTTGGTCACTGAGTTTTGAAGAAACAAGTCTTTACCTTATGCTCGAAGGATAAATATTTCAACGGATGCGTGTGTGTCATAGTTAGTGTCCCATGTTTGCATGTCATACAGTAGGCTCGCAATAATTCAAACTTTGCTATTTCATACTCCTAGTTAATTAAAAAAAAAAATGGTGTTCCCAGTATGTTTTTGATGTGTTCATAAGGTGCTTTAAATGGCATCTACGGGTGTTGCTTCTCCTTAGTGCACCGGTGCTCGGGGAGAAGCCCACTCAGCGGGGCTCAAGCCAGGCACCAGGAGCTATGGAAACGGGCACCGTGCGGAAATTTCCGTGGCAACTTGCGTGGACGCTGGGACGTGGTGCCCTTGCATAGGTCCCAGTCGCAGCGTCGGTGGAAGTTGCTATGAAAACTGCCACGTGGTGCCCGTTTTTATCGCTCGTGCATCCCCTGCTTAAAGGGACCATGAAACGATTCTGAAATCAAATTCCATACACCGCACGTCGTAAAAGCTGCGAAAAAAAACAAAAATAGGGAGCCAAAAAAAAATTATTCGCTATAGAACTTTTAATAGAAAACTGGACTCTTTTGCGCCTTCTTTCTTTCGAAAGCTCTCTGCCTTTTCACTGCGATGCATCCGCGGAAACGCAGCACGTCGGCCGAATCCACGTCGCCTATTGGGTAAGAGCCTACCTCACCAGCACCGCGATCGTAAACAATAAATGGCCGGCGAATGTTTCCTAAAAGTTTCGTTAAATAATTATCAGATCCACATTTTGTAGCATAATTAGAGATGCGACGAAAATTGCCGAATTTGATGATGCTGAGAGCCAAGCGCCATCTATCGTGGGGTAAACGAAGCAGGGGCGGTAGGGCCGACAGCGTTGGACGATCGAGGATCGTTTACTTTTCTACGTGTTGTTCTCGCGCGTTCCGACTTCAAGCAGCAAGAAAAAAGTACTTGAAACCGACCACGACGAACAAGAACGCTGAATCCACAAACACCCGAGAAAAGCCGGAACGGCCACGAATTCACCGACCCGCGACCGAGCGAGCTCGGCAGATAGGCCTAGCAGGCACTCCGAAGCAGGCGCAGCGTTGCTTGGACGGTACTTGGCCAAGACCATCTGCCCACGACCGGCTGGCTTGCTGAATGGAATATGCCCCCGCGACCCTTGTGGACCCTTCCCGTATTTTGATCGCTGACCTCAATTTTAGATTAAGGGGCGAGGTCAATCTCTTCCCCCTGGTTTCCGAGGCAGTCGTCGATTCTATCTTCTTGTTTTGTGTGATATAGAGCTGAAATAAACGCCGTACGGATTACCTTCGTAACACGGTATGTACACTTTGTTATTGGTACGCCATTTTTATTCTGACAGACTGCACGTCAGTGTCGAGCTATAACAGTTCGTTGGAGCTTCGTGCAATGCCGGTCCAACCTTTCTTTGCCGAGTGTCGCGTCAGTATCGAGTTGCAATCGTCAAAGATAGGTCCCGAAGCGCTTGCCAACAGCGTGAATACAGCATTTCCATCAAACGCGCTCGTCCGCTCCAAGTGTGAACAGGTATTTGCCTGGCTCTTGCTGACACTGTCGTAGTTCACACGTTACTTTTTTAACGTTGGCTCGCTTCTGCATCTCCGAGGCCGCGAAAAAACCCGCGGCCATTTGTCTCTATCTACGTCGCTTTGCAGACGACTGACACGGGCCGCCTTTTACCAACAACGACAGTTCGGTCGACTTCTGGAGTCTTCACCGGAAGACTGGCTGCACTTCCCAACCGGCGTATGGGACTAGTCCCATGTTGTCGCTGTAGCGCAGCATATCTCATTGAATCACGCTCAGCTGCGATGTGTCTGTGGCTATCGCGGCGATGAGAGGCGCCAATTAAAAAAATACGTCAGTGACATCAGGGCCGTCAGCGCAGTAAAACCTACCGGCACGCCGCCAACTCGCCGCCGCTAACGCTCTCATTCTCCTACTGCCGAGAGAACTTCCGATTCCAGAAACAGGGTACGTCACAACCGTCGAAATTACGCCGCAGCTTGTTTTGCGGTCAGTTGGAGAGAAAGAAAAAGTCGATATTTCATTAATTTTTTTGTGTAGAAGTTAATAAACCGAGACGAAAACGGACGCCTGTTCGGCATTCAGTGAACATTGGCGGTTTAATGTAAAACTTATCTGACAAAAAGTAAAAAGGTCATTTTATGGTCCCTTTAAAGGTTCTCATTAAACAATTTTTTCGCCCGATGAAAAAACTTGATTCTTGAGTTTTCATGGACTGCGTGAACAGTCCACAATAAACAACATCTTTGAGGAACAAATAAACTTGGGTCATTCATTTAGAGAAGATCATCAAATATCTCCTTTGTAGGTGTAGCCATTCATACGTCAAATTTATCTCGCATTATATTTAGATGAATTTCTGATAATTCGAGCAAAATTCGCGCTTTCTGGAGTTGGAAATAACGAGAGTCAACTGTAGTTGAAATATTTAGCGCGATTGTTGTATTGTCCTGCCTAATGTTTGGTTTATACCCTATGTTTTTATCTAGCTGTATACTGGAAACTAATGTACAGTCGCCCAATTTTTTGAATAATATCAGGCGAGCGTCGACCGCCGGCACGGGCAGTGCCGTGCCGCGGAGAAATGCGGCGTCACGGGAGAGATTAAGCGCGTGCGCGCAAAGCCCTCTGCGAGGAGAGTCGTCTGCTCGGCTATTCCGCTGATCGCACACAGCCCCTGCTCCGTAGCTAAGGACCGCGTTGCGCCGATTGTTTATACTCCGTTTCACTTTGTGTTGTACCGCAGCCGACGCTATGAGCCACCTTGTCCAGTCCATCGCTAAGAGTGTGTCACGTGGCCTTCCTGATGGGCACAACTGCCCGTGGAAGCACGATGTCACGTGGCAGGGGGACAGCGCTTGATTGGTTTTGAAGCCTCGTGGCATTGGTTGCGGTATATAGTTTAATGCATCGTTGCATTAGCTTGTCGCGTCATCATATTCTTTTTTGGTGCTGACCAAGTTAACGCAAACGAAAAATAGAAGAATAAAAATAAACTAAATTAAACCAGATGACGCGCGGTTTCTTTCACGCCTGAGCAGAATCACGGTATCACGTCAGCAAGCACTGTTCAGATCTTTGCTTACAGGCGGTCAGCTATGTCAGCAGATAAGGAACAGGGGCTGCGTGCGGTCAACAGAATAGCCTAGCAGACGACGCTCGCACCGGAGAGAGCTTTGTGCGCACGCGCCTAATCTCTCCCGTGACGCCGCATTTCTCCGCGGCTTAGCGCTGGCCGTCCCGCTGGTCGACGGTCGCGTGATATTATTAAAAATTGGGTGACTGTACTCGAGTGTACGATTACATGTACGCCGCAACTGCTGATGTGCCGTAGCACTGCAGAGAGGGGCGGAGCCTATTCAAGGGGTTCGGGCCGTCTTTTGCCTCACCTCCTTCGAAGCTTTTTTTTTTTCTTTTTAAGAAAATGTTATATTTGAGGCTAAACAGAAAATGCTAAATGTGAGTGACCTAGGAGCATGACCCTTCCAAGTTTTCTAGCTTTTTTGTGTGCATTCTGGCAAGACCTAAACCGCCCCGTCGGGCTCCATTTTCGTTATGGTCACGGATAGAGTGAGAAGGGCACGTCTCTTGCTCAGCCTTCAGCGCGTGCTCCATGCCTCTGCCGTGCTTTGTCTGCTCAAAGTGCATGACACGCCCAAGTGTTGTCGAAGGTTGGACGCTTGCGTTGAAGACGGCATGAGAGAAGCCGCTCCTTGGCATAAGCCAGACATCTTAAGCTAGGCCATCTCTTAGCATATCCTAGGAGTGTTTCTATTGCGTTTTAATGCGAGCTACAAGTTCGGTGTCTTGTTGCTCCGCTTGCAGAACCACCAGATTATGTCGAAGAGGACAAAGAGCCCGGCCGCCATCTTGCGTCCGTGAAGTCGGGTCTGTCATTGAATTTATGCCCGTTTTTAGAGCATTTTGGATTTCTAAATGTAATTTTTGGTAAAAAGAATACTGCTTTCTTTTACACTCGCAGAATCGGAACTTTACGGGGTAGATTGGAAACCTCACAGCCGAGTGCCTGCTCTTACCAAAGGGCCGATAAAGCTTCTTTTTTGAAGCTATCATAAAATACAGCGGAAGCACCTGCTTTGTTCAAAAGCCCCCAATTAACATTTCCCAAACTTGGGAAATCTGCTATGTTTTGAAGTGGCACATACGGTTCAACAAGGGAAGAACATTGCTGGCAGTCCAAGAGCGGTAGGGCAACCTTAGTCGACCTCTCCCCGGCTTTGGTGACGTTCAGCCATTCCTGTGGCGCGAGTGACACTCAGAACACTTGCACGCCTCGCTGCTTTTTGACATCAGCCTTCTAAACAATTTCTTCACGAGTGTCTTAGATTTTTTTTTATTTATTGCTACTGTCGGCACTTTACAGGGCCTTTACAGGAGTGGTAATACATACAAGATGTAAAAGAACAATCTTGCTTCAAAAAACTGATTTGCCCGGAGAAATAAAAAAGCAAGAGAAATACATTCAAATACATTTGTCGAGTTTGACGTAAAATAGGTGTTTGCTCTCGCTTTGGCCTGCGGTCTATGGAGAGATTGCCATTGTGTTCGTGCATGTGGTCGAACAAACTCGTGTAGCGCAGTTTCAGACTTTCCCAGAGCGACACCCTTTGGCATAATGATGCAGAAAGGTCCCTGCCTCGGACTGCTGCGCACTCATCTGTGTGCTGCCCTCTTTTTCCACGCTACAGAATCGGTCCCTTGAATGTTTAGATCACACCTCGTACGTTAAGTGTCCGATTTGACAAGACTAGCACCAACGTCTAGAATAACCCAATTTTCGGGGAAAGTGGGGCGGGCACTCCTTTGGTGTTTTACGGTAAGATCGTGCCACCTGAATGTCGTGTCTCCCATAATTTCTTTTTCTTACCTCGTACCCGCTGAATTGCCAGATTACATGATTATGACGGAGGTCACGATACACTTGAATGCAGGTATGTACTCCATAACCTAGCAATTCCGAGGTTCAATCGGCGGCAATGTGTTCCCCATGATCTACCGTATTTATTCGAATATAAGTCAACCTTTTTTTTTTTTTTTGGAAATGTTGTCAAAAATTTAGGGTCGACCTATAATCGTGATCGAAGAATTTCGACCTATAATCGTGACCAAAGAATCGAGACCCTACCGAGGGCATGGCGCTATGGAATGACAGAGCCGGCGTTGCCGTAGAGCCGCAGCGCTTCTTGTTTCAAAAAGCTTTTGGTGCAGGAAAACAATCGAAACAGCCGCAACCGACGCCGTGGCCGCCGCTCGCGAACATCCCTCGTGCGTCGGGTTTCGCCATGGCGCCTGTGGCGTTCCCCTGGCTGGGCAACGGGAGGGAGAGGAACGTGATGCGCCATGCACCTTGCCCTCCATTCCTCTCCCTCGCAAATGCGCACCAAAAAGAAGCAACGGAGGTTACTTTAGCTTGTTGCATGCGGGGGCTCGCGTGTTACTCACGGCAACTCCTGCACGTAGCACGATCCCCCGTCTCCACCATCTTTGGATGCGTCTTGCGCAGTGTCATTCTACAGGGTGTCAGTGAGGTATTGTTGCGAATTCGCCAGGATGTCTACCCAGCTGACGAAGCTTCGGACGACGATGACATGTCCAAAAGTTCTGACGATGATTAAGTTTTTGGCATTGCCCCGCGATTTAGCCGAGAGTGCTGTAAATAAAGGTTTGTATTCTTCTTTTGCCCTTCCTTTCCCCTGTCCCTAAACAAAAAAGGAAAAGGTTGACCTACACTCGAATTTTTTTTTTTTTTTATTCTCGGTGGGTTTAATAAGTAGGGGTGGACCTATTTTTGTGGTCGACCTATTTTCGGCTAAATACGGTACTTTTGCAGAGCCGTAGGTTTCCAAAGTGAGCCAACGACACAATGACTCGACTGTGGCCATTAAGATTGGTCTGTTCTCTCGGTGGCATTTCATGGCTAGGTGCCATTCTAAACTTTGGAACCACTTGTGTGTGCAGAGCCGCAAGACGCGACGGAAGTTTGCACCGAGGAGGTTCCCGTGGGGGCCGGTACGTAAACATAAGATTGTTCCTGCAGCTTAAAGCTTTTTGTGACTTACGAAATTCAGACACGGAGACATCCGAAGAGAACCCGCAAAATAAATGAAGGACAGTAAGCGACGAAATCCTCAAACCTGGAACCCTACGTTTCGAGGCCTACCCAGTTGTTTTTTGGGGCTGACTATCGGGACTGCGATCGAGGAGCAGTATTTTTCTATCTTTGGGCCACGGGGCAGAGCCCGTCGACTTGGGCTGTCGACAGGGCTCCGAGGCACCCAGTCATTTTCCTGGCGTCGTTCGACCGTGCCGGCTTTCTACAAATAGTCTATGTGGAGGTTAGTCTCTGCGTCGAGAACGCCAGGGTCATTGAAAGCAACCCAGTGGTCTTTGACGTCGCGACGGTCGTTGCGACCGCGCCGCGCTTGTGCGCGTCGCTTCTTCGTCGGCGGAGTCTTTCGTCGAAGTCCTGCGTCTTGCCTGTGTAGGTGACTGAGTAGCTTTTGGTTGTTTTTTTTTTTGGCGAACCATTTTTTGGTTAGTGGAGAGACGTCCAAGCGCCGAGGTCGACTCGTGGGCTGCGTTGATTCCTTGCGTGCCTGCCGGTGCTTCAGTTTGGGGTATGCGGATGCGCGGGGTTGAGCGAGACTGCATACCCGCTTACGGTTGCTGGTGTCGGCAGTCTCTGGCTCGACGACCCATTCTCGTTTAGGTCGACACCGACGGTTTGCCTCTCCCTTTGTTTTCTCCGTTCGAAAGGAGCGTGTATTCTTCGCCCCAGGCACCTCGAAGGCCGTCGCCATGTTGCCACCGGAGAAGAGCGGAGCGGGCCTCGAAACGTAGGGTCCCCATTTTTGGGATGGGGTTGGTTGTCCTCCTTTATTTATTGTTTTTACAACCAGAAATATTTCTCTTAAAGGTTTACTTTTGAGCCCGCACGACGGCTGTTTTGTAGGCTGCGGGACATGCTGGATGGACACCGATGCCACTGATAGCTTGTTTGCGATGTTTTTTTATATATAAATTTTTCCGCTTTATCGATCGTGTCTCGCGTGTGCGGGACGGCTTTGCTGCCGGGCAGCGCAAGACTGTTTCGGCGAACGCTGGACTAGCGTGCGCATCTCGTGCGGACGACAGTCTGTTCGGTTGGCGTTATCGGTTGTAGGAGCCGCTGTGCCTCGGACACTGTGAGACTGACATTTGTCAAATTACATTAGCACCTTGCCGTCGGCGGGATCCTTTCGATATACCGATGGCAAAACTCTTCTGTGGTGTTAAAGGGGCACTCGGCGTTTTCTTTATAGTCCCCAATTTGCGGGAAAATGTGCTAAAGACAGCAACAAACATCCCTGAAATAGTAGCCCAAATATCGGGCCAAAATATTTTTTTTTGCTAAGTTTTGGAATTTCCGATTTGGTCCTTGCCGTCTTTTTCAAAGTGAAAGCCTCTACTGGCAACAACGGAAAAGTGACGTCGGTGGAAGGCAGGGGTTCACTCTCGGGGCTGTAGACCTTGTTATCAACTGATTACAAGCAGTTTCATGGTGTCAAAGGAATGCTTTGGAAGCTTGCTGGTGTACCCCCGCAGCAGCACGTAACAAGTGCTCAGCATAGTTCCGTGGTAGACTGTCTGCTCGACCCACGAGCCTGCCTTCCCCCGATGATAAGCGCGGCTATATTTGAATGTTTGTGTTGGCATCATTTCCACTTGCTGATTTCACAATAGCTATTAGGGGCGGAGCTCCTTAGGGTCTAGCCTTGTCCGGCGTCCGTGCTCACATCGATTGCACTGCCTCTGGGATCGGCCCACTTTGAAGAAACAATGTGCGGCCGCACGGGGGTTCGAACTTGGGACCACTTGCTTATGAGGCAGACGTCTTAACCACTACGCTACACTCCAACGTTGCATGTAGCCGCTCAACGTCTATACAGGAGAGGGCGCTGCGGACAAATGCGTATATAATCGCGTTTAACTTTGCATGCATTGGCTCAACGTTTATGGACGAGAGGGTGCTGCGGTCAAATGCTCAAATGCGTATATAACCACGATCCATACCACACATTCTCTTTCTGACATGGGCCGTTGACTTAAGCGGTGGAGATGCATTCCCACGGCTTCTAGCGGATCCAAGCTGACCCGCTAGAAGAAGTCTTCGTTGTCCGTCCCCCCTTTCTATGTATCTTCCTCATGTTCAAGAACCACTGGCTCTGCATTTCACCGACCATAAAGTAGTAGTGATGAAGTCGAAACGCAACCCGGAACTCGGCACTATCTATGAGCAATAAAAAAAAGATAGCACCATCAGCACTACCTATGAACAATAAAATCAGTATCATCAGCACCGCCGGAGCTTCGCCCCAATCAACATCATTCACCGCGTGGAGATGCGGCCTCTTTTTCGAATATCGCGATACTAAATAGCATACTGGAAAGGGTACAGGCATGTTATTCCGTAAATATATGTCGAACCCGGATATATCGAATTCAAGGGGGATAGTAAAATCGTTTGATATATCGATAATTTGATATACAAAAATTGCTAACCTAAGCTCCAGTTGAAATTTCCGCGCGTCTCTGCTATACTTCATTTCCGCTTCTATCCGAGCGCAGCCAAAGGCTTAGAAACAGTTTGCGACTTCGAGAACACTCCTACGCACCGAAAAGTAGTCCGCATATGTAATTTTTTTTAAGAGACAATGAAGACGATTTTATTTAATTTTTTAAATGGTGGTTTTAGCCTTCTTGGGAAGATAGCATGCTGCCCAATTTTTTGTAGACATTTGTGACGTGCATTTCTGTGCCTACGAAAGAAGTAAAGAAACCGAAGCTGAACAATCTCCATTCTCGTTTCTGGGCCTCCGAAAACGGAAGTGACGTAGGGAGTGACGTCGGGTGGGAATAGTCGGTATCGGTAGTACTTAGGAGATCGACTCTGGTTACCGCGGTGGGTTATAGCAGCGCGGTGGCGCGGTCGTTTCGTCGACTCTGTCAACATGGACGACAATGCCGCTTTTGCGAGCAAGTTCGAGCTTCCGTTTAGTGACCCAACACAAACGGAACGGGAGTATGAGTGTGACGGCCTCCGCCATCACCCGACAAAGACCGCCCAGGCGGTAACGAGTGGCCCGCATGCCGAAGTGCCCATAGTTGCTCGTTGACCGTTTCGCGTCTAGCGTAGCAAAGAAAAAAACAATTGCGCCGCTTTATTTACGGTTTAGTAATCATTTCCGGTCTGATTTATACTTTTCATGGTTATTCGAGCGGAAATTAGAACAGTATTTCTAAAAATCGCGAACCAAAACGTGACCGAGGGCACGTCTTCCATTTCGACCAATCGCTGACGCGTCTCTTGTGACGTCGCGCATCTTGTCCCCGCATCGGTCACGTGATCTCCGCTTCTCCCACAACTCTCGGGGCGTCGCCCCAGTCGATCGCGGTACGATTATTACCGCGACTGTTTAATTGATTTGCGAAACACACAGGCGCCGGTTTCGGCTGAAATTTGGGCAACGTGGCCCGAGACGTGCCTGGAACCAAGTTCAGTCGCCAAAAAAATGTTTGAAACTGCCTTCATTGTCCCTTTAAATAACTGTTTTGTGCGTAAACATTGCACATATTCCGGATGTGTACTGCTGAGAATGATTTGCAACTATAGGAATTAAATATCAAAGTTTATGTTTTTAATAACATACGCAAATGCATATGGTTTGGTGAAAACACGTACATCCACTGGCAACACGGCTGCAGTGCTCTGTTTTTCTGTGTGATTCCGTTCCCGTAATGGCCGAATCATGTGCTTCGCTGCTTTCCTCACTGAGTCGCTTCAAAACGTCCTTTCGCAATGGCACGTTTGGGCGCCAGGCACGAGAGGTCGCGTTCAATGTCTACTTTCAAATTCGGCAGGAGATGTCGTACTGCGAATGCGTCGTAAACAAGAAAAGCATCCGGGCCACTACAGTGGACCATTTGCAAAAGTCCCAAAAGCCCGCGTGCAACGAATAATGGGAGTCCTCGGTACGCCCCTCCTCCCGCTACCACGTGACCGCGTGGCATGCGCGAGCAGGCGCAGGTTACCACGGCAACAACGTTTGAGCGGCCGAGGCGGACGATCCAACGGCTGCCCCTTTCTCCTCCTTTGTATCGGCTCTGTCGTCTGCTGCACCAACTCTTGGTCGAACCTGGATGGAAACCCGACGCAGTTGCGGTGCAAACTAAATGGATTCGGTTTTATGACGAATAATTATTCGAATGAGTCCACCTGTCGCGATGCCTTTACGCTGCCACAGGTACGGTGCACCGCCTACGGCGTACGACTCGGCGGATGGGCGGGACGGCGGATGGCCGCAACGGCTGTTAGCGGTAGCTGCCGGGACGCGCTCACAGTCGCGGAGGCGCAACGAGAAAGCGCCCGATCTGTACCGAGGATTCCCAAAGTTTCCTGTCGTCGTGGCGCTGTACGTTTTGCAGCAGGTCTATTCACTGATACGCGGCAAAATCGGGGCACGGCTTTACCTGCCGATCACATTGATCGCCGAGAAGCTGCTGGAAGGGGCTGTGCCTCGAGCCCCGGTATATCATCCAGACAACACGGGGAAACATCAACGGCCGGGTGATTGAGCACCTTGCAATGTGTATTTACATCTCGAAACTATGCCGAAACGCCGAGCAGGTGGAAAGCTCGGACACGGCGGCCAGCCTACGTACTCACATCCCCTGTGACTAAATTTCAGAATGGGAAAGGGCACTTTTTAAACCTGTAGCAGACTATACCTTTGATATACCCGTAGCGGACGAAATAGTTGGCGAGCGCGGGCGGCGCGGACGACCAGCGGCGCAGCGGACCGATACAAAGGAGCAGGAAAGATTGCGTGACCTTTTGCCGACGTGGGATTGGCTCCGGCCACACGTGGCTTTGCCTGCGCTCGGACGGAAGCCGAAACCAAGTATAGTACCAAAGGCCGCGACAAACGGGACCTCACCAAATAGAGCCTTTAAGAGCCACTAAATACAGTGGAGCTTAGTTGGGGAAGACCACAAACACCGCCGTGTTTACGCCTGGCCACTACCCAGCAGTGTTGCGGAATGGGCACCCCCATTCCATTCCAATTCCATTCCGTGGAATTGGAGTTTTCGATAATTCCATTCCTTTCAACTCCTAGGAATGGGGACACTGGGCCCGTTCCCACTCCTGGAATGGCTAATTTGCTCCATTCCGATCCTCCAATTCCTAAACGTTAAAAGTGTCACTTGACAGCTGCATTACGTTGCAGGGTTGAGCAGAAATATTCAGAAATGTATTTGGAAATACAAATACTGGGATAGATGAAAATAGTTGCTGAGATACTGATACTAAAGTCTCAAATATATCCATAAAAATGTATCGTGATACATATCGGAAATACATTTTAAAAAGAGGCAAAAAGTCTTTGGAAATACAAATACAAGAATACATTTTAGGAAGGGCAGGAATATAAATACTGGTAATACATTTTTCAAATTTCTTTGAGACGCCAACTGAGATGAGGCTTTAAGTTTGAAGTGGAAGTTCCTTTTTTTTTTTTTTTTTGGTCCCGAAATTACTTTTCCGCAGGCTTGGCACTTCGCCTTGAAGGTAGTGGTTCCGGACGAAGAGTCCTAAATGGGTTTAAAAAACGTTCCACCAAGGATTGACCGCGCTCCCTTCCCTGGCATCCTGTCTGACTGACCAGTGATGCGAAAAGACCGACCTCTAAAATAAATTCCATCAAAAAATCACCACTTCCCTGTTCAATAAGGGCGCCTCTGTCAGCACTGCATAACGTCATGGTGGGATGAACCAGTATTCTTGAATCTGTAGGTGTTGCCTTGAACATGAAACTTTACCCACGCTGCTGTATGAAAGGACAATACATACTTTCGTTGTAGCTGACCTCGTTGAAGACCATGCAGGCAGTTGCATTTGGAATTTTCGAGAAAAGTGGACCTCCTGAAGCACATGTCTTATCTTCTGTTACGGTTGAAAATCTATTTGGTGGCGCCCCTGTTGTGACGGTCCTTCCTGCCGACTCTCCGCCTCCAACGCATGAATGGCAGTTTTCAAGTTTCGTCTAGCATCATTCAAACAGGAACCTCGTGGATTGCGACCTGAGATGGCCGGCACAGGAGCGAGCTCTTCGAGAAGCGGCGCGTTCGAGACGAGTCGAAAGTGTAAGAAGTCTGGGTCCACATAGCGAGGCCAAGTCTGGCCTCCTTCCTGGGTATCGGATCACCAGAGCAGCAGGTCACATTCACGTCGGCTGATGATGTACCAGCCGTGCAATATTACAGGCGCAGAGGGATATGTGGTGAACTTCACTGGTGACAGGCGCCACCGCCGCCCCCCCCCCCCCCCCCTCCCCTCCCTCCTCTGTTCTTTGTGTTGACGCTTGTTTTTTGTATTGCATTTGTTACTTTTGCACATAAGTCTGCTAGGGCCTTACGCGAGTTCGCAGTTTCCCGCTCATTTTATATCTGAACAACCAACTCCCTGACTGGCTCGGTATAGCTGAACGTAAAAATTAAATAAATAAATAAATAAAATATAAAGACCCGTGCCCATTCCATTCCCCTGAACGTTGCCGCCATTCCATTCCCATTCCATTCCGGGGTCGCGAAAATGCGGAATGATTCCGGGAATCCTTCCAACTCCGGAGTGGCAACTCCGCAGCACTGCTACCCAAAGTGCCGGCAACAAAACACAAAAATAATAAAAATAAATAAAAAAAAAAAAAACGAAAAAAGCAAGTAGCATAAAAAAAGCCCTTGATCCATAGGATAAAGTTAAGCCTAAAAAAAGAAACCTGACTAAGTTCAGGCAGCAAAAAGAGAAAGGCAAAAAAGAAAAAAAAAACGGCTGCACACTCACTGTTCTTTCAAAGATAAGGCATTCGAAGTGCGATTGCTCGACGGTTGTTGTTGACACACTCAACTTTAGGAAGACCTTTTTTGTTTTTTCCTTATTTTATTTTTGCGGTTAAGGAGTTGCGCAGCGAGAGCGGTGTTCAAGGAAAGTGCACGCTACCGTTCCAACAGCAGGCACTCCCTGCCTTCCTTACCCGTGCATGCCCTTCCCCTTGCGATCCTCTTTTTTTCTTGTTTCGTTTTTTTTCTTCTACAACTGCTTGTTTGCTGCGTATCCTTGTGCATTGTGCGCGTATGCTGGTGTGGCAGTCTGCCAGCCCCGCATCACGAGGTATGTGCTCGCGGCGGGCTCAATCCGACCGTGGGAGTTCGATACAGAAAAACAACACTCCTATACAATTACATGTGATTTTCAAGGTGATGTTTGAACTGTTGGATATAAACAACAATGCGAAATACTCGGGTGTGATACCGGGCTCGACTGTAGTTAGCCGGGGTAGTCAAAGAATACCCGGAGTAATGGCAGCACAGTTTCCAGTATGTAAATTTTTATTAATTGTCGCCTCTTGCCATCTTCTCTTCCAGGGGTGGACGGCTCCGTTGGCAATGGCACGATGGCAGCTGTGACTATCAAGACGGGTGCGTTGCCACATGACCAGTTTACATGCGACAAGTAGTGGCTCATTTCGGGTTAATACGGAGCAGGAAAAGGTCTGCCAACATTCGAGGTTTCTACGGTGAAACCGAAGGCCCACAAACGACATGCTGTGGTCTTTCGGAGATGTCTCCAGTCCTAGAGCTCTTTTCTTTAGCCAGATCGTTGTTACCATCCAATAACATTATGACTTGAGGAGGCAGAATAATTTACAAAGGGATGGAAAACTGCGAGTCTCATTTTTAGTAATTTGCTCGCACAAAGCCACATCCTGTAAAGTTATGGCGCGAAAAATATTTTTAATATTGTGCCGAATCAGGGTCAGTAACAATTATACTACCACAGTAGGATACCTAATTTCTGTTCTGGTCTTGAAAACACTAGGTATTAATGATGTAGAGCTGTCTTCCTTTGTAGAGATATTAAAGTACAATAAGGCAGTATATCTAATGCTTCATTCTATATGAAACGTTAAATCGATTCTATATAATTAAGAAAAGTGTAATCTACCGTAAAATCCCGCAAGGGCACCCTCCCCCGTGACATCACCCATCCCGTTCTTTGGACTAAAGATCTAAAACATAAAGATTCCCAAATATCGGCCTCCCCCTATTCCCGTCGTACATCACACAATGTCTGATGGGAACCCCATCAACTGCGCCATCGGCAGTACCGCTGTGCCTGACAAGGGAGTTTGTAGAGGGTGGACGCGGTTTTGTTCCCGACCTGCTCGGGGGATATTGGTTCATGTGACGTGCAAGTTGATTCCACCTGTTTATTGTATCGTAAAATGAGAGTTTGCTGCGCCCACAATCTACGGTATTTGTTCCTGTTGCACGCGCGTTCATAGCGGGTTACTGTGGTTTTTGTCGGCAATCTGCGTACACGATATCGGTTCCCGTGACATGCAAGTTCACTCGAATGTTTGTTGCACCCTTTAATGCAAATCTGCTGCATCCGCGATTGGCGGCATTGGTTCCTATGCGAGTTTGTGGCAGGTTCCCGGTTGACCTTTGCACCTTCCTACCGTTCTTGAAATTCTTGTTACTAAAGCGCCTCTAGGGCATCTCTATCGTGGCTGTTAAGCCTAGGCATGTGCCTCCTTCCTTCGTACCTTGGCAGAAGCCACACGTCTCGTGGCATCTCAAGCTAGCCTCCTTTTAGGATCTCATAATGGTATTGTTTCCACGGTGTTTTAGCATAAGCTAATCTGTTGCTCTGCCGTCCCTGCATTTGCAGAGCCACCCGAATATGTGGACCAGGACGAAGAGCCTAGCTGCCATCCTGTGTCTGTTAAATCAGGTCTGTCCTAAAGTTGGTGCTTGTTTTTTGTTTTTTTTACTCTGTGCCTTAGCATTACCTTTATTAAAAATGGTCTCGGTTTCTTGTTCACTCCCAGAGCCAGAATATTACGAGGAAGTTCGGGAACCTGGGAACCCAGTGCCAGCTCTGACGGAAGGTATCTTCTCGATGACATTTCTTTCTGCAATGGGAACATGTCGCCAAAATGTCATGCCTTATATTTTTTCCCCACCAGGTGAACCACCAGATCGCATGGACGTGACAAAGGTTACGTTCCACACAAATGCAGGTCTGTACTTCATTAAACTGCAAATTTTGACATTCAATCGCCAGCAACAGGTTGAATTCCACCTCGTCCTTTGCAGAGCCGCAGGTTTCCCAAGAGGCCCAGCAACGTGGCAACGCAGCAGTGGCCGTCAAGATTGGTCTGTTGTCTCCGTATCATTTCACGGCCAGGTGCCATTCTGAATGTTGGAACCACCTTTGTGCGCAGAGCCTCAAGATCCGACGGGAGTCGACGATTCAGTGCTTCCCATGGAGACAGGTACGTAGCTGCGCTTCATTTTATTTGATTTTCTCCAATTTAGGTGTGTTTTTTTATGGCCGTGAGATTCAGCCTTCACGCCCATTGTGGTGAAGGGATCGCTCGTGTACGCCATTTTATGCCGAGTCGGGTCGCAGCCGAGACTGCGGGTGACCTCGTAACTGGATTGCTTTTGAGGCGCAGAGCCCCCGTCTCTACGTTTGCTGGTCCAGTGGGAATGTCGGGGATGAGTTTCGGTCGTTTGGAACTTGGGTTTCAAAGTCAGCTGTAGTCTTTTGTATGAATTCTTGTTTCTCACAAACTTCCATCTCAGTGCTTTCTCTTCACAGACTTCCTACATTTTTAGACCCATTTCTTGCCCTTGTTTGAAATGGGCAACGTCCTATCTTTCTCTTCTCCCGTTACAGCAATTACGTATATTTAGCGCTCTGAAATTAAAAAATATGAAAATATTGCGAAGCATTTTTGAAGGGCCTGATGGGACCATAGAGTTATTATAATGTACGCTAGAGGTTTAACTGGCGCTAGTGTGCTGCTGCAAATTGAAGCAGACAGCAACCAGTCTGAAATTGACTTCCGGTAATGCATTTCTATGGGAAAAAGCGAGTGCATTTTCTCGCTGCGCTCGATTATAAGAGCAAATATCACGAATATTTCGTACGTACTGGCACATTGGAACATTTCTCAGTCACGCAGATGAAATAATTGGTCAGTTACGGCGTTTTTATTTGAAATTCGTGGCATGAAAAACGGTGCTAAAACCGCTTCATACATGTATTTATGTGCACTGTCGGACACTGTTAGCGCGAACACGGCATCGGCGCTTTCCACCATGGGGGACATACGTGTCAAACGGACGAAGGACATGTGGAAGACCAAGAGAGATGGCAAGAACTACGCAGTAACACTGAATAAGTAACTCGTTGTGCATGCAGGCGATCAAAATAAATTGAAAGCCACGTAATATAGTCCGATTTGCAATAAATAAGTACTGCTTTATTCTTTCTGCTCATGAATATGTGCAAAGACGCATGTTGTGGGTTCAAATCATCAACCGCACGCTCTAAATATTTGCAAATAGGGAAAAGTCGGAAAACAGGTGCCCGATAAAAACTGCCCGGCATAGGAGATAATAAAAAGGCACACCTTTCGCTGTCCACGTACTTTATTTCTTACATTCGAATGTTTTTTAACCGTCGTAAAGATGCACGACGGAGTCATTTTCATAGAGTGACCGGACGGGCATATTAGCAATATATAAGCGCCACCGCATTGCTAGCGAACCTTGAACACATTCTACATTCTTTTCGATCGTTAGTTTGCTTAGAATCGTCGCTTGTCTTTACATACCTGCCATGGAACATAAGTTTGGGCCTGAAATATAGCGAAGCTTAACATCGCTCAGTGGTAATGAAAAATGCTGTAATTAAAGCAATTACACTTTTACAATATTAATAAATGTACATACTATCCGGTACAACTGAAATAATAAAAGTTATTCATGTTATTTTTCGGCGAAGAGACACAATGCAAGCGCGTTTTCCCATAGGAATGCACAGGAGCACCGCAAAAGTAGACTGGTTGCTGTCTGCTTCAATTTTCCTCCCGGAAGTCGCATAGACACTAGCACCAGTTGAACCTCTAGCGTACATTATAATAACTCTATGGATGGGACAGATTATATGAGCCTCGATCTGTGAAAGGTAAAAGAAAAATTAAGATGGCCTTCATTTTAAACCGATTTTCCAATTATTGCAAAATCAGTAGCCTTTCTACATCTCAGTGTATTTTTTTAGGAACGTAGTCATTTTCAACCTCAATGACAATTTATGCGAATATTAAACAAACGCGTCCAAAACATGAAAAAAAAATTTTAATTTCCGATGTTTTAAAATCTGGATCCATAAAGCTCTGAATTGCTTAGTAATCGATGATACGTGTTTAGTACCTCCTTTTATTTTATGTTCAGTCTCTGCACAAAAAATATTACTCCTAAGACGACAGGAGTTTTTCTTTAATAAATATCCAAAAGAGCGGTTTCAGGCAAGTCGCAAAAACGTGCTCGTATACCGACAGGAACTTTGTGACTTTTTTCCTCGAGAGAAATTTTATTTTCTGCAAAATTTGTTTGAATATTTTTTTGCGGTTGCGCAAGCAAAAAATTATATTGTTCGGTAAAAATAAAAAAATGTCGACCGGACATGCCCATTGCAAACAATCTCAGTCAACCGGAATTCTTTTTTTTTGCAGTATTTTTGTTCTGTTGGCGTTGTGTGGCCTTCCACGGCGGCTGATCTATTGGCGCTCACAGGCGGCGCTGGTTCTGCCGTGTCCTATATCATGTTACCGCCAAGGTTGTGGGCTGGTCTGTTTGCAAAGTCGGTTGCTTCCTTTACGTCGCATAGGCGGAGACGCTATACGCCGGCTGTTCAAACAGGCACCACGAAGCATGTTACGGGGTGGCGCACCTCGTTCGCTCCGGCCCGTGGGCACGTTTGGGTTGGTAGTAAGAAAATGTATTCGGAATTCTCCCTTCAAGACTACCGTCCACCTTTGTGCTGTCAATTTGTCTTTTCTTGACCACCACGTAGCATTCTTACGCTTTTTAATAATGATGAAATTATAAAGAATGGGTATTTGCACGCCTCATTTATGACAACCGTGTCAGCATCAATTTGGCCATATTTCTCGCTTTATAACTTGAAAGGCAAAAACAAATATTGCATTATGTTTTTGCAGAATCTGTCATAGTCCCTGGCAACTCCAGAAGGTAGGCTGAGGGAAAGGAAGCGGACGGAATGCTGAAGGGAGAAGGAGGTTTGCCCCTCTTTTGTCCAGCGTTCCGGCTGCTCCCTCCTCCACAGCTCGTCTTACCCTCGCCCTACCTCCTGGAGTGGCAGCACATTGCACTACATATTGTGAACATTCATTTCGGAGAGTTTAAAGAATATTGAAGATGTCCTTTTTTTTAGATGATTTTAAGAATAATGTATACTTAGTTGACTGCCCCTGTGTGAGCAATTGTTGTAAATTTACCTCGTTAACCAGGACAACAGTATTTCATGCAAAGATGAACTATGTACAGGGCAACACTCTGGCAAAGTTTGAAGACGTTAGCTATTTTAGGTATGGAAAAAGCAAATCTTTACTCCAGAGCGTTATTGCTCAATGTGCCGTATTTGCGATTTTGTTCCTCAAAATAATGACCCTAATATTCGGTGGTTAATACTTTTTGTGAATTCTTCCTACACATAACTTCTCGGTAAATATTTCTAGACCCGTAGCCAGAACAGTTTTTTTTGGAGAAGCCGCCTGAAATGCCAACATCGTGCGATGCGGAAAGTGCGCACGTGACTCAGAGGGTACTTACAAATTTTTTTCGCAAAGACAAGTTTTTTTTTTTCTAAGCAAGGATTTGTTTAATTTTTTTGGGCGTGGTGCCAGCAAAATATTTTTTTTCCCGATAATTAAAAATGGTCTCCGGACATGGTTGTTCCATGTTATCTGAAAACGCACATTGAAACAGTGTGATCATTTCGTTATTAATGGTGGCAAAGCTCTTGTGTGGGGTTGCAGGGGTTCTCCGGCGTTTCCTTCATACTCCCCGATTTTTCCGAAAATATGCTGAAGAGACCAACAAACATAGCTGAAATAGTTAACCCAAATATTGGGATAATTGTTGTTGTTTTTTTCCGCCAAGTTTTTGAGTTTACAGTTTGGTCCTCGTATTGGCAACAATGAAAAAGTGACGTCGGCGGAAGGCAGGGGTTTACTCTCGGGGCTGTAGACTGTCGCCACCTGATTACAAGCAGTTTCTCAAATGAATGCTTTGGAAGCTTGTTCGTGCACCCACGCAGCAGCACGTAACAAGTGCTCGGCAAAGTCCTTTTTTAGACTGCCCGGTCGACCTGCAAGCCTGCCTTCCTTTGACGTCTGGGCATTGAAAAGCGGGGGTATATTCGAATGTTGGTTTGGGCATTAGGGATGCCGCAAACCCCATGTAAAATTGCAAAAGAAAAAATTACGAATGTACCTCACTGCTTGAATCCAAATGAAACCGCCCGCCGGTCTTTCAAAGTTCGTCGAACTTTTGACTTTTCAGGAATCGAAAGTTTGACAATTTTCGAATTTTTTAGATTAATAAGTTCGAAAATGATGGAATTTCTTAGCGTAGGAAGTTCGAAAGTTCGAAAAGCTTCGAACTTTGTAGTGCAAGAAGTTCAAAAGTTCGAAAATTATTGAAAGTCTTATCAACTTCGAAAGTTCGACAAGCATCGAATTTTGCAGTGTAATAAGTTCGAAAATTCGAAAAGCGTTGAACTTCCTAGTTTAATAAGTTCCAAAATTCGACTTCCGTCGAATTTCTCTATACTGTATTTACTCGCACAATGAACGCACTCGCGTAATGAACGCTCCCCCCAAGTCGGCTCTCAAAATTTTGACTTTTTTTTTCACTCGCGTAATAAACGCACTCCCAACTCGGACATCAAAATTTTGACCTCCTCCCCCCACGCGCGCGAAATTAACGACTTTTTCTATCCTGGTGCAGCGAGATCGCGAATGCATGGGCAGCGTGGGCAGACAAAACGCCTCGCAAAAGGCGTTAAAAAAATCGCAAAGATCCAACGGAAGCAAGAAAGAAAACATAGAGAGGAGCTTTTTTTTTTTTTCTTTTTGCACAGTGGAATCTGGACTTTGGGTTCGCGCGCCGCCGCTGCACGCAAGGAGGTAACAAAGAGAAGCGGAGAAGCGCTCTAAGCAAACGAAACAGCTTGCGAAAGGCGGCAAAAAGAAAAAAAAAAAAAGCGCGGAACTAAAAGAAAACAAAAGGGAGTTTTTTTTGTTTTTTTTTCTCACAGCGCAGTTTGGTTACAGGGGGTCGCGCGCCGCGCGCAAGGGGGCAAAAAAAGAGGAGCGAAGAAGCCCTCTAAGCAAACGAAACGGCTTGCCAAAGGCGGAAAAAAAAAGGAACTAAGAGAAAAAGAAAAGAGAGTTTTTTTCTTTTGTTGTTTTTTTTTGCACAGCTTAGTTTGGTTACCGGGTCGGGCACCGCGCGCAAAGAGATAAGAAGTTACTTCGATGTTTCAGAATAAAAGATCGTTCATTATGCGAATAAATACGGACGCAAAAATTTTACTTCGCGTAATGAACCCTCCCCCCCCAACTTTGCATCGATTTTTCGGAAACAAAGTGCGTTCATTCTGCGAGTAAATACGGTATTTAGTTCGAAAATTCTAAATCTTTTGAACCCTTCGAACCGCTTGATTCGATCATCGAAACTTCGATTAGAAAAAAGTTTGCGGCATCCCTAATGGGCATCATTTCCACTTGCTGATTTCTCAATAACTATTCCGAATTTCACGATACTAAATGCGTACTAGGAAGGGTAAAGGCATCTGAATGGGAATATAGAGTTAGTTGGGGTAGCTCAAAGAATGGCAGGAGTACTCCTTTAATGGCAGCATAACCTCCAGTGCGTAACTTTTTATTAATTGTCGCCTCTTGCCATCTTCTCTTCCAGGGGTGGATGGTTCCAGTGGCAATGGCGCGATGGCAGCTGTGACTATCAAGACGGGTGCGTTGCCAGATGACCAGTTTTCATGCAGGGTGTTGTAGCTTCTTTTAAGTTAAAACGGAAGATGAAAAGGACTGCAAACTTTTGAAGTTTTTAAGGTGAAACAGAAGGACCACAAACAAAGTGCTCTGGTACAGCTCTTCCGAGATGTTTGCAGTCCTCTAGCTCTTCTTTTAACCGGGTCATTGTTGCAATCCAATAACATTATAACTTGAGGAGGCAGAATAATTTACAAAGAGATGGAAAACTGTGAGTCTCATATTTAGAAATGCGCTCGTACAAAGCCACATCGTATAAAGTTCTGGCACGAAAGATATTTTTTTAAACTTGGCCGAATCAGGGTAGTAGAATACCCAATTTCTAATCTGCCTATGAAATTGCTAGGCCCTGTAGAGCTGTCTTCCTTTGTAGAGATTAGTGCAATGTATATGCTTCACTTCTATCTGATTAAGGAAAAGGCAGTCACTAGGGTGAGGAGGCCCGTCACTCTAGTGCGGCCGGCAAGGGTGAGGGGGCCCCGTTTTAGGGAATGACGGGGGCGCGCCTTGACCCATCCGCCGCGCTGTGCTTACGCCGGGCGACAGTCTGCGGCTGCTCGTGACAAAAATGTGAACCCACTTGGCCCACCCGACTATTAGCTATTCACCGTAGTGCGGCCGGCAAGAGTGAGGGGGCCCGTCCTGTGTCGTATGGGGGGGGAACCGTGAGAAATAATAACCCGTAATTTACAAGCACATTAACCCACGCCTCACGGCCCTATCCCTGTCCCTACACGTAAATGTAGCGTCTGCGACCTAAATAAAAAATCTATAAAAAAAGAAAAAAAAAAGTATGGTCCAGAATGCGATTTAAACCGCCGACCCCCAGCTCCTGAAGCCGACGCTGTACCCACAGCGCCAGGGGGCACTTCCGGAATAGGTCATCTCTTTACATTTCGGCATAACCTAAAGCATTCCTTGGGACCGTTCTTGAAATTCTTGTTACTAAATCGGATCCAGGCCGTATGTGTCGTGGCTGTTAAGCTTAGGCATGTGCCTTCTTCCTTCGTATCTTGGCAGAAGTGACACGTCTCCTGGCATCTCAAGCTAGCCTCCTTTTAGGATCTCGTAATGGTATTGTTTCCACGGTGTTTTAGCATAAGCTAATCTGTTGCTCTGCCGTCCCTGCATTTGCAGAGCCACCCGAATATGTCGAACAGGACGAAGAGCCGAGCTGCCATCTTCTGTCTGTCAAATCAGGTCTGTCCTAAGATTGGTATTTGTTCTCTTGTTTTTTGTTTTCTTTACTGTGGGCCTTTCAAAGCATTAGCTTTATTCAAATTTATCTCGGTTTCTTGTTCACTCCCAGAGCCAGAATATTCCGAGGAAGTTCGGGAACCTGGGAACCCAGTCCCAGCCCTGACGGAAGGTATCTTCTCAATGACATTTCTTTCTGCAATGGGAACATTTAGTCAGAATGCGACGTCTTGTGTCGTATTGTTTTCCCCGCCAGGTGAACCACCAGGTCGCATGGACGTGACAAAGGTTACGTTCCACACAAATCCAGGTCTGTACTTCATTAAACTGGAAATTTTGACATTCAATCGCCAGCAACAGGTTGAATTCCACCTCGTCCTTTGCAGAGCCGCAGGTTTCCCAAGAGGCCCAGCAACGTGGCAACGCAGCAGTGGCCGTCAAGATTGGTCTGTTGTCTCGGTGTCATTTCACGGCCAGGTGCCATTCTGAATGTTGGAACCACCTTTGTGCGCAGAGCCTCAAGATCCGACGGAAGGCGACGATCAGGGGCTTCCCGCGGAGACTGGTACGTAGCTGCGCTTCGTTTTATTTTTCCGAATTTAGGTTTCTTTCATGGCCGTGAGAATCAGCCTTTACACCCAGTGCGGCGAAGGAATCTCTCGTGTACTCCATTTTGTGCTTTCTTGGATCGCGGGAAAGACTACAGTTGACCTCGTAATTCGATTGCTTTCGAGGCGTAAAACTTCCGTTTCTACGGTCGCTCGTTGAATGGGAATGTCGGCGATGAGTTTCCTGTCGTTCCGCCTCCGGTACGAGATTCCCGCCTTCGATGGTGCCTCGGAAGGCATCGAGCACTGGCTGCTGGGGTCCCGTCTTTCTCATCCTTTCGGCAACCCTCGACGACTTCCAGAAGGTTGTTGCGGCTGGTTTGCTTGCCAGCTTCTTTTTAGGCGAACGTGATCTTCCACGGTGCCCGGGTCTCTAAAACCGAGCCGTGAAAGTGGGTTAAAAAAACGTTCGACAAAAATCGCCACTAGCTTTTTGCGCGACACGTCACCGTTGTGAACGTCTGGTTTCTAGCAGAGTCGCCAAATCCCGGGACAGTGGCATTGTGCGTACGGTCGCCATTTTGGTTCGGGGCGGTGAGCAGGTTTTTTCGACCTCTTTGACCTTGGCAAGCCGATCCGAATTCCCGGCTAGGGGTTGCCTTACGAAGGCACTTCTCGTACACCGAGATCACGTTACGCAGGCACTCGCGAACCTAGGGCACATCTACGTGTGGCGTCAACGCTTGGTGGCATCGAAAAATAATTTTTTGTCTCGAAATATGCGAGAAGGACATCCCTGTCAGAAATGGGTGGAGATAAGCACGATGGTTGATTGCATGCACGGCGCCAAAGACGCTTACACTGGCTAGGAATGCTTTCAATGGGACGATGCTCCCTAGCAATCTTGGTGCGAATTATTTAAAACGAAACTTTCGGTGCATCAAAAACTTGGAAGGACCAAAATGGAAATCGTCGTGTCAACAGAAACCTGTCAGCCAATGGCCTTGCGTGGTTTCGGTCGTTTCTGTGTGTCCACTTGTGTCCAGGCGGGGAAAGCAATGGCGCCACTTTCCCAGCATCCGGCTGAGGCCACTAGGCACGCCTGGCACTGCACGGCATCGAGACTCGAAAGCTTCTTCTTGGAGACACGAAAACGGATTAGAGCATGTGTGGTACTCTATGCAAGTGGCAGCATCAATAGGATGCTTTGCGTCTTGCTTTCCTCTCACACACGGGAAATGACTTCTTTTCTCGCACTTTTTCCCCCCAAAACCTACCCTTGCCCAGTTTGAGTATGAAAAATGCACCACCTGAAGACACTTTCGTGGAAAGATGAATTGCATTTTGTTCGTTGGCTTTTTCACGCAGTCAAAAACCTTCATAAAGCCCTCGGGACTGGCAAAATTTTTTGTAGTGAAGCTAACTGGGTTATAGTAGTTGAGCACAAAAAAATGTGCAAAGCAGATTTCTGATTTTCGCATATTGACGTATCTGTGCGACATTCGAGGTGTGTTAGGAAATTGTATAGCGCCAAATATAGTCGGAGCGACATCAGAAACGAGGTTTTGTACGTCGCCACTTCACTTATCAAAAGGGGAAACGGTGGCAGAATCTGCTGTCACGTCGCAGCGCTGAACACGCGAGGCGAAAGCTCGCGCTGCAAATTCCGGGCACCTTGAGCTCGACCATCGCCTCTTTTTCTTTCTCTAAACGAAAATTGTATTGGCACGGGTTTGTGTACGCACCACTGCTGGACGCATTTTCAAGACGCCATGCTAGCAGTCGTACCACCGGTACCGAGACTGGGAAAGTTTGTCGTCTAGAGCCGAGACAGCAGGCACTCCTTGCTGCAGACTAATCTCCCGCTGTCCAAACTTCCACCCAGCAAACTCAACTGACTTACCAAAATATGAATCCTAACAATCGCTAAACCACCAACGTCGACCACCCATAACGCGGCAAAGGCATTCACCGACTGTGCAAGTGTGGCCTTTCCTAAATTGGGCGGTGGCAAGCGCCTCCGAGTGTCCTTTGGAGGAGGCTCTCAAAATGGCTGTGCTGCTCTGACCGAAGCTTTTACACGTCTGTCCGGAACGAAAAGGGGGGCGCGTTTCTTCCTCTGCGGCTCTACTGATTTCGTTTAGATTTTGGCCTCGGGGCTACAGTCGCAGATCGCTTCCTCGACCGCGTATCGTCGCTCCAAGGCGGAACAGTTTGGGACTTTGAGGGAAATTGGGATCCTCTGAAATCTGACGAAGCTCGGCGCGTCGGACAAACAAATGCCGAGACTGCATAAGAAAAGTTGATTTTCGATAAAAATATTTCTTTTTATATACTCCCGTCAAATGCATCGACGTACCTGCAAAATAAAAAACGAGTGTGCACTGTGCGGATGGCGCGTTAAAAAGAAAATCATCATGGAGCAGAGTGGCGCGTATCCGACGGTGTGAGCAAGAAAAACAAAAGTGGAAGCCGTTTACAACTCCCTGTAACACCGAATTAGAGCGCAGCTTTTGAGGGGGAGGAGGGAAGGGTACTGGGGGGGGGTCACGTGACCTTGGGGGGTCAAGTGACGATGCCAATGATGCCATCAGTGACGTCACTGATGACGTCATCAGTGACGATGATGATGTGGATTCCGATGACGTCATCAGTGACGTCACTGATGACGTCATCCGTGATGACGACGATGAGGATGCCGGTGACGTCATCAGTGATGATGACGATGCGGATGCCGGTGACGTCATCGGGGAGGTCACGTGACTTCAAGGAGGGGGGTCACGTGACCTCGGGGGGGGGGGGGGGGGGGTCACGTGACCCTGGGATGACCTTGAGGGGTCACGTGACCTTGGGGTGACCTTGGGGACGCCGACGCCGCTCAAGCCGGGAACGGGCCCCTAAGAGCTGCGCTCTAAAAGTATGTGGCCACGCAAAATGAAGGCGGCGGCACCGCCTTCGTCGTGCCACTTCTGCCGCAGCACCGCACGTTCTCGGTCTTGAGTCTGAATAATTTGTTAGTGTGCAACCTCGTGTCTAGATGGCGCTACCTGACTATGTTGCTGCATAAAAAGCCTGTATGCAGGGACATAGTCACGTAGTGCCATCTAGAGGCGAGGTTATAGACTAATAAACCGAGAATGCGCGTTGCAGGGGCAGTGGTTTCAGCTGTTGCCGCATTATTTCTCTCGTCTAGCTACACTTTTACGTACTTTGACAATTTACGTAGAATTGATTACTTTTCACGGAGAAATTTCTTTGTATCAGTATTTTTTGCTTCGTGGGGTTGTGAAATTGCTTCGTTAAATGGAAATATTTGTTATATAGGACTTTGTTCCAGTACAGTCGAACCTCGATGTAACGAACTTCAATGTAACGAAATCCTCGATTTAACGAAGTATTTTATTTTTCATAATTTCTTGCCCATAGACCCCATGTATTTTTAGTCCCTATATAACGAAGTCTATTTTGCTGCTATTTCAATATAACGAAGCGCCATTGCCATAGAAGGCAATAAATAAATCAACTCTAAAAAACAACTTCCCAAAAAAATTGTGGTTAAAAAAAAAAATTATGCGCAAACGCGAGCGCTTGATAGGTTACTTCACGGGGACAGGCCTTCCAACGTTCCTAGGCTCGGCGCCGGTAGCGCCGGCGAGGCATGCGGCAAAGCGGATTCCGCGAGGCTGGCCAGAAAATGCCGAGCAAAAAGTTAACACGGCATAACAGCATCACCACTGACATTCACTGATCATCATAGTCCACTGTACCGCGGGCAGCGCGGGAGCCAACTTCGGCGGGGGAGCGACGTGATGGCGCGACCGCGCGGGCAGTGCCATCTAGGAGAAGACCGAAAAGACCGATTATCGTCTTGCGAGCGTGATGTAAAGCAAAGGCAAAGGCGCAAGCACACTGTGGGCGCAAGGGGGCAAGTAAACTGTGCGGTCAAGACTCAGTGCTGTGTAGGTTGGAAACATTGGCACCGCCTAAACTAATCAGCTTTATTTTTTAACCGGGCGGTTCACTTACGTGCTTGCTGCCATAAGGAAACGTAAAGTTCTTTCTATGGATGAGAAAGCAAACGTTTTGGACGCCATCCTGAAGAAACTGCCGAGATCACCGAGCACTCGGGAAGTGCTCGACGCAATGGACGTACTGAGGAGGTACACGGCGTCGCGTGGGCAGCAAGATGCCGTGCAAGCGATCTGGGCGCTCGAACGCCGTATGACGCCGCCGACGCCGCTGCTACTGTCGGACAAGGCGCAAGCAAAACTCGCGGACTACTTTGCCCCTAAATAAATGTCATTTTCGGTGAGTTTTCATACCCGTAAAATGTTTCGGAATTTGTTTTTTTCGCATGCTAAAGCCAAATTTCGATTTAGCGAAATTTCAATGTAACGAAGTAAATTGCGAATTTTACCGACTTCGTTACATCGAGGTTCAACTGTATTCCGGGAACCACATTGGAACACATGGGAGATTGGCCGGGACTTTATTTTACTTCTCTAAACGGGCATTTTCGTAGTAGAGGCGTTTGTTGTAAAGGCGTTTGACTGCATTGATTTCTTATTGCCCTATAGCACCCTGATACACTTCGTAGGTAGCGTGATGAGCGTGCCATCCACCCATTCTTCCTAGGCCTGGGTGGGGCAGCTCCGAAGCAGTCCCAGCCAGATGCAGTCCCCGTGCATCCCACTGGCCCGCATCCCGTCCTGGCCCGGCCACCACAGGGGGTCGTCCCCCCCGTCTCGGACAGAGCACAGCCGCGGGTGAAGGTCGTCTACTTCCGCAAGGTGGAGCGGGGCATTGCCACGCAGCCCGTGGTGACGACTCTGCCGGTCGCGGCGCTGCAGTCCCTCCTGGCGGCCGAGTCCCCACAGCCGGGCGTCGTGCCAGTCTGGCTTCCTGGTTCCGGTGAGTCTCTCGGATCTCTTGGGGGCAACGTTTTCGGTGATGACGGTGCGGAATTTTGGCGTTGGAAACGCTGCTGTGGGCGTTTTCGTTTCTCTTTAATTTCGTAGAGTGCCCAAGAAGCGCCCACCCAAGTTTTGGCGAAAGTCGGGTGATTGTGGCTCGGTTAAAAGGGCAACGAGCGAAATGACAGCCAACGAGAAAATGCTCTCGTAAAAAAGACATTTCTTGGTCGTGTCAACAACAGCAAAAACCTTTTCTTTCTTGGTTTGCTAACAATGCTTCAACGGGGTTTCTTCTTTTCGTCTTTCTATGGCTCTGAATTCATTGACAGAGTGAGAAACTGGGGTGGACAGCTGTTCTTGGGCACTAGAAGACAAGAATTGATTGATCCGTACAAGGTGCAAGGTTCATGCTACTGCTGTTTCGGGTTAGGGGCCATTTCAGCTGGCTGTGTAGACGAGCCTGGTGCAAAAAAACGTCTCTGCAAGAAAGATGTTATTCTCTTTCTTGCCGACAAGTGTTCTTCCCTCAAATAAGTGCTTCCGGCACCCACAATGTCGAGTCTTTAGCATTTGCCTTTACTGTGGTCACTTTGAGCTTTTAGAAAGCATGTTTTTGCCTGAAAACCAACGGACAAAACTCTTTGTAGTAACTTTTATTGGAGTCTAGTACAAAATGAAGGGCGCGTTATGTTTTCTAAAATCTTTAGTTTGCGAGGCTTTGCGGCACAATTTGTATTACTTTTGTACAACTGAGTCTCAGCGGTGATTTCAGGTAGCGTGTCCTGACCCAGGCGCATCCTAACTTCGGTGGTGATTCGCGGCGCGTTCGCTCGAGAGACGGAGGCGGCTCCCCAGAATCCCACCGTGTCTGTTTCGGAGCCAAAATGGCCGATTCAAGCCAAAGTTCCAGTCTTGCGCAGTTCCTCCAGTGGCCGCTGCGGGAGAAATGGCGGCGTTGGGATCGCCATTAGCTCGGTTTTCGAGTATGGGTCGGTGCTACTTTTTCAGGGCAGGCTCTTTGGCAGTTTCCAACTGAGTGGTTTAGTAACATTGGCTCGGGTGAATGTCAGCTTAGAGCAATTTTATTTTTTGAGAGACGTAATGTGATGTTGTGAAACTTTCCCGTTCTGTTGATACCGCTAATGTCACTTTCTCGCAGAGTTTCAGCTTTCTGCAGCTTGCAGCTTATGCGAGAAGGAACACCGGGTTTCATTTTCTCGATCGGACCCGGCGCATTAACTATTTTTTTGTCCCTGGTTGATTTGTTTTAGCCACGCGGGGTGAGTCTGGTGCCCAACAGAGTCTAGCTGAACGGCTGAATGCTGGTCTGGCTGAGTTTGAACATTCACGTCTTCAGCCTGCTTGGCCGACAGTTTAATGGGTTGGCGTCATTGGAGATTGCTTTAACACTAGAAGTCTCGTTACACACCTCGAAAGTTTACAAATACTGAAAAATACATTAATACATTAGTGTCGGCATTGGTCATTCCGCTAATAATGGTGGCAAAGGAATTCCGTGATCTGTATTAGGCACGGATAGAGGAATACTATATCCAAAGTGTTTTGGTTTGTTGAAGTGGTTCAAGCTTACCAGTTCTGTAGTGATAATTTTCCGCAGACTGCTAATTTGACCTGACATTGAAAAATGGAAAATGATTTTCAGAAAAATTTATTGGTTCTAATGTTTCTGCCACTTTAAAACCCACATCTGCCCTTTTTAAATACCATATTTGCTCGAGTAATAGTTGCACTATTTATGAACAATGTTTTTGTGTCTACTTTCCCGCAGAACACATAGAGAGCCAATCATCGCATGGCAGATAAATGATGGCCGTTCACTCGGTCGAGAACACGATTATCCGTAGAGATACCATCTTCACAGAAGGTATCTCTGTGTGAAAACCTTATCTCTGTCCCGTAAATTGCTGGCATCACGCTGTCGATCTCTGGGATTGGCAATACGCGTGCTCCGCAGAAAAGGAGACGCTCGGTTTTTTTCTATAGACAGTGTGGCTATTAAGGCCCGCTCACACACTTGTGACCTCTTAGAACCGGGTAGCCTTGGGACCTTTTAACATCTCTTACAACGAGAGGACACACTGGTGCCATCTATTGGCTAGCAGTGGAAACTTGTTGGTCCGGCATAGTTTCTATTTATCTCTCATTATCCCTTCTTTCTTGGCTCGAAAAACCTTTGTCAAGGTTATAAACGAGCCTTTCTTATAAGTATTACACACACTTGACCTCGGAAATCTCTCAAAACCTTCGCTCTTGTGAAATGCAGCTCCAGAGTCACCGCATAGATGGCGCCAGCGTGCCGGTGTGTTCTCTCGTCCTAAGAAATTTTAAGAGGTTTGAACAGGTCTCGGTTGTACTCGGTTGCGAGTGTATGAACGGGCCTTTACTCGAGTAAATTTGGTACTATATAAAGTGTCACTGGGTGTTACTTAATGGCAGCCTCTTGCCATCTCTCCTAAAATGGCCACCAAACCGTGAGACAGTGTGCGTCCATCCATCCGTGATCGGCTCTATAGCGTGTCTCCTCATTGGTTGAAACCCGGTGGAGGGCTCATGCGGCGAGGGGCACCGTGATTGGCAAAAGACAATTTAACGGGCCTGGTGACATGGGCGCCAACCGGCTGCGCACGAGGCGAGCAGGCGTCCGCTCACCAGGCGGGCTTCCGCAGAAGGAGAGAACTGGGGCTCGGTCTTCACGATGCTTCCGAGGAAGAGGCCTCCAGAAAGGGAGCGTTGCAATCGTGGAACTGCGCTACAATACTGGTGGTGAAGTTTACGATCTCTGTTGGCTGCACAATTTGATCCTCTCAACTGACAACGAGAACAGATACAGGAAATCTCTTGCCAACTTGGAGCGCAGTGAAGGCTACGGGTAATATTGTGTCCCTATTCTAGGGCTTCTTCCCGGGGAGACGCTGGTCCAGCAGAGTACCTCGAGCGTGTCCAGCTCATAGCTGTACTCGGCGTCGACTATTTCGTGCCGTCGAGGCTGGCGCATCTTCTAAGGTGCTTCAGCCCCGCGCTGCTGCGAGGGCTTCATCTTGCGCCTCATTTGCTCTCGTGCAAAGGAGATGAATTGGAGCACTGAGGAAGCTGATCTTGGCCACCTGGCAGAAAATACACCGAGCATAGGAACTTGCTCCCTTAAGCTACATCGATGCGATAGGCTGAGGCTACCGTATTTGCGCGAATGTAACGTGATTTTTTTTGTTCGACATTACGGGCTCCGAAACGCGTTACATTCGGAATCGAGCTCGGCCACGTCTTGCTAGAGTCGGTAGAAAGAAAGGGAGGAATAGGGGGAATGTTGAAAGCATTCTGTCTTTCTTGCAATGCACACGGCCGCAAAAACGTCAAAAACACGACGCGCCGCACGGGAGTAGGGTACACTGGCCGGTTGAAGCCCAATGAGGCCAAGACCGCTGGCCATGTTTATGGAATCATGAAACCCAAGGTTTTTGTTTATGCAGACGGATAAGCACGTAGGATCTGTATCACTTCTAGCAGCCCTTATTTTGCCTGTTCATTTTTTAGTTCCTGCTCACGAGTGTTATGGCATTTGTGCATCCGCTTGCACCGCTAGTTCGAGGAAGAAAAAGAAAGTACCGGGCGAGCATATTTCCGAAGTAAGCCAATGGCAAGAAGGACCCTAGAACTGATGATGAGTGCAGTCCAAATGTACACAATATTTTCCCGATTCTCGCGCTCTTTTCACTTCTGCTATCCAGTAACTTTATATTCGCGTTATGATAGTAATAATCTTTTTACTTCCTTTTAGGGGCTTCAAGACTGGCCCTCGCGTTATATTCCTGGTTGCCTTATATTGGTGCAGATACGGAACGGAATAGAAGCAGCTTCAGAAGCTAGGAGCTTGAAACCCTGTCCCTCACCGTGCACCACATCAGCCCCAAAGATGCCTTCATCTGCCGCGCGAGCACCGACATTTAGTCCCACCTTCGTAATGGAAAGTCGGGTCTCTCGCCCGTGAGTTTGTACGCCGCGTAGTTAACGTGCCTCCATCCGTTTGCCCTTTCTAGGTCCGGGTGCAGCATCGTTGCGAGAAGTCGAGCAACGTCGGGTCCACGTGGATCCGATACTCCCAATGCAGCCACCTCGGCACGCAGCCTCTGCCGTCTGTGAACCTCGGGAAGACCTAGTCCACAAGGTGGAGCAGTCCTAGCAGCCAGTCATCGCGACAAAGTTGTGGCACCGTTGTGGTTCGGGTGAGGGGCTCCCTTGGTTAGCTTTTGGAGAGGATGGTACGGTGCTTGGAACGCAACTCTGACAGGTGTAAGGGTCCTCAAACGTGGCCCTCGGTTTTCGCCGGATGAAGTCGTGGAAGTGTCTCGCTGTCCCCTGCTGTGGTCCTAGAGGTGGTGCAGCGGCGGAGCTGGGTGCAAGAGACGCTTGTTCTGCCGCCGATCACTCTTGAACTTGACGTTCCACAGTAGCCTTGGCAGCCGGGAGTTAGAAGGCCGCCACAACAGCAACACTCGCAGTCTCTTGCACTTTCTTTCTCGGAATTTCTACGCCCAACCGTCGGGGCCGCAGCGACCGGGAGCGTGACGCTCCAAGGGCCCTAAACTGGTCAAACACAAAGTTGGAGCTAAACGTTCGCGGAGCGCACAGACTGGACGTCGGCAAAAAAAGCGCAAAGTCATCGTCGTGATAGGCCAATCGGCGCGCTCTGTTCACTTCGGCCCAAACTTTGTGTTTGAGGAGTTTAGAAGCCCAGCTTTTGCAACATGGTTCGTTGCCACTTCGAGAACACTTTTAGAAGCACCGGCCGAATGGACGGACACGCCGTTCGAAGAAGCGGCACCGTACCTTGGCAAAGCATCTGTTTGTCTGTCTGCAATGGCTGTTTGATCTGTAAGCCGCAACGATTCGCTTTGTGCATGCTCAGCGCACGCAAACGTGTTGCATAGGAAGGCCTTGTTGCGAAATGAATAACCCTTCTTTGAAGAAATATGTATGGTATGCATTACTGTAGGGTGTCGGTTCTACTAGATTTCGAGGTGGAGAAGCAACGGTGGTCAGGGCAAGCAACGTTACTAGATCAAAGTCAGTTGGCAAACTTCCAGAACGCCTGGCATTGTTGCTTCTGTGCCTGCTCGGTGCCACAGGCTACACTATCCACCCACTATACGGGCAGAACGTTTAATGCACATAGCCTGCGGTGAGAAGTGATTCTATTGTGGATGTTATAGTAGCCGTAAAGTTGGCAAAAAGAGCGTCGTTCGAAAATGGTCTCTCCCACGGAAGCAGGTTTGCTGGCGGCGGAACGCCATCGGCCCATGCTTGCATGCAGGCAACAGCCGAACCATTCTCGAATATCACTCTTTGTGGAGCTTCTCAACTGATAGATCTAAGAATGTTGGCGTGTGAGGGCAAAAAAATAGGAAGAGCGCAGTTCTTAGGACGAGAGACGGCCGGCTTCATCTAGTTGCCTTTCCACTGGTCTGCCGCTACATCTATGATGACCGTAGACACGTTTGTCCGCAGGAAGTCGCGGGTCCCCAAAACGGCAAGAGTGAGCTCGACCAGTTCGGCAAGCTCTTCACTGGCGGCTTGGACTGCAGTACGACAGACTCCAAGGCTGCTTTGAGTAGTCACGAGGTGTCTTTGTGCAGCTACGAACTTGACGTCGATGCGCCAAAAGAGGCCCGTGCAAGATGGAGCGGCCTGCACCAAGGCTTTCGTGGACGCAGTGCCCGTCGGGATGTCTCATTGCATGTCTGTGTGCTGGGTTAGCAACTGAGTGCGACACAGTTGAGCTTATTTGAACTCTTTTTCATATTCATTGATTGTACAACCATTTTCATTTTGTGAATTCATTACAGTGATGGAGGCAGCATTTGACCTTTTGTGTAGCAGGCAAAGCTTTTCTATGGAGCAACTGCCGATGCTTTTGGAGCAGACGCCAACGTCTGTTAGCACATCGCTTGGAAATGAAACTCCGGAAGGCATTCCAACTCCGGAAGGCATCCCCACCTATCCAGACTTTGGCCTGCGCAAGCCTTCAGATTTTCAAAAGTTGAAAGGATCGACCTACGTTAGTGTAAATACTTATGGTAAAGCTTTTTATACGAAGAATACTCGAAGAAAAAAAACGAGTTCGATCAATATGTTTTATTGGCGTCTGCGAGAAAAATGGGAAAACCGCATTCACATGAGACACATTATCTTTTTCACTCATGTGCTCTATTTGACTTTAGAATCATGACCTCCTCGAATTGTTTATCTGACATCAGTTCAATCGGCAGTTTAGTAGCAATACTGTATTTGCACGAATATAACGCGAGTATTTTTACGAAATTACGTGCTCCAAAACGCACCTCGTGTTATATTCGGAATTGACCCCGTCAGTGATGACGTCACAACTTGGCGTCTGGGTCCAAACAAACCGTTGCTAGGGGCGTTGCTATGGACTAATACATGGAGACTCCACACGAGGCTGGATTTTCGCTTATAAGTAAGTAAATAATTTCTTTTGTAAGCAACCTAACTTCTTGATATCTAATTATGAAGATGTTCTTGTCATCTCAGCGTCGTATTGCAACGATGAAAGCCATTTCTGAAGTATTCCACTCCGTTTTGCTTTGGTAGCAGACGACACGATAGATTTGCTGGCCTCTGTTGCAGCCGGCGTCTTCATTCGAGCAACACAAGCAAGTGCATGGCCGCAGAGGCCTCCGCAATATGCGTTTCTTTCTGTGAAGAACCCAGCTTAGTTCAGAGGGGCGAAAATTATGTAAAATCAAACCACATTATGCAGATCAGTTACGACGACGACCTGAAGTGCGTTACCGGCGTAGTGCAGGCCAGCATGAGAAACAAATCGTACGCCGTCGAGGTAAGTCGTTTGTTATTATTATTGAGGTTGTCAGGTTATTAAAGATTTGCATGTCTATCGGAATTTCACATTCGTTTTTATACATTAAATTTAGGGGATGTGCTCTTTCGGTGAAGGTCTCCATCGAACCAGCGATGAGAGTACAATCTGTAATAAACTCACCTTATGTTTTTTTTATCCAGTTCTTTCGCGTTTTGGGGATTTGCGGAAATCTGAGGAAACTGCAAGAATCTTTCTCCACGCGATGGTTACCACCAGGTAGAAGCACCCTCCCATAGCGCGAGTCCGCAAACAAAATTTGGGACATATATAAAATTGAAAGAATAAAGCACAGAGGACAAGCACAGGAAAACCATCTTGCCGATCGCCTGAAGTGCTTTTCTCATGGGTGCATTGCAATCCTTTAGCAAACGATCATCTCGATCGACGCCCGGACTTCCGATAAGCCATATTTTTTAATATAATTTAACCATAAACTCATATTTGGAACAAATGCCAATTAGAATATCATCTTTATTCACTCGATTGAGACGCCGGCGGGCGTGTGGCAGACGGCATTGCATTCGTCGTCTGCTGCAGGGACCTGGACTCCTCTCATTGGTCGTAACCGTGTAACGGTTTTCGGTCAAGCATTCTTTTATTCCTTCCCGAAAAAAATCGGGTCTCTTATATTTTTAAAAATTAGCATTACTGGTGTAATTCCTTTATTTTATAACGATTACTTTTACACGGCGTTTCGTAACAAGAAATCTGAAACATAAAAAGTGTTTAGTTCGCGATATGTGGTGAGGGGCGCTGCCTAACGCCCGATTACCGGAACGGGCCTTGAGTGGGACCACTGCCCCGTCGTGCAACCTGGTGCAACACGAGGCATTTGTTTAGGCAGAGGTACCAGAACAAGGAGTTTGATCGTGTATCGGATTCAGCAGTCTTTTTTTCTGTTTCTCATTGTTTAGCTTCTGCTCCAGAGGCTCCAGAGTGATCTGGTGTTTGTGGGTTGGTGCTTCTGCTTCGTGCCTTGTTTGGATTGTGGGCTGCCGAGGAGCTCGCACGGCAGAAAACTACCCGAGAAGCAGCTGCCGTGCTGCTGCTTATCTGCGTAGCCGCCAAGTGGATTGTAAACGGAAGGACCTGAGCAGAACTAGCAGAACTCGCACACTCTCATCTGCTATGCCCCCGAGTGTGAGAAATTGACGCGGCCTCGGTTCGCGTTACAATAGAAATAATATATTTTTTGGGGTGAGACTATTTTGCCGGCAGCCGGAAAAATCGGGGGAAAAAATGCCGGCAGTCAATTTCGGTTCGAGATGAAGCAAGCAGGGTCGCTATTTTCTCTGAACAGACTTCCGAAGCGATTCGATAAATTGGTGTCGCTAGAACGGCATCACTAATCCACCGTTCGCTCAAATGAACGCCGCCACTCGCTAAAGTGTCGTTCAATGAAACATCATGGGTGGAACTTATTCATTTGCTAAAACGTTGTTCGATCGAGTCAGTGCATCCCAGGTCGAAGCCAAATCAACCTTAATCACGGCGTATGGTTCAAGATTCATAGTTTCTACCATTTTGACAAAGTGAATAGAAAATTACTGTACAAAGTAAGTTCACTTAAATACAAGTTACTGGAAAATGTACCTAAGATACAGATACAAATACCGAGAAATTAAAGTAGCTAGGTTTGGTACCTCAGGTACAATTCTATACCTGTTTTCACCTCAAGAACCGTAGCAAAAAAAGTTTGGCTCTTTGCGGAGCATTACTAATTTTCTTCTTTATGTGGGTAATCAAGATATATGTAGGTAAATTTTTGATAAAATATACGTTATCTTATCAAGACGCGCACGTTCCAAACGACAAAAATATTGCTGGTTCCTCCGACAGGCATATCTGATAAGAACTCCTTTGCGCCGCAAATAAACAATGTGCAAAACTTGCTTTTTTCTTGAGGTGAAAACGGGTATAGATACCGATTTTCAGTAACTTGTACCTAGGTACTTTACAACCCTGCAGGCAACAAATATAATGAGTCATGTTCCCAGCTAGAACTGAACAATACGTCTGCAGAGCTCTATCCAATTTTTCTTAGCATTCCTTTCTAGGCATGAATATGGCGTCGATTCCCACAGATTCTGCTGTGCTTGTAGGTGTGAATCACGGGACCGGTCTAGCTTCCGCCGCTGGAAATTATTGACCTCTAAAGTTAGAAACTATTCACGGCTCAAAGCAGGTCATTCTGCGCGATTTCCTTCTACGCTAACGGTGCAGAGAATACATTGGTAATCCGCGGGATATTCTCAAAGAGGACGACCTAGCCGGTAGGGTGCATCACAGAGCGACCAGTCTGCCTAGCAGTCTGTCTAGCATTTCAAGATGCCAGTTCGACAACAGTGAGACAAGACAGCACGGATTGTAATGCAGGTTTTAATCCTGGGGACACCCACGCGCTCAATTTACATATTTACATGGAGATAAAACAACTGCTGCGCACGCACTTTAAGCCTAGCTCTTCAATTAAATAAAAGGCAAACCTCTCTTAGAGGCAGGGCACAGGGTTTTTGGCTGCAGAGCCACAGCTTGGCCAAGGGGCCCCATCGAGAATGTAAACCTTTGTGGAACGCTAAAACAGAGGACACAAGCCAGCCAAGTACCACAGCTGAACACCTGCACCACTAGATAACGACATAAATCTCTAAGAACGTGCAATACTGTCCAATAAAAATCACAAACGTGGACGTTACTATACAAACACTGTGTCGCACACGATGCAGACAGCTAGTCGCTCATTGCCAACACAAAGAACATAGAGCCTGCCAAGAACCTCGGTATAGAAAAAAAAAAGCCTACTCGCAGATCTAGGTTCCAGCTAAAAACAATGATAGCTAAACTGGCCCATATTTCTTTGTAAGAAAAAACCTAAAAAAATGGTCCTGCGCTTCTGAAAGACACTGGAAAAATGGAGAGGCAGACACATTCCCGTGGAAGAACGGAAGAAAACCCATAGGGTCACTGAATGTATATATAGGGACCAGCATTTCATCTTGTCGGCCGTAATGGTACCAACAAGAGCGGCTTACAACCTTGGATTCGCACAATTGTATAATTAGCTGACTGTACATTCATGAGGTGCCATTCTGTTTAGCATGTTTGTAGAAGCTGTTTCAAGCCACGGGCAAGTTTCTCCCAGCTGTCTTTTTCTATCGGAAAGCTGCACATGACGGCCAGCCTTAGGGTGGCTCCATTCAGTGTTACGAAGCCTTTAACTCCGTGAGCACTGGGCGACCATACGTTGGTCAGTAACAATTCATGCTCAGACTTGCTTCCTTTGCTGGTCCCCCGAGTCTCTGCCTCCCAGAAAAGTTGCTCCCAAAGTTGGAGATTCGGACAATAGTCTTGGTTCCAGCACCACAACCATGATCTGACAAGAAGGCTCGTGATTGGGCAGGCTTCGATTCCCTCAAACCAATCGTGCAGCTGCCGGAACTAAATGCAAAAAAGCGTCCGCTGTGTTATAGGACAGGCCTAGTTTTCATGGTACATCACGCAGGTGGGCTATCGCCACGCTGAACTCCCACAGCTTGTACGGCGGGGAGGTTGGCCAAGCTTCTCGAGAGTTGGAAACATACTACGTCTCGCTACTCCTCCCAATGGCCCTGCAAATTTCAATGCTACGCCTCACGATAAATTTAAAAGGCCAATTTGTCAACTGCAATAGCCACAAAGATACAAATTAAATATCGAGCACAAATGGGCAAAGACAAGTTGCGTCCTTTCCATAAAAAGCGGCCGAGCCGTTCCGTCAGCGCGCGCGGTAACTCGTCTCGTCTTCTTCGGATGTCAACGAAGGGTGTCGATGGTCCCGCGAGGAGTTCCTCCTGGTCTTCTTGTCCGCTCGAGACTTGGTCGGCTTGGCGGTCGTTTTGACCGCTTCTCTCCGCCAGTTCTGCCTCTTGAGGTACCAGTTCTCGGTCTCTGCCGTGCTCTCTTCTCCACGCTGACGCTCTCTTCCCTTGGCACGGCGGCTGAACCAGTCCTCCCGCTCTTTCTTCTCCTCCTCCTCCACCAAATCCATCGCCCGCTTTCCGAGGCCTTCCTCTTCCAGCTTCTTCCGAGCCGCCGTCTCGGCACCGCCACTCGGTGCATCCCCGGGAGTCGCCACTTTCTCCCAGCGCCTTCCCAGAGCCAGCGCCACCTTCGAAAGCTTCTCGAAAAGCTTGTCCGCCTTGGCTTCCGTCACCTTTTTGCCCTTGGCCATGAACTTTGCCCCGACCTGAAAGACCTTCTTCAGAGAGCCTTCGAGAAGCTTAATCGTGCGCGAGACTGCGGCGCCGTGAGTTTCATCTCGATCCTGACTGGATTGCTCCATGTACTCCTGAAACTCCGCCCTTTTCTTTGCCACCTCCTCGCGCATCTTGGTCACCAGCTCCTGGAGGCGTGGAGTCAAGTCCCCGGCCAACTCGGCGCTGTCCTTCACGTACCGGAACAGGGAGTCTAGGCTAGCGTCGAAGGCAGTCTCCATGTCGTCGTACAATGTCTGCGCCGTACCAAGAAGCTTCTTCCAAACGGACCCAGTCTTGTCCCTGGCCCTGCTCTCTCTCAGCTGCTCGTACAACCTGCGCCAGTGCTTCGAGTCTTCCACCATTAAAGCTTCCTCCGTTTCGTCCGTCGTCTTCTCAAACACGTTGTCGTCCGTTTCTGCCGTGTTATCTGGACTGCCGTCCACTTCGGTTGTCTTCTCAAACTCGTCATCCGCGTGGGTCGTCTTGCCAGACACGCCGTCGTCTGCTTCCGACGCCTGCAAGACGAAACCGTCGTCGTCCACTGCCGTCGTCTGCGAGACTGGTTTGTCCACATGTGCTTCCGCAGTTTCCAGCGAGGAAGCGTGGTCTGCCAGCGACTCCTGAAGAGGATCCCTCTCTTCCGCTGCCGTCTGCAACGGGCGGCTGTAGCGGAGCCGCGCTACGACACCCCTCAGGTCTTCGTTTTCGATGAGTAGGTGGTTGACCTTGTCTCGAAGAATGGAAACCCGACTTGCGTAAGTTCTGTCGAGGGTCCTCTCGTGCCTGGGCACCTGCTGCATCTTTTGCTTCAGCTGGCTGTTCTCCGTCTGCAACATCTGCACTTGTCTTTCGAGCGAGATCAGCATGGCTTCGCGCAGCGAGTCGTGGCCCAGTCTCGACTTGAGCTCCTCATTCTCTTCGTTCAAAGACTTCACCTGCAAGAATCAAGTGTTATACAGGGAAGTTTAATTTTTGCTGCTGTCAGCTTAACATTTTTATGCTTTTATTTAACGTTTCTTTTCAAATTCAAGTCTACGCTTTTTAACAAACGGGAGCAGTTCCATATTCTTGGTTACTAGGTTGGCCTTGCAACCCTCTAGCTTGGACAACTTCCCAATCTTTCTGGCAGCTGTTAGAATCTACTAGAGAAGTTAGACTCCAGTTTTCTATTTGCTTAGAAAACATCATGCAAGATGTCGTTGGAATTAGAACCTCTGTCCTACTCATGTACACTCCAGACTTGCATCTGTGGCCATGGAACTCCATCTCTATTTCAGCGAATCAAAATATTGAACGCATACAAAAACTATTTGTACAACTAACCTGCGACAGATATTTGGGTCAAAGTTGCTGTTACAAATATAATTTGATTTAAAAAACAAAAATTTAAATTGGCTTTTTTTTAGGTTTGTTGGAGATAGAAAGTTCTTGCTTAGGTTAATTTGTGGTTTGCACAGCCCATTCTTTTCGCTCGTAGAAACTTTTGCATTCCTGTTACCAGAAATTCTAGACTTTTTTATCCAGATATTCGACGTAACTTTCCACCGATTTCGCAAATACAGCATGTATTTGCAAAACACTGAGTTTACCAATTTTTTTTTACTTGCACAAATTTGTTGTTTTAATAAACACAATTTAAGCATGTATGCGAATTTAAGTATGAGTATGAATTTAGGCAGGTGTATAAATTTATCGTGCGTATTTGAGCTGTTGGTAAGTGCGAGCTGACTTTGAGCTGTTGGTAAGAGCGAGAGAACAAAAAAACATTGAATTGAAATTAGCATGGGACCCTTTGGCAGCCATGGCAGTCTGAACCGTGATAATCTGCAATTACTGCTTTCTTACCGTTGAAACTAAAGCCTACATGAGCATCGTAGGTCAAGAATAAACATGATGTGGCACTCTATGCATCTTTTTTCAAAGTGCCCTCTAACCCATAAAATCTTGAAATTGGGCCCAACATACCTGATGTTTGCAAACCAAATATACAAAATGAACTAGAAAACTCTAGGGGTATGCAAATAGTGATCCTTGAAACCGAATAGAATACGAACCGAATAATTGTTGCACCGAATCGAAAGCGAATCGAATAATTTTCGAATAGAAACAAGGCTGCTACTAAGGAAGAGTAAAGATGATAAAATTAGTTTATTGTTCCAAAATGTTTCTTAAAAGAACGGTAATAATGCGGCTAGACGGGAATGAGTGGAGTTCAACGATATACAAATAAAAGCTACTAAATTGTTAGAGTGCTAAACATACTATCCAGTTTCACGCGGATGCTGAACATAAAACCACAGTTGGTGGGGGGTACTAAAGAAAAGAAGCTTACACTTTCTGAGATTTCAGTAGCTGTAGCCATATGGGAGTGAGCTGAGACAGTACACTAGAGATCTTATTTTCGTAGATCAGAAAATGAGAAGGCTCGTTACGTCAGCTTAAAGGAGCTGTGCAACAATTTCAGGGCTTCAATAGTTGTGGAAGTTGATGCCGGACACTTGTGAAGTGAACTACAGAAAACAGATGTTGTCTGGATAGCCTAGTTTTTATTTAAAAAAATGAAAAAGACCCAGGTTTTTGCCACCTCTCAACTCGTGCATCGTCTTCCGGGTCACGTGCGCAGTGACGTCGATGGGGTAGGCGCGGGGTTTCGGAAAAGCTCTCTCTCTCTAGAGCCATCAGTGAGAACTCATCCGCTCGCAACCACAGGCGGGCGCAGAGCAAACAATATGGTGAAAGGAGGAAAGTCTCATCCAGGTTCGGCCATCCCCGTCCGGCCCTGTCCCCCTCCTGTTCGCAGTAGCAGATAGAGCCAACGGTTTTGTGGACCTAAGATAGATGGCGCCGCTAAAACTCCGTATAATAAAAGTTTTCTCAATGATACCAGGTTTTTGACGCATTTATATTTAGGTTGGAACGACAAGATTTATAGAAAAGTTACCTTTTATCGAGCAGGTATTTGCGCAACTTGCTATCTGTCTACTCATGGTCGCCGCTCGCGGCTGCAGGTCGGGGAATATTCAAAGTTTTGCCTCGCTATTACGCGGCGGAATCGCAACATTTCGATGACAGGAGGTGTGTTTTCTGCCATTTGTGACAAGGTGAACAACGTCAAAAGTAGAAGATGCCAATTCTTTCGACGTTAAAATCGTTGCACAGTTCCTTTAAAGTACTTATAGTTCTCATGCAAGAAAACAACCTTTTTCGCGTGTTCTGGCGCAAGAGACTCTCGTCGGCTTGTCACAGTGTTCGAGCACGTCGAGAACCGTCTCTCGCTCGCTACCTCGGTTCTGGGAGCTGCCAAATATTGTGGCGCCGCACATGCGAGAGCCATTTTGCGGCACGTCGGGCCTTCGCATCGGCGCGTTGTGGGACGCCTGAAATAGAATCTCGCTGCGCGACACAATAAAGACTATTCGGAAATTATTAGAAAAATATTCGAAACTTTCGAAAATTGTTATTCGATTCGATTAACAAATCGAATAGGGTAATATTCGATTCAATAATCGAAAATTGCGAACATTCGTACACCCCTAGAAAACTCCTTGTGATTAAAGTTTTCTTGCTTCGCAATAGAAAAAAAAATGTATGAAGAGGCACGCACATGGGCACTTTTTTTTTTTTTTTATAAGGACATTATGCAATGTTTTGAGTCACTTGCTGCTCGTTCCAGCACTTTTGACCATGTCCTCACCCAAAGCTGCCTGATTAAGCAGAAATGTGGTTTATAAAACATTACATGAGCGGAACATTTCATAAATTTTTGCCCCAAAGGCATCGAGCAACGCGTTCCACGACAGCACATGGTTGGCAACTTTCAACAGCATAGTAGGGCGAGCCTTTGGCAGTAAACTATGTTCGGTGTGTATTGCAACTGGGTTGCATCGTACCTTAGTCTCCAAGTTTGCCACGAGGTCGTCCGCCTCTTCTTTGGCTCTCTTCTCGGCAAGAAGTCTTCTACGTTCCCGCTGCTTCTTGAAATGGGCCCTGGTCCTCCCTTGGTCAGCAAGCAGGAAGCCCACCGTAGCCCAATCGGCAGACTGCAAGAAGACGCTCTGGTCACACTGGGCTAGTGACACTGCCTACACATCCGCGTCCCCAATTTCTCAAACGACAGTCCCAGATCGCCATCAATTTTAACCAACTGCTTTCTCGGATTGAGGCATCACTACTGTGCATAGGAAACGTGCTAGTTGGCTTATTTACTTGTCAACGTCATTAACCCTCGCTCGAGGTTTTAGTGGAGAAAAAAGTGCGCAAGCATGCGTGCCAAGAATACAACACGCACAAAAAAAAAACGCAACGTCCTTCGAAAAATTATAAGCAACCAGTCTATAACAAATACCAAAAAAAAAAAAAAACAAAAAAAAAAACAGCAGAGTAACAGGTATCTTGAGAAGCTGTACAGCCTATCTACAACATGAAGGAGGAAGAAGGACAATGACATTTTTCAGCATTACTGCCTTTCAGTGAAAAAACGGTGAGTGTGCAGGCGAGCTGGTCATAACTAATCACGTCATAGAACACCCGAGACTATGCTGGAAGAAACTTTTTAGTACAAGGAACAGACGCAGAAAGGGACGTCTCAAACTAAGCCAACTGCTTTATTTCTCGACCATCCACCCACAAAGCCCTTCCCAACCACATTTCACCATTTGGAACTGTTGCCAACAAAGGAGATTTCTGCGTAGAGTGTGTTTGGGAAGGGCTTCGCGGGTATACGTAGGATGGTCGAGAAATAAACCAGTTAGCCGAGTTCGAGATGTCCCTCTCTACGTCTGTTCCTTCTACTAAAAGTTTATAATTTCTTCCATCACAGTCTCGGGTGTTATATGACACGACTGCCTTTCAACTCGTTCCATACATTCTAAGCAAAAAAAAAAAGTGTGCAAACGCGCTGGTGTAAATCGAACATAATTACGGAAAACCCCGATACCAGGGAGAAAAAGAAAGGATCGGACAAATGCAAAGTCTAAATTTCTCCACAGGTGAAAGATTACTCGATATGTCATCTCCCAAATATAGTCTGAACACAAAGACAGGAAAGGACGTGCAACACAGAAAAATGACAACATTGAATTCCACCACCCACTTGGCACCCATCCCGGTTGAAACCACCTGACCCAGCCAAAAAGATCAACCGCATTCTGCTCTCTAGACCAACATGCACACGACGACACGCGTAAAAAGTTAAACCTGCCAGAAACCTTTTCAATTTCGAGACTTTCCGTTTGTCCTGTCCCCCTTTCTTTACCCTGGTTTCGGGATTCCTCCTAATTGTGCCAAGAAGTGCCTTTGGGGTAAATCAAACCGTACCATGACGTGCCGAACTTGGTTGAGGACGAGGTCGAGCGGAGCTCCGTCTTTTTTCTTCCCGTCGCAGTCGGTGTAGCCGGCCTCGCCCAGGGACACGCGGCTCGCCTCTTGGCCCAGGAGCTGACCCAGGCTGGGATTCTCCAAAAGGAGGCGCTCCAACTTGTTGGCCCAGTACTCGTCGTCCTCGTGACAGACCTGCCCACACGCGCGTAGCTGCTCTCAGATGGCTGCCAGAAGGCGTGGCAGAGCACTTCACTCGTTCCCAAGTGTATTTCATCTCAAGGTCAAAGCGGTTAGCTCCATCCGCTGCATCGAGGGCCCCAAACGGCAGGATCGAGCATCTGTCGCCGTCTCCAGGGCCAGAAAATAGTCGAGTGCAGTCGCCGACCGGTTTTTCGGACTCGGAGGGGCGATCCAAAAAATCATTTTCGGCCAAAATATTAAATTTCCGCGCCTATTCCGCTACATATTGGTTACTTTCCACTCGCTCTATGTCAATTTTAAGTTCTCGTGCAACTTCTGCTTTATGTTGTTCACCTCTCGCTCGTTTGTTATCTGTTTGATTACGATGCTGCGGTTTGTCGGCGCCTTCGTTGGCACAAACAGCCGAGTTGAAGTTGGCACTATTTGAGGACAGCATTTTGTCCACCGAGCTCGCTTCGATGCTAAGCCTAGTGGCAAAAAACCTTCGCGCTCAAAGACCGCAAGAACTGCACACGTCCGCTCTCCTCGCACTCGAAAAACATGGACCACGAGGAGAACTGGAAGAGCCATAAGAATGGGCAGGCGGCGGCCATGTTGGCTATAGCGGAACCAGAAAACCCGACTGTAGCCTCGACCCAGCTTGCCTATTGCGTAGGACGTGGTATCGAGGCCACCGGGCAAAATCAAAACCACCGAAATGAGGGCGACTAAGCTCGCGGCACTATTGCGACGGCTGTTCTGTGGCTGTAAATTGAGGAAATCGCGCAAATTAGGTTCGAAACATCGAGAAATAAGCTTTATGACGTCGGAAATTTCGGTCAATTTAATACATTAACTCTACGGGGCGATTGACGGTTGGATGAAAACGTCCCAAAAATGGGACGTGTCCGAAAAATCTGTCGGCGACTGTAAATATAAATGGGGAAAACCTAAATAAAGAATCCTAACCAATCTTTACATACAAAACTGAAAGTTAGAGCGTAGAATTCATTTAAAAATTCAGTATTTAACTACTTACGACGTTACACAATAATTGAGACTAGGGATGCCATGAACCACCCTAGGTTCAAATTCGAAAGGTTTCGATATTTTCGAACCACGGGAAGTCCACGAAGTTCTTAGCGTAGAAAGTTCGACAAGCAGCAAATTTTTTAGTCTATCAAGTTCGAAAGTTCGACAAGCAGCAAATTTCGCAGCGTAATAAGTTCGAAATTTCGAAAGGCGTCAAACTTCTTAGTTTAATAAGTTCGAAAATTCGACTTTCGTCGGATTTCCTGATATGGAAAGTTAGAAAATTCGAAATCTTTCGAACCGCTTGATTCGATCATCGAAACTTTGGTTCGAAAAAAGTTTGCGGCATCCCTAATTGAGACCCAGGTAACTTCGGAGGCGCAAGTGAAAGCGCGTACGAGGCTTTGGCGTGTTTACATGGGGCAGAAGACTAATGACAATGATAGAACTGACGCCGACAATATGCGATAGATATCACGAGGGTCACTAAGCACAATGTACGTGTGAAAGCAAAGGAGTATTAACATACGCAGAGATACAAAAAAAAGAGAATTGTGATGCTGATATGTCCAAAGAATAACGTGGCCAGAGGAGGTTTTCTCTGGTATCTTCGTCTACGCAGTTGGTTGCAACGCTCTTTCTTTACGCGCCCTTTTTCTCGCGCCGGCCCCAGGAGACCCGCTGGAAGTGAGCCGGGCCTCGTTGGAAGGACCGCAGCCAGACACAGACTGGGGTTCGGACACCCTTGGATCTGATATTTAGCTCATCATTGTGGGCAGACCTTTCTTAAGTCAAAATTATACGCAAAATACCGAGCTTCAAAAACTGGTCTTGCCACTGGGCGCGGAAGAATTTGGGGTGGGGGGGCACCAGTCCAGCAACTGCAGGCATGCAGTCAACTTTCCGAGGGGGAGGGGGCCGGTCAGGATGGCGACGACCGATGACGATGATGTTCGCCCGATGGAAGTCCCCCCCCGGGAAGTCGAATAAGGAAAAAAAACTAAAAGTTGTTCGATCCCGCTGAACGCATTACGATGTTGGTTGGTTTACGATGGCCAGTGTGGCCACGTTTATTTCGAAACAAACCGACGACGAGTCAACAGTAATTTACGATTCAAAACTCCCAAAATAAAAACCCATACTTTAGTCCCCAGTCTCAAGAGCTGAATTCCCCCTGGTCTCAAAAGCCGAATTCCCCAGAATCCTCTCGGCAGCCCTTTTCTAGACTCGTAGGGGCCTCCTTTCCCTCCGAGACGGGCCAATCGCTTCAAATTTTCCCATTGTCACGTGGTACGCTCTTACCCAATGATCAGCGAGCCGTCAACGTGACCCCCCTCCAACACCTCAACGGTCAAACCCAAATTCCTCGTAGAGTCACCACATGCTTTCGCCGCCGCCTGGCGGCGCCACCCAGTTAAGTTATTGCGTCGATTAAAAGCGAAGTTTCTACACTAAGCGGCGAAATACACCGGGCACAAGCACGCCCGCTTAAAAGTCACAAGTGCGGACAAAAGCCCAAGACAGGGGTGTTCTGGCACCCCAAACTGAAACCCCGAGACGTTTGTTAACGACCGGGGTCAGACTCTTCCCCACCGAGCCCCGCGGCTGCTCGAAGCCCCCCGCGCGTGAGAGACCAAGACGACTCTTCGTTCCTGCTCTCACCCTTTGCTGCGGGTCTGCGAGCAAACGCCCAAAAAGGTGGGCACAAACATAGGCAGATAAAGATAGACTTTTCTAAAATAAATCTTACTTATTCCCAACAAAATCCTTCGTACATGCCTCCCAAAGGCCAGACTACCGGACGAGCAACACACACTGGCAGCAAGATGACGGCTTCCGGAGGCCCCACTTGGACGTGCGTAGAGGCCCGCCCCTCATATTTCGGAAAAGAAGGTTCGCCCGCCCCTTTCCCGCACCATCGTGCGTCACTATCCCAAACGGAGCCCCGTGCCTCCGTGGCACAGACAGAGCTGCGCTGCAGCATCTCCAAAATAAAGCACTGCCAAAGCAAGCACTTGGGCGGAAAACAAAGTTTGCGTCTCTTACAGTCACGCACGCTAGCTTTGACCCGCTCGGTATTTTGCGTCTTCCCGTATTTTTCGAGGCACATGGTTGCTCCCTTCTCCTCTCGCCTCCTGCACACTCTCCCACCATGTGCAAGCGCTCAACACCTTCTAGATGACGAGGCCGCAGTGCCACATTTTTTATGTCCCTCGGCAGCACTGATGCGGCACTCTTCCCTTTCAGGAGTGCTTTCTCAGTTCAAACTGCTAATGAGACATTCTGTGCCATACACCGTTGACCGAGTATTCTCGAATAGATATGGCAACTTGTTTGTTTGGAGAGGACGGCTGCTCACCCGCCCGTCCCTGGTGTGGAGGGGGTGTGGTGACTCGTCCTGGTGCCCCACGCAGGCCTCCAGCTCCCTGTGGAGAGCCCTCAGCACCGACGCGGGAGACATCTTCAGCTGCAGGAACCAGCGGTCGGACCAGCCTGCGCAAAGAGGCGTCTTCCTCAGGGGACGACAAGAAAAAAGCGCAATCTGCGGAGGCTGCCGCGCAATTCACGCCTCCGAGACTGTTTCCCCACGGATCCGCCGCATGAGGCAGCTTTGAGAATGACAACACTAGGCAAGAATAATAGACTCGTTGCCAAAAATAAAAGCAAATTTTGTATATAGTTTGAGCAATGCACAAAAAACGACAGACCATCGCGCAAGATTTGTTCCGAATGTATGACGAAAACAAAGTTTTAGAGCTTGGCCTGACAAATGAGTCGGGGCTTCATGGACCTCAATATGCCTCTGTGGACCCCAAAGGTCTTGGAGACTAAGTGCTTCAAAAAACACTAACACCCCTCCCCCCCACAATTTTTTTTTTTAAATTGTGTTAGAAGGCTATTTAATTAATATTTTGCGGCAGAATCGAGTATATTTTTAATAAAGCCAAAAAAAAGAAACCTAAAAATGAGCGCAGAAGCCAGGTGGCCACACCCGACTGCATTTTCCTCTTGTTCTCCGGCCTATGAAGCAAACGACGACAACAACAAAGTTGCCTGTACTGTTTGTCGTGCGATTGTTTTGCACTGATATCCCTTCCGGTCCATGTTTCGCACTGAAGATCGACTGGCCGGTAACCACAAACGACAGTTGTGAAGTCCCCCGTGTTTGTCGGTCCGTGGTGCGCCCCCGTCACGTCGTCCAGGCCGCTGTACATCGCCACATTGATCCCGTGATCTGTGCAATTTCTTTTTTTTCTTCTATTAACATATTTCTTGAAGGCCACAAAATGGGGTTCATATTCTTCTCTATTTTTAATTTTGAACGTGTGCCTTAGATATTCCGCGACTTTACAGATATTCGGTACACATAGTTTGAACGCCACGCTACTATAGAAAAGAGAGTGGGCGCGACTGGAACCGGCCACTTTTCGACCGGCTGTTTTCGGGCGGAAAGAAAACAGACTCTGAGTTGCAAATTGTGTCCTGGGTAGATGGACTCTTAGAGGTCATGTTCAAATAGAAACCTCAGCAAACATAAATACTGCATTTGCACAATTGTAAAGTGCACTTCTTCCGCCAAAATCGGTGCCCAAAAATACATGCGACATACAATCAAAACCAAATACCGAAACTCAGAAAGAAAAACGCAATACTCGGTATAGGTGGCTAGCCCCATCGCCATCGTTACCGTTTGTTTACATTCGCCATTTTGGTATCCGTATCACGCGTAATCTCTCGCGTCTACAAATCGTGTCTGCCGTCTCAAGATATAAAAAATATGAAAAACTCGACTATGAGGCATTATTTCAACGAAAGGTCGTCACGCTGACGGGAAAAGATAACAACGGAGCAGCACCGCGTGATCTCGCAAACCCAGCGACTTGACGAGCTGGCAAAGTTGTTTGGAAGACGATCTTCCCAGAGGCGACGGTCGCACACTCGTAGCGGCGCAAGAAGCGCGGCACCAAAAACGCTTTAGACGAGAGCAAGGATTACCTTTGTGGACAGTGAAGAACCATCGCCAAACTCCAGCAACGAGGACTAGTCCACGGTAGTTATTTTTGTATTGGCACGCATTTCATAAAGCCTGTTCTATGAGGTACGTGTTCAGCCTTCTTTTTTTTTATTTGCGCGGCACAATCGAGGGCGCGTTAGAATCGTGCAAACACGGCACACCACCGGCGTCCCTTTGAGCTGCCTACACTCACCCAGGTAGTGTCCGACGCCGAGCCCGACAGCCGCCGCCGCCACCACGACGGCCAGGAGGGTGAGGGACCAGTTGAGCCTCGTGTTGGGGACGTGCCTGTAGCGCCGCACCCCGGGCCTCAGCTCCAGATCCGCGGGAAGGGACGCGTCCGAGCTGGCGGGCTCCAGCGAGTCGGACGACGGCACCTCCAGGTTGCCGAACGAGCTGGACGTTCCCACTGCGGCAACGACGCACCGACCACACCGTGAAACGGGGAACACAACTTCCCCGTTTGCCGACAAAATGAGCGCGTCTGTTGGATCCAATGTATCCAGGAGGAGTATGTAGACAAAACGAAGAGGTCAAAACATGAAGAAGCTTTAAAGACTCGCGCACTTTCTGAAAATGAGACCAGTGGTGGCCTACAAGGGCAAGTCAAGGACTGAACTCAACTAAATTCTGGGGTTCTCATGCCGTACCTACGAAGGCCCTTTGGCACGCCACAACGAAGGACTGAGGATTCATTTAGGCCATGTGGGGGGAATCTTGAAACACTCAACTGCAATCTTGGTTACACGATGCCTTCTCAGAAATAAGCCCGTCGAATAGACCAATGTCACCAAGCGAACTGCGCAGGCGCGCGCATTCCGGAAGTGGTGCCGCCGCCATGCTACTTGTAGTCATCCCTTCCCGGCTACATACGGCTGTGCGTACGTACATCATCATAGATTATCATTTGGCACGCCCCGGTATCACCTTAATTCTCTGGCATATTTTTACTTCATAAGATTGTGTTGTTTGTGATGCCTTACTTTCCTCAGCAAGTGCAAAAAAGCAGTTTCAGTCGTCTTATCGCTTTAGAATCGCTTTGTCGTCTGCTTCGTTTTCGTCTTCGTGAACGCGTGAGCCCACTGCAGTTCACGGGGTAATCCCACTGCGGCCGGGGAAAAAACAAAACAAAAAAACAGCGACGCCACTACTCGAGCATTCCGACTCCTCGGACGTCTCAATTACCGTGCAAACAAGTGAACATCTAGTGCAATAGCAAAGAACAAGAAAATTCGAGGGACCATCGGCTCGGTTTAGCACCACGGAACAGCATCAAATGTGATGAAAAACTGAAATTGGTGGTGCTCAGTCTTGTGCATAACGTTTAATCAGCCATCATGTAAGAGGAACTAAATAGACTTTATCGGTCAGCGATAGTTTTCTAAAAGTTGTTTCATTCTGGTTGACAGCCTGTGCGATAGAGTACAGATGAGCAGCGGGAGAAGCCTGCACACAAAGAACTGATCTACAGAAAGGCCATGCCTAACGCGCCGCAATAATTGGCATCTATCAAAAAGAAGCAACCATGCCAGATACCTGAAAGCTTGGGGTGGAGATGATTTCTTGTGCACAGTTTCTATTCAGTTTTATTTTGTTTGCGCAAGATCCGAACGCTAACAGTCGCCCGACAAGAGAAGCTTTTTTCTGCGGTCTCGACTGGTGCTCGTGCAGAATGGATCAGTAACACCAGCCCAATAGACCACCAGAATATGGATGAGGTTCGTTTGTCACATTTTTGGCGGTAAGTACGTGTTGCACTTCTAAATTGCATTACGTAATATTTTCGCGTTGGTATAGAAAAAAAATGAAGGCTGCTTCCGAAAAAAAGTTGTTTATATCAAGTGGTGCATATCGGGAATCGCTGCTCTTTTTTAGTGATTGTCCTGATCTTTTGAAGCACAGTTGTGCTTGAAACATGTCGTCGCAATAACAATTATAACCACTAAAAAACACCGAGTAAGAAGTGTATTAAAAACGGCCTCCGCAAAGCAGTGCGGAGGTCCTATTTAGATAGACCAACGAATAGGCCGCTACGGAGCAAATGGTCAGAGAGATTCCAGCTTACGGAACACTTCGGCACGCTCTATGTCTCGTGCCCTGTAATCTTACATATTTTAGCTGACGTGCAATAATTGTATATAAATTATAAAGCAAATCGCGGAAGAAATCGTAAAACGCTATTTTTCCTGCCACTCTGTCCGGCTCTGTCGACCTTTCTTTGCCATGCTTCTTTCTTGCGGGAAGACATAAATAATATCCGAGGCCTTTTTGCCTGGTGCTGTTATTATAGCTCCGTGGCATAGAACGTGTGAAGCCACCGATTGAAAACCATGAGTCAACACCTGGCTAAAAGTCTTGCGCTAACCCGAAAATTTCCAAACGCCGGGCGTACAATGCGCGCCGACGCGGCCGGAAAACTGGGGAGAACTACAGGTACCAGAATGCACCGCGGCAGCGGTGGCGTCGCACAACTCCTCGTGAGATCGGTCTATTGAGGGCGCTTCAGCTGGAACCCCAGCTTACAAACCCAGGATGTGTAAAGAGGCAGTTTGCCGGCTTACGAACTCACGTCGGCTACTGCTTCTCTACGGCATAAGCGGCATCTCGAGGCGGACTGCTCTTGTACGCTCGTACCAATCGCGACATCCTGCGAGGATTTCCCGTTTCGAACGTGCAGACAACAAAGGGGCCCACCCGAGAGCTCGCTGAAGCTCATGAGCGACGTGTGGCCAAGGGCAGACGAGTTCATCGAGTGGAGGCTGTTGTCTGTGTCTTCGTCGATGATGTCGATGTCGCTGTCACGGTTGCTGCCGCCGTGAGCGTCAGCTTCGTCCTCGTCCACGGACTGGGCCAGCGTCATTTCTCGCTTTGTGTTGGTCGTGCTAAGGGGAGAAATCCATCGCTAGAATCATCCCAATGGTCCAGAGCACACTGCCAACAGATCTATAGTCGGTGTCAGGGGAAACTCCTCCAACCCCACTTTAGCAGAGCAAATGTTGGAGAGGAGCTTCCACCAAACTGGCTAGAGTAGAACACGCGCTTGCACATTACGTCTGATGGCGTGCCAAATGGACCCTAACGGAAGCCTGTACCATATGAAAAGAATACACAACAATGCAATGTACACCCAGGTCACGGTTATCGCAACTTCTACGCTTCTTTTCGCTCGTATGGTTGTGCGTTGAACATCTAATGCTATAATGGGCACACTCCCCTAAACCAGAATTTCTATTGACGGCCTTTCGGCCGTAAGAGAAAAATGGGGTAAACCAGGGACTGCATGTTTCCGTGCTTGTACAATGTGGATATCACGTAACAATGCATACGAGTCAAAGACTGCGGCACAAGGTGCGCAGTAATAGCGAGAAAATTTAAGAAAAAATGACCGTTCAGGAGTGCTTCCATGCAAACTCGTAACCATGCAGAAATATGCATATGGACCACGAGAAACTCTCAAGAAAACATTAGAGAAGAATATAGTGCAATATACTTTTACTGGGTGCCCATAAACACCGGCTTAGTGCCTTTAAAATGGTGCAATGAAAATACTGACCAAGACACAATGAAGAATTGCATAGGATATGCTGAGTGAGAATTGTAGTCGAGATTACCATCTAGTAAGAAATTTCCTACTTCAACTTCTTTGCATGTAAAAATAAAACCAAGTTTTTAAGTTGTCAAGTCTTTTTACTACACTGAGAAAGATTATGGCAGAACGAAAAATGCTGTTTCATCATTACACTAGCTCTACTCAGAAGGATTTTAAGGTTCAGTATGCACCCTTGTGCACTAGAATTTCACTACAATAAAGTCAATTTCATAAAAAAAAAAAAAATCTTCATTATGATTTTTGCGGTACCTTCAGTGCGTGTGCCAGTATTCTAGGAATTTTTGAAGTTTGCTTTACTATCCTCACACTCTTTCTATATCTGTCGTAGAGAGGCATAGTCAAAAGAAGAACAGAAAAATCTCAAGACACTAAACTTCTAATATTTTCTCAGGTTCAAAATGTTTCTCAAATACAGGAAGTTTTCTGTAGATCAACACGCACACTATGTTAACATAAATTTCAATTCTTTTTTTCATATAGGGCAACTGCATCGAAGTGTGTGGAAAAAAAAATAATTTTGCGAGCATACTGACTTGTCAGTTAGGGAGATGTCTTCTACACGACTTCCAGCAGCACCGGGTGTCGAAGAGGATGTGTCCTAAAATGACACAAAGGCTATCAGCAATTCGACCACGCAATGTGGCTACATACAATGAAATTGTGAGACCACTCTTGAATGGAAAAAGAAAGACAGCCCAAGAGCAGTGTTTTGGCCACAGGAACTCAAAATGAAAGATTCAAAATCTACACATACAATGTTTCAAGGTGAGCACAGTAGTACTGTGTAAAAACTCAATGTACAGTGAAACCCATTTAGAACGAACCCACGTACAGCGGATTATTGTCAATATCGAACTCGCCGAAAATTTAAATAAAAATCCACGTAAAAAGTATGTTTTATAACAAACAACATATTGGCTATATCAAACTTTTTTCCCCTCGGGAAGGCTTCTAAAAACGCACAAGTGTCCCTCCCCCCTTTTCCCCAAAAAAAGGGGAAAGAAAATTCCAAAAGCTCACGGTGCAGACAAAATTGATCAAAGAGAAGTGATTCAGAAGGGGAAAAAGCTAAAAAAACACTGTATGCACGCAAAAAAAAAAAGAAAAAAAAAAAAAGAAAATTCATTTTAAAGAGGTTGCCCATGAAGAGAAGCAATTCAAAAAGGGGGATAAGCTGAAGAAAAAAAACTGCAAGCATGAAAAAAAAAAAACACTTTCCAGCGCGTCATTACAAGGCAGAAGCGAAGAGATGAGAAAGAAAGATAAGCTCTTGCTTTACAACGAACGCATCGTGCAAGTTTGTTGTAAATGGTTTTTGCTCTATCGAACTGATCGTAGCATTTTCTGCTGTGGGTTATAAACAGATTTGACTGTATAATGAAATATAAACGCATGGACATCCTTGTACATTTAATTTCTACGTAGGCCAACGGTTTCTAAGAATAAGGGTTCCTTCAATGCATCCCCACAATGGACGCTGCACGCAGTGGCCTGCACAAACCTTCGCACAAAAGGTTCGAAGGACAAAGAGCCTCCGATAGGTTTACTTCCAGGGCCCAACTTTAATTATCCGGTATCATACCTCATTTCTCTGATCTATTTTCAGTTTGTATTCATAAAATATAACTTTTTTAATATCAAAGAGGGGGTGCAGACACCTTAACATGACGCTTCAAAATGAGGGTGTTTGAAGACGTATACCGGAAACGAGAGATTTCACGGGCTTAATGTTCCGCACATTTATCGAAATGTGCTGCTTCCAGGAATAATACGACAGAATAAAATTTTTCGATCGAGAGTAATCTAGTTAGGTAGTTACGCTAAACGTCTTTAGAATGTTTCCGTTTGCTGAATTCGCAAAACCTAAGCCATCGTTAAATACAAGTTGCTTATCTTCCGCTCATGGCTGGATGGCTGTAAAATACGTACCACACAGAACATGAGTGGAGTCCCATCTTTTTGCATGTTTTCTGCTTGACCTTGAGGAGAGCCAGGAAGCTCCTATGCACTTCTTACTGCTAAACATTTTTCCATTGGGTTCTCGTTTCTTTATCGCAGTCAGGATTTAGCGGGGAAAGGAACCCAAAACCAACATTCTGAAGGTCGAAGAGAAGAACATGAATCGGGCTCATAATCGTCAACGGCTACAGGAAAAGGGAGAAAATCCCGCTGTATCTCCTTCCCAAACGGAAGTCGCCTTTAAGCAAGGCAATCGCAATAGTGAATCCTGCCATAATCCAACAACAGACACGATCTCCAATTCTATCGGTCATTAATTTCCGCGCCTCGATTACAAAACAAGCAACCCTCATGACGACACCTGTACCGTACAGTATACGCCTCAAAGGGCCCTGTGTATGGAAGCCACCAAAAGTGCCCATTATCACTTTTTCATCCCAGAGACTACAACAACTCGGACTGGACGATTCCGAAAAAACTGCAGAGTCGAGCCCCCCAGAGATAACAGGCTCGGCGGCGCAGCACTTGCTAATGGCAGTTCTTCCAGAAAGATAGCGGCGTTCATCATTGGCGAAGTAGGGGGGAAAAAAAGCCACGCAGAACACACCTCCGCAGCGCAGATAGAGATCTCGCCAACCAGTGGACGGAAACCCTGATCAGAGGCCTCTGCACTGCAGAGCGGTTGCGTCGATAGCGGTGGGCCGGCAAGATAAGCATTCAATGTCGACAAAAGGTCGAAGCGAGACAATCGAAGTTTGGGAATCCGGACGTGCCAAGTTGCGTCGGCGCTGATAAGATCCGGATAATGCCGGAGAGGAAAGTGACAGCTGGGCACCACGTGGAAAGCGGTCCGGTCACACGTGGACTTTGGTGATCCGATGGTTGCGTGCTGTCGAGCAAACCGTTAACGGCTATCAAACAGGCATTTGCAGCCTGCAAACAGAAGAGCTGTGTGGCCCAAATGACTAAGGCGCACGCCGTTTGGAGGGCGAAATTCCTCTGCGTGAGATGCGATGTGCTGGAGGTCACTTGTAGCAGTTAAATGGATACTGCAACGAAACTTTGGCATTTATTTCTTGGTCTATTCGTGTTCAAGGGAGCAGTATCACATCAAACACACCAATCTCTCCTTGAAAAAGACACGAAAAGAAATTTTAAAACGAATTAGACGAGTAGCAAAGGGCACCATTACAAACAAGGCGTCAGCCTTGTTTGTAATGCCCGTCTAGGAACCTTGACAAGTAGTGACGATAACTGTCTCACCTCCGTTCACTAGAAAAGAAAAAGGGGAAGGAAAACTCCCCTCTCTCCGAGACTTTCTTTTGTGTGTCCCAGAAGTCGCCATTGTCCCTCTACAAGATTATAGAAGATTAACTTGTCACTCAAAATTCATACGAAAGCAGCTTTGGGGTTAGTTGCAGTGGCCCCAAAACTAACGTGCTTCAACTGCTTCAATGGCTTAAACAACTAGGACAGGCACTTAGCAAAGGGCAGAGGGGGGAGGGGGGCCATGCCCCCCCCCCCCCCCCCCCCAATTTTTCATTTTGCTAGGACCTCCCACTTCCCCTTCCCCTCATACAGCATTTTGTCATGCCCCCCCCCCCCCCCCCCCCCCTTCTGAAACAAAATCCTGGCTACGTGCCTGGACTAGGACATGCTCTTGACATCAGCCTCGCCGTAGCCTTCCCGAGACAAATTAATTCACGACTGCGGAAGATGTCACGTGCTCTCCGCTGGCTGCTCTCCGAGCGCTTGCCAGAGTGGGCCGTTTATAACGAAAAATACAGCCACCAGGCTCAAAACACAAACGTGCAATTGTCATTTACGGCTATTGTGGATCATATTCAACCTATTTCTGAACCCGACGGGTCTATTTCAAATTTCATTGAAGCATCCCTTAAAGGCTGCTTCAGGCATGCAACTTAGCGCTGGAAGGGCAGAAAGCCAGTGCTGCATTGGCACTTGTGTGTAGGCAAGGTGTAGGCAGTCAGCAGTCTGCCTAATGCACCTCCTTAGCGCCGTAGTTTTGGTTCAGACTTCAGAGGGGCATTTGCCTCGCTTGAAGCAATGTAAACTGAAACCGCCTCCGAACCACCACCGGTGTAGTCGAAGCCGTGATGCGCAGCAGGCACTGTGTGTGGTTAGCTGCGTTGTGCTGGGTTTGGAAACAGGCAAATGACGGGGGCAAACATGTAAATGAGCTCTTTATTCTTTTTTTTTTTTCTATTAAACATTATATGCGGTTAATGAAAGAAAAAAGGAAGCAGTGATCAGCGGAGAAATGCGAAGCACTGTGAGATGACAAGCTTCTGACGGATGGCCCTTGCGTTCTTCCGACAGCTAGCCCCTTTGCGTTACAAGTTAACAAATTTGCTGTCGACGTGAGAGAATGACGCCTACACTTCGTAATATGCACTTGTTCAAAATAGAAGCGCACTTTATAAAGCCTGATCCTAACATTCCGAGGTTAAATTTCTCTTAACGCTTACCGCTACTATCGTTTACGAGGACAAATAGCCGAATGAAAAATTTATGACTGGCTGAATAGGAAGTTTCATTGCATACGGCATGTGAATGTAACCCACTCATGGGGCATACCGTTTTGATTTTATAATTGCAACGGCTGCCAGTGCATAGGGCAAGCCATTGACCACAATTGCATCATGCATGAGGTAGCCATTCTACCAATCAGTCATGCGTGGCAGCAAGATTTACTATGATTTATGCATTCTAGATCAAGCTGTAGTATTTAGTAGCTTATGAACTAGTTCAGAAAGCCGTAGCACATAGAATGATATGGAACAAATAGTAAAAATTCTGTCCCATGTGGTGCCTTTGAGGTCCTTTGTTGTCGCTCTAATCCCTATTGGCTTACCATGATGTCGTCTTCAGTGGGCACGAGGGTCCAGTCTCCAGGCAGGTCGGGATCGCTCTGGCCAGATTTGTCCATTGCTGGTCGGCTTGGCTATCAGGCCATCAATCTTCGAATCGAGCAGACAGCCTGGAAATCGAGCGGGAGAAGTGGTCGCCTGTTTTGCTCACTCATTGTCATCCTTATGGTGACTGAGAGTGAACAGCAGAGAGCAGCGTGTGAAGCTAGATTGCGTCAGGACAACCGAAAGACCATCCCGAGGCTGACGGTGACAATGGCGCTTCACAGTTCTTCAATCCACGGAGAATTAGTGCTTTACGATCCAAATAAAACTAAAAAAAGTAGAAAAAAAATCGCGCGAGTGTTTAACCCTGTTTGCCAGGTCTCATTCGCACACAGCTTGTCATCATTTATGTATGTACAACCACAAAATTACATCTTGATATGCCATGTCATAAAACAGACGTACGAAAAACGACCAAGTAAATGGTGTCAACAACGCACGTACGAAAAACGAACAAGTAAATGACGGCAAAAGCCAGCAAACAGACTGCAGACGAAACAAACCATAACAAACGCGCACATGAACAGCCCTGAGCGCGGACGCGTCGCAACCTCATCAAAGACAACCAGTGCGGGTAAGCGTACGGAAAGGCAGCGAGCAAGCTTCCTGGGCGATCTTGCGCGAATCCGCACCGGGGGGCAGCGATGGACAAGCGCTCGAGGAGGGGGCGCCAAAGACACGTATCCTTTCCGCATTCGCCCTCGATACGAGGCTCGAAACAACCTCAATTTCCAGTTTGCTCCAGTTGGGAGATCGAAGCCACGCAAACCAGGGACCGCCGTCCTCGAGTGCTACGTTGTCCTCGACGAACGATTCTGTCCGCGCAGTAGCCATGTGTTGCGCACCTCCGTGAAAAGCGAAGCCGCAGCTGGCCGCCGACTGACAACAACAACAAACATACGAACCGCCGCTTCGCTCGCGCCCTCCCCATCTGTGGAGTCGGTTTTCTGTTCTTGCCCCGCTTCTCAAAATCGAGTCTACAAACGCGACGGAGACGCGCCGATTGTTACAGGGTGGCATCAGGCACGAACGATCTCTTACCTGTGTCAATCAAGATGTCTTCAGGCGGCCAAGGCTGCGTCAGTGGGTGCGAGCGAATGCTACGTAAGCTTGCGGTTGACTGGTCTTGCGGGTGTAGTGTAGGGTTGCGTCATAGCAGGCGTGCTCGGTTACAGAAGGATCAACAGCCAGCGATGCGATGCTTCGCAGATTGAGAGCTGCCCGTACTGAATGGACCCCTCTCCCGAGTGTCAACAAGAACAGCGAAAACAAAAGTCACACATGGATCAGCGATCAGTCGAGATGCTGGATCTGCTGGGTATTCGGGTATTCACAGTGCCCAGTTTATTGCTTTTACGCATAGAGATTGTACATACTAACTTTTACGTCATTTGAAGCTGAATTAGGTAGGAGGTTCCGGCATCTGGTGAGTAATTGTAGCTCTGCAGGTTCGCATTGGCGATTTTCGTTCTCTTCCGTACAACGCCTCCGCACGACCGACCGCTCGGCGATATTAATTGATATGCGGCGATATTTACGAAGCCAGAACAAGTTATTTAGACAATAGCTTCTAACTACCTTTTACAAATTAGTTCGTTTCATCCAAATATTATTTCATGCCTCTTCCGCTAGGGGGCGTCAACTCGTTTTCAACGGCTACCGCCCGATCCAAAGGGCTCAGCCGTATTCATCCATCCATCCATCCGGCTCAACGGTTCGACTTCGACTCAACGGTTCAGTTTCAACTAGAGCACTATATAGCTCCTTCGGAGCAGAGTAGCGCAATCTAGAACGCCGCCTCTCGGCGACTAGCGGCGAACGCCCGGAGGTTCCAACTGCGGTCAGAAATGCATGGAGAACGTGAGAAAATCGTTGTTTCTTCAATATTGTGGGAATATACGGAATGGCAATCGTTTTTGACATAATAATGGAACATTTTAGAATAATTTGCGCTAAGTTTTGTGCCCCGCAAGGACCTGACTTTTTTTAAAAAATTGCTTGAGCGGCATCATGCAGCAGACGACACGGTGACGTCACACCATTCACGTGACCCGCTCCGGCCAACCCGAAAAGCCCATCTCCGCTGCGAGCAAAAATCGTCTGCTTCAAACGCCATTGCCTTGGAAATTGCCTTCTCAAAATTTGCACACGCATCCGATATTATTAAAACTTTGACAAAATGTTTAGTGCTTTACTAACTTCACGACAGACTAGTTTTGAAAAGTGTGAACTCGCCGTTCATTTTTTAATCAGCCGTGTTGTATCGATCTCCATGTATTCTCCCATAGGGCGGGCCGCCTCCTGGAACCCTGAGTACCACGTGACTCGCGCCGAGCCGCTCTGTCGGCCATGTTGTCGGCAAAACACGGGGTTCAAAGGATTGCGCTACTCTGCTCCGTAGGAGCTATATAGTGCTCTAGTTTCAACGGTTCAACGGCTCAACGGCTCAACGGCTCAACAGTTCGACTTCGACTCAATTTTCGGTTTTCAACGGTTCAAAATGGCTAGGTGGCGTAAGCTGCCGCCCGATCCAAAGGGCTCAGCCGTATTCATTCATCCATCCATTCATTCGGCTTCAACAATGGTGGACTGTAGACGAGTTTTTGTCCGTTTTGTCCTTTTTTTCTCCGGGTCCCTACATCGAACCAGAGCCCCGCAGCCGCCGCTCCAGGACAGCAAAAGCCAGCGATGCCTCTTTAAACGATGTAGGTATTCAAAGAAAAAAAAATATATAGAGACGATGGACGAACAGTAGGAACGCTCCTTGATATGCTTGCGTTAATTTTCTGCTTTCCTTTTTATTCATCTTGAGGCGTGCAAGCGAGAACCCTGCACAAGCACGAGTCAACGGAAGCCTGTTTCCACTCAAAACTGTGCGACACGCGAAAACTGCTTGTCCGCCGAGTACGATGCTGATGAGAACGGGCCCAACAGGTCACAAGACGACCCGCTGCCTCTCGGCGCCGTGGAATTTGAACGGGAACTCGTGTGCTCAAATCAATCGCAAAACACGAGAGTCTCGACAACGACGGGTTCACCGTGGGCAGGGTTTCCTTCAAGATTATCTTTTAGAAATGCGGTTGGGGGGGTCACCTTAGGACTGGTAAAGGCGGGCGGGTTGAACATGAATACATAAAATTGAAAGAATAAGACACGTCATTGCTAAATGAAAGAACGTGGTTGTCCTGTGCTTGTCCACCGTGTTTTCAATTTTATGTGGTCACCTTAGGTTTGTGTGTGTTTGGTTAGGAAATTCTGAGGTTGTGTTCAACTGGGGATGGGAGGGGCTGTATAATGTGTTACCCGAGGAAAGACGAACCCGAAAAAATAGCTGGAAGTGTATAACTCATGTGCGTCTCGCTCTCTTTGTTGTTGCAGAACAATGGAGGGACTTTTCAGAGAGGTAGCTGATCAGGGAAGACTCAGTTCCCAAGAAATGGTGAGGAAGAGCTGTGCATCGATGACCTGAAGGAAGCACTTGCACAAGAGCCTCTGCAACCCGCAGACCAACAGACAAGTAGGAAGAGTAAATGGGACACGATTTCTTGTAGACAGATAGATATTCATTTGTGTGTTTAAGTACAGGCCACATAGCAGGCATTGCTGCCCGTACACGTGTGCCTATGTGGCCGGCTTGAAGTAGACAATGATGACAATGAGAAGCCTGTTGGCTTGACACATGCGGAATGTTGATGATTATGGGAGAGTGAGAGGTGTTGGTTCAGAGTTTTTTTTGCCACTGCCTCGCAGAGCCGTGTCACCTCGTCTCTGTTTGTGAAAGGTAGGCGTGGTGGGCGTCGGGCAGGGACCTCCACAGCCTTGCACCCCGGGGGAGATGCGAGTTGTCGTGCCGTTGGGTCTGCGCGAAGAGAGGGTCGATACATTTTTGTTGGGGTACAGAGCGGAGTCTTGTGGGACCTCAGGGCCAGTCACTTGAGCCAATCACCGGAGGGACATTGCCCTGGTGGAACAGTGTGCTTTACTTGGCTGCTCCCAAGGGCTGGGTTGTCAGGATGTCAAGAGGCGAGGACTGGAGAGGTTCGGCTGTAGACGTTGCAAGCTGCTCGACCTGGATGGTCTCCAGTGTCGCCCGAGGCTCCCTGTGGCGACCAGACAGGTGAGCGACGCTCTAATAGGGGCAGGACCCCAAAGTCACTGTCCTTTATTTACACAAATATAAGAAGCGTGATTTCTAAACAAGACGAGATATGTAGCCTAATTGCATCCACCGATTGTGACATTATTGCGCTTACTGAAACATGGCTGTCATCATCAGTAACTGATACAGAAATTTTTACGGGCACTTCTGGGTTCAGTATATTCCGCAAAGATAGGGCAAGTGGCCGGGGAGGGGGGGTCTTGATTGCGATAAGAGATAGTTTTGTGTGCAACCCAGTAAACTTCACCGTTGGGAATGCTTTGGCTTTCTTGCACGGTTCAACATGCTTCGCTCCTTATCGGTGTGTGTTACCGACCCCCTCACAGCGATCCATCTTTCCTCATTAACCTTAATGAAGCTCTCAACGAATTGTACCTTAAATATCCCAGATACAGTATTCTGCTATTCGCTGATTTCAATTACCCTTCTATCGATTGGTCCGCCTTATCTGTTTCAGTCCCCCTTGATACGAGTGAAGCGACTGGTTTCGTTAACCTTTGCCCCAATTTCGATCTTTCACAGCTTGTAACTAAACCCACACGATCAACCACCCACTCTTTTAACATCCTTGACCTCATTCTTGTTTCTGATCCTGACTCTTTAAAGTCGATAAACTACCTACACGAATGAAGTGACCATAAGGTGATTTTTTTTATATTTTCTTTAAATATTCGATCAAAATCGAAGCGGAAGAAAACCGTAAAACTATACGAAAAGGGGAATTACCTAGGAATGAATACTGAGCTAAGAAAATTCTTAGATATCCCTATGATAGGCTTTGATAATCGGTCTGTCTGCGAAAATTGGACAATGTACAAATCTAAAATGCAACAACTAGCTGAAAGTTTCATCCCAACTGTGACATTTCTCGAAAGCGCTTCTGCTCCATGGTTTAATGGCACCCTGAAACGTTTAAAGGGACACTGACACCCCCCAAAATTTTTTTTAATTTTTTGTCAGGCGCTTCATTATGGTGTCGGAGGACTACCCAATTAATATTTTGCAACAGAGTAGCATATTTTTTTAATAAAACCAAAAGACGCAACTGCCCGAAACCGAAACCCGACGGAGGTCGGAGAAGTGGAGAGAAGAGAGTGAGTGGCCGAAGTCACGTGGCTACACCCGAGCGTGTGTTTTTTTTGTTTTTTCTCCTGCCCGGTAGCAGACGACATGCGGCGTATGGGAACTGCTCGACGTGGGATTCTTTTGCAGTTATGTATGTTCCGCTCGTTGTTCTCTACTCCAAGCTGAGTTGTTTTGTACATTGAGGAGTTGGAGATGAGTAGTGAGTGCCCGTGGTGAATTTTGATCGGCTCCGAAAAGAATACACCCAAGATGTTGCGTGAAGAGCTGGCGCAGATGTCCCGCGTCTGAAACAGAAGTGGCATTGTGCGACAGAGTTTCCGAAAGATCAACGGGATCGGGACCAATGGCTGGCTGCAATTCCTATAGACCATTTACGGGCACCTCGGAAAGCGGACGCTACCTGATTTATATGCTCCTTGCATTTTGTGGAAAGTGATTACATTGAGTTCGCAGGTGTCAAAAAGGATATCCCATACCATGTAATTCAGCGACGTGTCGTCCACAACATTTGTTTCTTATTTTTTTTTTTGTTTCTTCAGTATAAAAATGTAAAAAAAAAAAAAAATGTAAACATCAGAAAATATTTAGGAAAAAAAAAAAAAAGTTTCACGGGGGATCGAACCCGGCTCTACCGGGTGTGAAGGGGACGTCTTTCCCACTGAGCTACTGGGGCATATCGAAGGTGGGGGTATCTTTTTCCTTAGTAATAATTCAGCCGATAAACTGTAAGTTGGAAAGTTTGCTGCCGATTTTCCTCTAGCAAAAGCACTCCCGGGTCGAAGTCGGGATGCACCACGCATTGGCGACATTCTCACCTAGTAAAGAAATCGTACGCGTGCATATTCAACTCGAAGTAGACACGTCGCGCTTGACGTTTGCGCGAGCGATGTCTTCAGCCTCAAGGAGGGAGCGACGGCTCGGCGACGTCTTCGTGCAAATCGGCTTGGTGGTCGGGCGTGTCGTACGGGATGAATACCAATTCTTCTGACCAGTCCCAAATTTCTCTTTTAAAGGCAGACAAAATTCGCCGGTACCGCGAACGACAGTTCCGAAATAGAGGTCCCACGCCCGTCGTCCGCTGCCATCGCCGTCCCTACGAGTCCCACGATACGCGAAACGACGCACGCACAGAATGCTTCCGGTTGTCTGTGGAACTTTTTTTTCAATCAACGTATTTGCAGCTTTTTAGAAGCCACAAAAAATGGGTTTTATATTTTTTTCTATTTTCAATATTGAGTGTGTGCTTTCAGTGACCCACGACTTTGATTAAATTTGGTGGTCGCATCGATACCTTAGAAGACGGCCCGTGACCGCGGAAAAGAGAGTGAGCGAGACTCGAACCGGCCAGTTCTTGATCGGCGTTTTTCGGGCGGAAAGAAACCGAATTTCGGGCCGCAAATTCTGTTCTGGGTAGTTGAGCTCTCATATGTCACGTACAACTAAAAACCTCGGCGAGCATAAATACCCTGTCAGTGTCCCTTTAAGCACGAAAAAAAAGAGACTCTTTCGTAAAGCCCAAACTATGGAGCGCAACTCGGACTGGGATAAGTTCTATAGTGCCGACAGACAATTCAGAAGCGAAATCAGAACACAAAAACGAGCATCTTATAATGCTGATCTGCCATGCATGCTGCAGAGCAACCCAAAAAAGTTTTGGAAAGTTGTTAATCCGAAACCTGATATTGTTATCAATCTTAAAAACGACGATGACTCCTCGGTTCCTGATGACGAATGTGCAGAAAAATTCAATGATGTTTTTTGTTCAGTGTTTACGCAAGAGTGCAATGATATGTTTTCTATGGCTCCTCCTGCCATTCCTACATCCATGGTTGGGATCAGGTTTGAACCGGCTGGCATCGTGAAAATCATCGACACCCTTAAGATTTCTTCATCAGCGGGTATTGACGAAATAAATGTAAAAGTGTTAAAGAATACTAAAGATGTATCTAGCGTAATATTGGCAAAGCTTTTTTCACAGTCACTTTCTACTGGTTCCCTGCCATACGACTGGAGGGTGGGGAAGATCGTCGCAATCTACAAAAACGGAAACAAGTGCTCCCCTTCTAACTACCGTCCCATCTCCCTAACAAGCGTGTCGTGTAAACTAATGGAACATATCATCTACTCCGAAATCATTCATTACTTGTTAGAGAACAACTACATCCATTCCTCCCAACACGGCTTCCGAAAAAACTTCTCCTGTGAAACTCAACTTGCTTCTTTCGTCCACGACCTGCATGTTAACCTCGACTCTAACATTCAAACTGACGCCATCTTTCTAGACTTTGCTAAAGCCTTCGATAAGGTCCCTCACAGACGTCTCATATACAAGCTTACTCTACTTAACTTAGATCCCGCCGATTTTGAACTGGATCATTAGCTTTCTTACGCATAGACATCAATATGTTACCATTAACCAGTCATCATCCTCTATTGCCGAAGTCACCTCAGGCGTTCCTCAGGGATCGGTCCTTGGACCACTTCTATTTCTAATATACATTAACAACCTACCCGTATGAATCACGTGGCTAATTCGCCTCTTCGCTGACGACTGCGTCGTCTACCAGCAAGTAACTAACCCTTCGGACCACCAACTCATTCAAGACGACCTCATACGCATTCGAGCATGGTGCGAAGAATGGCAGATGTCTCTTAACGTTCAGAAATGCCAGCTCGTGTCATTTACACGTCGTGTAAACCCCTCCGTGTTTTCCTACTCACTTAATACCGTACCTCTGCAGAAGAGCCTTTCCTATAAGTATCTCGGAGTCCACCTCTCATCGGATCTTTCCTGGGCCACTCATATCAGTCACGTTATCTGCACTGCTAATCGCTCTCTAGGCTTCTTAGAACGTAACCTTAAGCTAGCCCCTCCTCATCTAAAGCTGCTTGCTTACTCATCCCTCGTCCGTCCTAAACTGGAGTACGCATCTGCCATCTGGGACCCGCACCAGGCCTATCTCATCAATAACCTCGAATCACTCCAGAATCGTGCAGTACGTTTTATCTACTCAGATTACTCTTCCTTTTCTAGCGTAACTAATCTTAAAATCCGTGCAAACCTTCCTGTCCTCTCTGTCCGTCGGAAACTTGCTAGGCTCTCTCTTTTCCACAAATTTTACTACAGCCAGTGCCTCCAATCATCATACATCACATCTTCAGAACACCGGCTTCGTCGTACGGGAAATAACCTCGGCGTAAGATGCCCCAAAGCAAGAACCGTCACCTTCCAGAATTCATTTTTCTCACGCACTGCCATTGATTGGAACGATCTTCCCGAGAACGTCGTCATCACTCATGACCCGATGGAATTTAAAAAACGCTTGCTAGAGTCCCCACTTTAGGTTTGAACGAACCATCTATATGTGTATAGTTTGCCTTTTCCGTTTGTGTGTACAGTAAAACCTCGTTATAACAAAGTTGAAGGAGCGGTCGTAATTATTTCGTTATAACCATTAGTTTGTTATAGCCAATGTCCATTTCTTCCCACTATTAGCAAGCAAGGGGAATTATAATTGCTTTGTTATATCCATTAGTTTGTTATATCCCGATTTGTTATAACGAGGTTTTACTGTATTTGCTCTTTGTATGCGAGTTGTTTTTGGCGTATTTTCTACCCTTTTGTTTTTACGCTGTATACCCACCCCTTATGTAATACCCCCTAGGGGGTCTTTAAGGTATTTAAATAAATAAATAAATAAATAGGGGCAGGACCGACGCAGTGTACAGGATCACAGCCAGACCCTCGCTAATTTATTTATTTATTTATTTATTTTACCCTCGGGGCCAAAGGCGTTACAGAGGGGAGTGGGTTTTAAAAAAAACACATAGAAACAATACACAACAGCAAAACGGCGGAAGGACTGTAGTTCTGTGAAGCAATACATGCTAGTTAAGGCATTTCTAAAACTCTTAATGTCCAGGATTTCGGCAACATCCATGGGAAGGTGATTCCATTACAAAGAGGTGCTGGGAATAAAGGAATGATGATACGCGTTAGTCCTGCAGGACGGAGTGCCAACCTTGAATCTATGATCGTTCCGTGCTGAAAGATAATGGGGTTGTGTTAGAAGTCTTTGCTTGAGAGATGAATTATGATGATATATTTTGTGGAACAAACACAAGCGAGAAACTTTTGTGCGGATAGAAAGATTAGGCAAGGATAAGCTGGTTTTCATTACGGTTACGCTGGTGGTACGATGGTAAAAAGAATAAAGCAGGACGCACGATTCTGGACGGATTCAGAAATGAGCGATTCAAGACCGGGGTCCCAGATAGACGCAGCATATTCCAGCTTACTCCGAACGAGGGTTTTGTAAAGAATGAGTTTCAATGACATAGGCGCGAGAAAAAAGTTTCTTTTAAGGTATCCAAGCATGCGATTAGCATTGTTAGCGATATGTTCAATATGAGCTTTCCAGGATAAATCGGAAGTTATGTGTACTCCCAGATACTTGTAGGATGGCACATACTCAAGAGGAACGTTATCAATGGAGTAAACGGGACGTGTTGAGTTAAGACGAGACACACGCATGTATTTACATTTAGCAGTATTTAATTTCACGCACCACAAGCTACACCATTCAGAGATAGAGTGAGCATCAGACTGAAGGAGAGATATGTCAGAGTCATTAGTAATTTCACGATAAATAACACAATCATCCGCGAACAGACTGGCAGGGGAACACACATTGTTAGGTAGGTCGTTAACATAGCTACTAGATTGCACATAAGGCGACGGTGTGGGCATGTGCAGTGAAGCCGAGTTTACTGTCGAGGGTGACACCCAGCAGGGTTATTCTCTCCTTTCGTTCAACCGGAGTTGCGTTAATGGTTACTATTACTGGTAGATTCCTAGCTTTTTCTGTTGAAGTGAATTGGTAGCAGCTGTGGATGCATTCGGTGGTAATTTGTTTCCGATGGTCCAGGCTTAGATCTGATCAAAGTCTCGTTGGCCTCCTGAGATTGAGTCTGTTGAAGGAGGGTGAGGTCATCCGCATACATGATGGCGGTGGAGTCTGTAACCCGGACAGTGTTGTTGATAAAAATTGAGAAGGGGGTGGGACTGTGCCTTGGGGGATTCCGGATGGAACGGTTCTAAGTTGCCTACGAGACCATTTGCGTTATCCCCCAAGTGCCCCGGCCCGCGCTAAAAGAATCATGGGAACGGTGTTCCTTCAGCTCCTTAGTGATCGCTAATTTCGACCTAATTCCATGGTTACACAGTTTTTGAGCGTAAATCGGAGTCACCCTGAACAAGCGCCTGATATACCGCAAGGACCTGTCATATCACTTTTAAAATTTCTCCTCAGTGTCAGCGTTTTTGATACTGTGCATGCTGTCCACCCTTCAACCTGGATGAGCTGCAGAAATCTCTTACATTATTATCTTACTGATATTAAGTTAGAAACGCTAAAATGCTACGAACAGGCCCGCGAACTCCGAGCTAAATCCTGGTCTTTGTTGTTGCGAATTCTCGGCTTTTGAAGCAATTCCTGCTCAAACAACAATCGCGAGAATGACAATATTGTAAGAGATTCCTGCAGCTCAGCCAGGTTGAAAGGTGGATCGCGTGCGCAGTGTCAAAAATGCTGACGTTGACGAGCAATTTTAAGAGTGATGTGACAGGTGCTTGTTCAGGGTGACCTCGAGTTACGCTCAAAAACTGTGTAACCATGGAGTTGTTCCAAAATTAGCGATCACTAGGGAGATGAAGGAACACCGTTCCCATGATTCCTTGAGTGCGGGCCGGGGCGCTTGAGAATACTGCAAATGGTCTATTGCCACGTCCATGTAAGGTCAATTTCATAAAGATTAAGATGCAAGAAATAAAAAAAGGAGCTTGAGTATAGTCTTGAGGTCCATTTGTTTTTGTTGGCTGAGTGGATGACAGCATTTGTTTATTTATGTCGGTTATTATGATCGTTTGTGTTAATCAGTGATTACTGCCCATATTTTTGTGTTCTATTCAAAGTTTTTCTTGTCTTGCAAGCTGTTAGCCTCTTTGAATCTCTACTTTCTTAATGATTTGATTCGGTGAATTCACTTTTTATGTGTTTTGGGGTTACGTGGTATTGTGCTACGTTGATTCGTTAAAACTTGTCATCTCTGTACAAATTTTTCTTTTGTTGAGTATTGTACAAGTCTGGTAGAGCCTCATTACGTAAAATCTATTTGTTTTGCTCCCGTTCTCATGACTCGAAGCATCCAAATGAAATTTTTATTTGCCGAGCATCTCTTTCGCGAGTGCTGACAAAATATGCAGTCAATGGCCAGTTTTGGTGTTTGCTTGGAAAAGAAATATTTTGCTTCTTGAGTTATCAGTGCTAATACACTGAGAGATTACCTAAATATTATTGGAAAATTTTCCAAGAAAAAATTGAATGCCAGAGAAGCAATGGAGTGATGTCTGGAATTTTAATGAATGGCAGACTCCTGCAACAGTATTGACTACTTGAACTGGATGGGTTATTATCCAAATATTGGTTTATATTTGTTTATTTATTTCTTATACTAATGTCCATTTTTCTCGCGAGTACTAGTCTTGAATTAGATGCTCATTTTCTCTTTTTTTTTTCATCTCTTAGACACTCGATGTCACTGTACCATGCTACTGGACATTTCTGCTTGTTTCGGAGAAAAACGGATTCGGCGTGGCAACATGTACAGGACATTGATACAAGCTCCGCCTGAGGGTTTTCCTCATACTATAGGCTGGTCTAAGTCATTGGGCTCCATTTGAAATGGACCGTAAAAATCGACGCCTGCGTGTAGCAACCTAAACTTTTCGACAGAGGTGTATTTCACAGGTCGGTTTTTTCTGGTAAAATTACAAAAGCATAGTTCTCTTTCTGTAAAAAATGAGGCCAAGAAACTTGTCTACGGCGGGCAGCGACGCAGACGACGGGTTCGGTAGCGGGGTGTGTTTGGCATTCGTTTTGATAGATGGCGTTGGGAGCAGCGTCCGAAGGTGCAGCCAACCAGCGAAAGAAAGCAGACGACACGCAGACGAAATCTGTTGGCAACAAAAGCGCCGCCATTATGCAGACACGTTTTTTTACCTTTTGTATCGCTTTTATTTTCCGCATTTCTTCTTTAATCGAAGGTACATTTCAGAAAGATTATGTTCATTTTGATAAACCACGGTGGTCGCGATAAGGAGGTAGCGCCATCTATCAATACGAATGCCAAACACACCCCGCTACTGAACCCCTGTCGTCTGCGTCGCTGCCCGCCGTAGACCCTGGCAACTTTCGTGGCCTTACTTTTTACACAAAGAGAACTATGCTTCGTAATTTTACGAGAAAAAACCGACCTGTGAAATACACCTTCGACGAAAAGTTTAGATTGCTACGTGCAGGCGTCGATTTTTACGGTCCATTTTAGTTCGAGCCTGGTGACTTGGACCACCCTATATTTAAGCATGGTCCAATAGATTCGTGCGGATAGAGTTTTCCCTTCAAGAAGATCCCCCGTGGCCATAAAGAACTGGCATGTTTCGTTTCACCTTACGACAGACTGCAGAGGACTATGAGCCATCGAAGCCAATCCAATACTGAGCGAGTATCGTACAAGTTTTGGGTTGGGGTGCAGCGACGCACGCATGGTCGTGCGATATGTTTGCAATACCGGATTGGCTAGTGGCTCGTACAGTAGGGGACAGGCTAAGAGTGCGAGACAAGCTGCTCGCACAGAGAGCTCTGTTCTTTCCTCTACTGCAGGACGAACACTGGAGATGCTACCTTGGCTCTGCTGAAGTGTCAAGAGCTTTGTGGGACATCCTGCACTCTTGACTTGTCACCAGCTACCGTATTTACTCGTGGATTGAACACACTTTTTTTTCCCGAAAAAATTGCGCATATTTGGGGGGTGCATTCATTGCGTGGGGCAAAATTTTTGCATTTGGCCATTTTGCGCAAATGACACTTTAGGTGCCAGTATGACACGGCAGGGTATTGTGGCAGTCCCCACTGACGGCTGCGCACCCACGGCTGGTCGTGGACGTGCCAGAGAAACTGTGCTCTATAAATTGCGAGTCTTTTTAGGGCGCTCTCGGCGTGCCTTTCGCCGAAGGAAAGCGCCCTATGGAGCTCACTCGGCACGGAGAGCGATGCTGTTCGATGTCGCTGTTTGAAAGCGGACTCTGACGACGGCGTGTGACATCAGTGCATCCGATGGGCGAATCGCATCCGGGGCTGGGCAATTCCTCGACCCCAGCTTTGTTAGGTGCCGCTCGGTTCCATGGTTGACCACTTCCGCAATTACGCACTTGCAGCCATTAGGAGAACGGCTTGGCTTCACTTGGCATGGCTGCTTGGTGGCGGAAGAAAATTGACTCGGTGGGCTTGGTGGCTAGCTGAGTTGTATGCATTTCGAGACTCGCGTAGCCGAAAATTGGAGGCGAGTTCATTACACGAGGGGAAAAAGAAGATATTGATGCCCGTTGTGGGGGGTGTGTTTATTATGCGAGTAAATACGGTACAAGATTCTCCGCAGACCACCGTAATATGAAACGCACTACAGTTGGAGCTGCAAATGCCGGCAAAGCGTCTGTGCCGTTTTAACATTGCTCTGGTCCGTACGCAGAAGACCAAAGTGCCGGAGACCCTGCGGGGACTGCGTCGCCGCCTTCTCCTTTCCGGGGTTCCCGGAGAAACGCCCTGGTGCACCCTACGGAGGCCACCAGGAATGCAGCTACTGCCCATTCTCCAGCAAAGGCAGAACCCAAGTGGGGGCCCTTGGCCTGCGGCACGTGTAGCAAGGCGCAGCAGGGTCGGGCGATCTGGCACCACCGAGTGCACACGGGGGGTGCAACGGAAGCGCCGGATATCCCGATTTGCCCGAGTACCGCCATCGCTCGATCGTGTTGCAGGCGCTCCCAATGGATGAACGCGTCGCCATTTTCGGCTCGTGGTGCATCTCGCATCCATACGCTCCTATTGGTCTGCTGCGGCTGTCGGTGCCATATCGCCTTTTGTGAGCACCCTCCCATTGATCTCTTTGTACTGTCAAGGAGCGGCCAGGCTCTTGAAATCGACCGCAAAATTCGGTTTCTTAACCTATCCCGTTCCGATTTTGTGCAGCGTTGGCCACAGGTGGTGCATTTTTTTCTATAAAATTTGCAAAGAGCGAGCTTTCCTAAGGAAAAAGTGAAAAAAAAAAGAAAAAAAAGGCTTAACTCCTATGGAAACTCGGCGAAGCCACCGGTCTTCAAACCATAGGGCGCCCTATGGTTTGAAGACCGGTGGCTTCACTGCGTTTCCATAGGAGTTAAGCCTTTTTTTCTTTTTTTTCACTTTTTCCTTAGGAAAGCTCGCTCTTTGCAAATTTTATAGAAAAAATGCACCACCTGTGGCCAACGCTGCACAAAATTGGAACGCGATAGGTTAAGAAACCAAATTTTGCGGTCGATTTAAAGGGATGGTGAACCGTAATTTGGATTTCAGAAAAACAATGCTGGAGATGCAGGCGGGACGCTAAAATCCCTACAACGCTACTAGTGAGGCGATATCTCAAATGGACGGCCATATTTTTGGAAAAAGAAGTCGAGATTGAACCGGGCCGACGAGGCGCGTGACGTCAAGATACCTAGTTTCCTCCTCTCTTCGCTTCGCTCCCCCAAGGCCGCGAGGCGGAAAAGACGCGAAGCCGTTCCCCCTCCTCCTCGGAGAAACGTGACGTCAACATTCCTGCCAAACGCGCCTCTTTTTTCTGAAAAATACGGTCATCCGTTCGAGATATTGCTGTACGAGTGATGTTTTGGTGTTTGTAGCATCCCGTTGCACGCTTTTGCCGCGTGTTTTTGGGGAATCCAGATTTCGGTTCAGCATCCCTTTAAAGAGCCTGGCCGCTCCTTGATATCACCCAGTAGATGCTGGTGCCGCGCCAAACTAGACTGGCAGCGACGTTCTGCCATTTTTGGCTCCAGTGCGTTCCATCGTGCACCATCTTGGCGGTCCTTGTTCAGAAAACCAGCGCTTTAGGGGCGACCGCACGAGTGTGCCGTCTGCGGACGGAGTTTCGCATCCTCTACACCGGAAAATTCTGCACGTACTGACCGAACGTCGTTGTGAGCTCCGCACATTCTATCGAGTTCACGTGTCGGAGATTAGGTACCTTTTTGTGAAAATAACGGCCCCCTCCACCTTGGATAGCAGGTATGTGCAGGGCCAAGTCCACCCCCAGCATGGCACAAGGCCCCGTCCTTCTCCAGTCGCCTGCAAGCTATGTTACGAGTCGCCGTTTTTGTCAGTGAAGCAGAGATGAACTTGAGAGAGGAGCTGCAAGTGTATAACTGCCGCGTCTCTCTCTTGTTGCAGAACCAATCCTTCAGACAGATGGCCAATCAGAAGCTCCAAGTTGGACACTCGGCGGGAAAGTCGGGGAGATCGCTGCCCGCCGCAATCGGCCAGCGCTGCGCTTGACTTTTGCACCGACCAATCGCAGCGTGGTGCCGGCCGATCGCGGTGGTCGGCAATCTCGCGGGCGGGCTTTCTCGTCGAGCGTCCAACCTAGCCTCAAGAAAGACTCGGTACCCAAGAAGGAAGAGCCGTAGTTCGATGACCAGAAGCGAACACTCAAGAGCCCCTGCGACCCACGGACAAGTAGGAACAGCAAACGGGACAATGGCTCCCGTAATCGCTAAGTCCATGCAAGATCAATTGCATGCGGATTCGCTCGCAAAAAAAGAAAAGGAGGCCCAGCATAATCCTAGTGCTTTTGTTTTGTCTTCGTTGGTCGAAGGAATGATGGTCGTGATTCGTTTAATTATGTTGGTTATTACGAACGGTTGCATTGAGCAGTATGCATAAACGATAGTTACTGCGTGTATCTGTTTCGTATTCAAAGCTTTTCTCGTAAGCTGCCAGTCCCTCTTAAGCTTTGCTTCGTTTATGATGCGATTCAATGAAATAGCTTGTCACGCATAAGACTGGTTAATATGCTCTATTGATTGATTAGGCTTTTCGTACGATTGGGCAATCTGTAAGCGTCGCGAGTTTTCGTCGGGTAAAATCTGTTCTCGTTTTGCTCCCCCGCCCGTGACTCTGGGAGTCCAAATGAAATTATAATTGGCTGAACAAAATGAACATTTTTGGGATTGGTGGGGGCTGACAAAACGTGCAGTCGGTGACCAGTTCTAGGAACCGTCCGTTTGGAAATATTTTGTGGTGCCTCGTTTGGTAATGTTACTAAACTGAACGAGTATGTGAATGTTGGTGCACAACTTCCCTTTATCGAGGGTAGGCTCCCGCAATAGGGTCTGCTCCTTAAACTGGACAAATTATTCTCCGAATACTGGTTTTTCATCTTTTTATTTATTTGTCATTTCTACGATGTACTATGTTTGTTATTCTCAAAATATTAGTGTTGACTTTGATGCGCGTCCCCTTATTTTTATGCCACGTCCCACAGATGGCCTGCACGCTATGTTACTGCACCGTGCTGGTGGTCATTTCTACTTGTTTAGGAGAGAAATAGACTGTTGCGCAAAATGTGTGCCTTAGAAGTTATGCACCTGACCAGAATGCTAGCAGCGTGGCAGGCAGTGCGACGTCAATGCGAGCCACGTACGGGAGTCTTTGTCGTAACCCAATAAATTGCTAAGGGTAAAAGCTGAGCTAGTTGGTTCTGAAACATCTTGGGTAAAACCAGCTGAACAAAGGAAGGAAGGTGACAGGAGAAAAAGATTGGCGAACCGACCGCTGGACTAGCAACTGTTTTTTATTAAATCTTCCTCTTCTATTAATTCATCTCCAATCATCCTTTTTCTTCCTCTTTCCCATTGCTCTTATTTTTTCTCCTGATTTTTATCAATTACCCACGAAGGGTGCCTCGTAGAAAGAGTTTTTCTTTGGCTTGCAAGGTAATTGAAGGGGTGCTCACGCACTTGTCGTCTTCTTCATCGATAGCAATGGCTATCGACGAAGAAGACGATAGCCATTGCTATCGTCTTCTTCGACCATGTTCACAGAATTATGTGAACATGGTCGAGCTCTGCTGTACACAGGCATGTCCGACAATGGGCAGCTAAATGTCCTGGTCCCGCAAGGTTCCCAAGGTTCGCTGCATGTTCACGTGCTCGGTCGTTAATACATTGACCGGTCTGTCCGATGTAGCAGTGGCCACATGTTAGCGGTACGTTATATATATAACTTCCTTTCACGAGGAGCGTATTGTGTTCGGTGCCTGGTGTTACACTTTTCCTTGGTGTTGATTGGCGCCCGATTAATTTTGCGGCACATTGAATAGGCCTTGTTAGGTGCCGAGCAGATGAGCTGCACGTTTTGCCGGTTCGCTATCTTTTTTAACTTATGGGTAACCCCGTGAATATATGGTATCACTACAAAGGGTGTTCTGGGCTTTTTTGTTTGTTGACTCGTAGCATTATTCGTCTCGATGGTGCGACATATTTTTTCGCAGATGGACACCATCGTGGGTTTCGGGTATCCCGCGTTATGATGTCGAGATATTTGGGTGTCAAAACTTTGTTGTACTTGATGTGGACATGATTTTTTTTAGACTTGCTGTAAGAGCCGAGATGGCCACAGCTTGTTTTACGTTCTTAGAATGTTCCGATTCATAAGGAAGAAATGCCTTCCCCGATCGTGCTTGATATTTCCAACGTACATGTCCTGTTTTGAATGTCAAAGCTAAATCCAGAAACCGAATGGAATCGTCCGCAGGAGTCTCGTAGGTGAAGGTTAGGCCCAAACAGTTTTGTTGGAATAGTGTCATGCTGGTGTTGAGGCATCCGTCTTCTTTTTCGTTAATTTTTGTGGTGGATAGAATAAGAAAATCGTCCACATATCTAAAGATACCCGCTATGCGTGTATTTTTTAGTACCTTCTGGATGGCTCGTCCACACATGGCAAGGAAAATATCACATAAAAGAGGAGCCACTTGTGAGCCGATGCACACTCCACTCTTTTGCACATACTGATGTTCTTGATGAGCTACTACAGTCGCTGACGGGTAACATTGTAGGATTTCTAAGAAATGACCTACGCTCATCCCTGCATTATTTTGGAAATTAAAAGGCCTCTTTCTTCGATGGTGGTTTGAATGATCTGTAGGAGGCTTGTGTGGGGAATAGAATAGTACATGTCTTGTACATCTATAGAGAACCCGGAGGCTATGAGGTGTCCTTGTTCTTGAAGGAAGGAAATTACGGGTTCTGAATTTTGTATTCGGAAAGGGTCATCGATTTGGACATTGGATAGTTGGGTCAGAAATTTGGACGCGCAGGCCTGCCAGGTGGTTCGTTCCGAGACAATGGCCCGAAAGGGAACTCCCTCCTTGCGAGTCTTGGCTGAAAAAAACGCCGATAATAAGTCTTTTTTTTGCCGCTTTGATATGGTCATGAGACCCGCCTGTTGAGTGTCGCCGAGCAATCTGAGGATGGTTTGTTTTGCTGCTTTGGTATGGTGATCATCAACTTGAACGAAGTTCTTGGCTATGGCCTGGTGAGCTTTTTCCTCGTATATGTCGGATGGTAGAACGACGAAGCCACCTTGCTTGTCTGAAACGCATAAGTTAAGTTGTTTGCTCCTGAGCTCTTGTATTGGCGTTAAGGTTCTTTTTTGAAAAAAATTATTTTAGATTTATAAAAAAAAAAAAAAGAACTACTACTCTCTTTTCCACCTCCCCATGGAGGTGGCGTCACGAGCCATCGAAGCCCATCCAAAACTGCGCGTGTTATGTTTGGGGGTGTGGCAGTGCGCCGAGTCTCGTCGTACGTTCACGGTGCCCAGTTGTCTGGGGTGACAGTCTGTTGACGAGTGCGGGAGAAGCTTCTCTCACAATGACCTTGAATGCCGGAGGGGGCTTGAGTTCCTCCTTACCTCCTGCGTTCACCCTGTTCAAGTGGAAAGAGTCTTTCGGGGAGAACTTGTTCCGATCTCCTAACCCGCCTGCGGCTATGGGATACTTTGCGGACCACCGTCAAACGGTGTGTGGCCGTGCTAAGATTGCCCTCGTCCGTACGCAGAAAGAGGGATGCTGGTGGCCTCCCTGGAGACCTTCCCCTGCGAGCAGTGCCCCTCCTTCTTCTCCTCCGCGGCGTTCCTGGAGAAGCACCGGACCCTGGCTCACCAGACGGTGAGCCGCCGGGAGTGCAGCTACTGCTCTTACACCAGCGAGAGCACGACCAAGGTGATCCAGCACGAGAGGACCCACACGGGAGAGCGGCCCTTTGTGTGCGGCATGTGCGACAAGGCGTTCACGCAGCAGTCCAACCTGATTCGGCACGTCCGCATCCACACCAAGGAGAAGCCGTACTCGTGCCGCCTGTGCGGGTACAGGTCCAACGACTCGGGTCGCGTGAAGGATCACGTGACGGCGGTGCACCTCAAGGATCACCCCCCCACGTGCAAGCACTCCCGAGAGACTGTGTGAAGCATTGCTCCCGGGACGGCGAGGGACAATTGCACTGTACTGGGTAGGACACGGAAATCTGAGCGGGTAGAATTTCCTGGAAATGGGAGTGTTCGTAGGCTACGTACACCAAGTTTACGGTTGCTCTAGTAATTCCGTCGATCAATTTCCTAATCTTGGTCACGTTCAACTGGTGACCGTGTCAACACTGTCCAAGTGTTGTTAGTGCGACTATGCCTGCCGCATTTTTGGGCGTTGGTAAAATGTCCTACTACAAATATTACTTCACCGAATGAACACGTGTGAAATGGGCTTTGCTGTGCCACCCAAAGAGCGCACGAAGCGAGCCGACGGGCCGAGATCCGAAATCTGCGCGGTCTGTCTCGGTCTGTCCTGCCCGTGACGTCGCAAACGTTGATGAGGATAGCTAGAGAAGCGCCCCCTTGGTGCACGCCACCAATAACCGCTCTCGCCCCCTTGCCCTTTGACCTTGCACCTGGTGGGCACGTGCGAGAGCCTCGCGGGCGACGTCGAGTTCGTCCGTGACAATTTCGTCGCTGGAACTGGTCGTCAGTGGGTCCGAGTCAAAATGGCCAGTTTTCGACATCTCTTAAAAGGCAACTCCGCTTCATTTTTGATATTTAGAAAACTCTGTAGCCCTCTTCAGTATCATATAGGAAGACCCCGTGTGAAATATTACGATCTAATTCCGTCTATATATTTAATAAACTGGCCAGCAAACTTTCAAATCGGCCAAGTCACCGAAATCTGCCAACTCTGGCGCGCAACGTGAGGCGCAATCGTCGGCAAAGTCCATGCGACGGAGTTGGAGCGGCCAACGTTGAGCCACTTCGTCAGAGGCACGACTATGTCATTCTCACATTTTGTTTGTTTTTACTTCTCGGAGCGAAAATGAACGATGACGTCGTGAGTTTCACCTCCCGGTGTTGGCTGAACGGCATCCACGTGATCACCGTAACGCGGATGCGTTAGTTTGCGCTGCCCTGCGCGCTTATCTGTCTGTTTCATTGCACCCCCTCTCCTCTTCCGTCTTCTCCCCTTCCCCCTCTCCCCCGGGCCATCACCGTCCACGCCACGCGAAGCGACCTCCCCCCCTCGCCCCCACGAACGTCACAAGACCACGTGGTTCGACGTAACGTGGCCATGACTGACGACACGAGACCAATGTTGCTTGACGCAACCGAAGTTTCGGTTTCGATATCAGCTGATGTTTAAATTAAGATTAAGCAAATAATGTTCCACATTTTGTGAATCCGAGGACGTAGAGCTGTTTAGTAGTGCTTTGTGAGATGGAATCACGTGTAAGCCTAAATTTTTCGGAATTGAGCGGAGTTGCCCTTTAATAACAATCGCTTTTATTGCCAACACGATCGGTGTCGAAAACTTGAACGAAGCGAGCGATGCCGTACACGTCTCAAACGGCGAACTTGATACGCTGTTTGCGCACTTGGTCGGTGACGTACCTCACCCAATGCGCCGGCGCGTTGGGGGAGGTGTGTCACCAAAGCCACCAAACATGGCGGCCTCCCCAAATGGGGTGGATCTGAAGTTCCCGCATATAAATCGATTTATCTACGAAACTATGGCATCATTTTGCAAAGCAAGTTAGCCAAAATATAGGAATACTCACTGGGTCTTGGGTGATATAGTTATTTTTGGCGTGCCCCTCGAAGGGAGTCTCCCAAAGCCCTCTGATTGCCACGATTGGTGGTGGCCTCCTCTCCACTTTTCCCTGGAAGAGATGAGGGCTTTCTGGGAAAAGCTTAGAACCTCCAAGCTGACGGTGAGGTGGGACTTGGTGCTCACCCATCGACCGCCTTCCTTTCATCACCTGACCAGAAATGCACGTGGATATGAGTGCAAGTGAGATGATGTGGTGGAAGATGAATGCACGACAGTCCCAATGATGTTCCACTGTCAACCTAAGGGTGGACGGAGGAAAGTAATGACAGAACTGGACCTCGAAGGAAAGGGTGTAGGGAAAGAGTCTGCAGATAGATCTGCACGTTGTGGCCTTACCTGGTTCGTTTTTAGTGTTTCTGCATCCGTGCGTGCCTGCATTTGTAAGGAGGCGTGGCCTAGCGTCGAGTTGTGGTCGTGCTGCCAATTCACGCGCACACATTCCAGCACCAACCGTGTTTTTGAATAAACGTGTTCATTTCCACTCCAGAGTTTGTGAGATTGGCAGGAGAAAGAGCAGCCTGGCACAGTTTCCGTCCTCCCCATAGACGCCATGGCATGTGTTAGGCCATTCCAGAGCACAAACAAATTACGCGAGACTCCAAAACGCGGGTATAGCGGGAAAAGAAAGACATTGCCTATCTGGTAATTGATTGGCTGATGAAATGGGAAACGAATGCTGCTCCAGGACACTGCAAGGTGGTCGTAGACAAGCGCCAAGAAAAGAGACGGGGCCAAGAAGTTGAAGTAAAGGCCTCTGTTTACGTCGACTTGTCCCCGTGTCTTTTTGGCGCTTGTCTACCATCGTGAACCAACTGGCCCCAATTGCCCCATTGATGCTGCGAGGTGCTTGGGGTGACTTCTTTTTTTGACACAGAGGGAAAGCTGGAAGCAAAGTAAGTCTAACGGGGAGGGACTTGGCTGGTGTTTCACCGGTTGGTTTACCCTTTCACCCGAGAGGAGCAGGCCGATAGAGGTCCAGGCTGGCAGTCTTCTCCAATGATTGTCTTGGAACGTTCTTTGTTGAATTCAGTGAAAGAAGACTTTTCTATACGGAAATTGCACCTTGACTGAATTTAACCAACGCCGGTTTGGTTATCATTGGGCGGCACAAAGTGCAGCTGACTCGGTGCCCAGCAGTCGAGGTTTTGAGTGGCTGCTGCAACAGTGTCGGCTCCTGAAACGGGACGAGTTCTTCTCCCGTGTCTGGTTTCAGAGCAAAGCTCCTGGCACCCCGTTTCCGGGTTGACCGGCGTCGCTGTCGGCGTAACCGCACAATGTATTAGGGGATGTTTCTCATAATGACGCGTGACATCACGAGGGGAAAACTTCCCCGCTAAATTTGCCAGGAAATTTTTCCTCCGCATTTAGTGGGGAAATGTTTCCGATAAATTTAGCCGAAAATTTAGTAAAATTTCCCGCTAAATGGGAGGGTACGGAGAGGCACCCCCTCCCCTCCTCGAGAGCTGCGCTCTAATTTGGCATTACAGAAAATTGTAAATGTCTCCTTTTTTTTTTATTTATTTCTTCGTCATTTTTTTACATTGTTCGTTATTCTTTCAACGTTAGTCTCGGTTTAGAGGTTTGTGTTCCCTCCTTTTATGCCGTGTCCTTAGATGACTTTCACGTTACGTTATCGCACCACGCTGGTGGTCGTTCCTGTTTGTTTAGGAGATAGAGTCTGTCATGCCAAACGTATGCCATAGAAGTTGTGCAGCTGACAACAATGCCACCACCGTGGCAACTGGTGTGACATCGTGAATCATTTTTTGTTTGCATATACCGAATGATTTGCGCAAATATTTTTTCTTTTTTTTCGTGGAAATCATTTCGCCTTTGTAAAATAAAATTACTTTGCTCTTTTCCACCTCCCGATGGAGATGGCGCTACGAGTCTTTGAAGCCCATCCAAAAGTGCGAGAGTGTCGCGCGGGTTCTGTTTGTTGCTTAGCGGTGTGCTTAGTCACGCGATACATTCACTGTGCCAAATTGGCTAGGAGGGCTCGTTTAGACGTTGACGGGCTAGCGGTGTGGGCGAGATTCTCCCGAGAAGACATCCTCACTTTTTGCTTGGACAAGCTGAACGCCGGAGACCTCCTCTCCAGCGTTCCCTCTGTTGAAGTAGAAAGAGCCGAGGTCTCTGGGAGAAGCTTGTACTTGACCTGGTGAAACGGTGTATGGTTGGGGCTACTGACGTACAATGCCAGCTGGGCGTGCAGCCGTCTTAACATTGCCCCTGTCCGTCCGCAGAAGACCCGAGAGGGATGTCGGTGCAGTCGGTGGAGACCTTCCCCTACGGGCAGCGCACCTCCGTCTTCTCCTCGGCGGCGTTCCTGGAGAAGCAGGCGACTCGGAGGCGCCCCCCGGGGAGCCGCCACGAGTGCAGCTACTGCCCGTACTCGAGCCAGAGCAGGACCAAAGTGGTCCTGCACGAGAGAACCCACACGGGGGAGCGGCCCTTCGCCTGCGGCGTGTGCGGCAAGGCGTTTGTGCAGCAGTGCAATCTCATTCGGCACGTCCGGATCCACTCCAAGGAGAAGCCGTAGTCGTGCCGCCTGTGCGCGTACGAGTCCACCGGCTCGGGTCGCGTGACGCCAATACGCCCCAAGGATTACCCCCCCTTGCGAGCACTGCGGGAAAGGGTACGAGGTCCCATCCCTCCCGAGAGACCATGTGGCCAAGAAGCGTGGCTTCGAGCACGATGGGGACCAGTGAGTGTAATGAACGTCGAGGGACTGTTGCACTGTTGTGTGTTGTAGGTTAAAGGGGTTAGGACACGGAAATTTAGACAGGTAGATTTTCCTCGAAATGGAGTGCTCGTGGGGTACGTAGTACATGCACCAAGTTTCTCGATTGTATGAGCTGTACTAATTGCGATAATCAATTTACTAATATTGGTCATTTTCAACTGGTGACTGTGTCAACACCGTCCAAGTTTGTCAAACCATGGTGTCCATAAACCATGCGATAGTTGATTGCTCTCTCGTTCTAGGGGCACCCCCGTGCCCTGCCAACCTAGCCTCGCCACGATACGATCCCTGCCTCTCGTGCCGTTGGCGACGTGATGTTTTGGTGGCGCCACCTCGCGGGTGTTCTCCCGCGAAAAAGCCGGTACGGGTGCGAGCAGACGACGCAATGTGTCAAAGCACGGAGTGGTTATGTTAGTTTGCATCTATGCCAATTAAAACGGTTGATTTACTAGAAAAGCTTGTATGAGGTTTGTGTGGGTGATCTTTACAATGAATAACCCTGCTTCGAAGTTGTTTTTTAACTTAAAGAGGGACTTTCAAATGTTCAAAAACGAGCCAGGAGCTTGACATACCAGCTTGCACGGCGTGCGTCGGGGCTATTCACAGACTCTCTGGCTCTTGTTTTTTCGAATCTGTGGAGGCTGCTGTAGAAAAAGGCCTTGCATTCACCAGACTAAATGAAGTACTGTCATAGCTGTGCTTGTGCCCACAGTTTTATTGCAGAGCACCGCACACTTGTTTTGGCTATATTGGGCTTGCCGATACCGACGCGTTTATCCAAGTGTAACTCAGCAGTTGCTCACAGCAGCTGATGCTTAGTTCCCTTGCATCGAATACGCGGCAAAGAAGGTTGTCCCATCTCGACTTTTGCTCGAAAGAAAATCAAATTTGCGTAAACTCTTAATTTGTCAGACATGGCCTCCAGGCAATTCCTTAATTTGTTCTATTCCATTTTTACTAAGAATTGTTTACAAATTTGAAATTGCTCACTGAGAAGTGCATCGCGCCATTTAGATCTGCAAAATTAAACCTACAAACGGTAATTGATAGCAGATGTACAGTCGAACTTGGATGTATCGAATTCACGGGGGATCGTAAAGTAGTTTGATATATCAATAATTTAATGTACAAAAATATGCTAAATTAAGCTCGAGTTGAATTTTTGTGGCGTCTCTGCCAATGCTGAAGGTCGCAACAAAAGGGAGCTTATCAAATACAGCATCCAAGAGCTGCTGAATACAGAAGAGCATAGTTGGTGGAGACCGCAAACACTGCCGTGCTTCCACGCGCGCCTGGCCGGGACCTCCACACACCATATGCGATAAAACAAATGATAAAAGAAAAACAACGGAGCAGCACTGCGTGGCCTTGCAATACCAGCGACTTGACGAGCTCCCAGTGTTTGGAAGATGACCCTCCCAAAGCCAAAGGTCACTTACTTGTACATGCGTCGACTCATGTTTACAAACAAACCGGAGCGCCCCTGGCGGACGCCACCGGCGCCGCGCAGGCGCGATGGGGGTGTGGGCAAGAAGCTCGCCGTCGCCTATAAACAGACCATTGAAATGCGATGTTGTCGGCGTCGGTGTGAGTCCCCCTGCCCTTTTTCGCGTTCGAATTGTTGGTTCTACGTCTTCCTGGCGATGTCTGACTATCTTGAGCGGCGTCAGCGAAATTACCGAGGCTCGTTACACCGCAAACCTTCGCGTGAATAATGTGACATGCGGCAATTCATTCCGCGTGGACGCCGCAGATTGTACGCTAAAGCCTGATTCGCAGGATGAGATTTCGCTCGCAATTTTCAGTAGCGACGCCGCTCGGGCTGCAAAAGCGTGAACCGTAGCTGAGATGGTCGACGACGATACTGAAAATCGCAAGCAGAATCGGATCAACCGAATTAGGCATAACAAGTCGGTGTTGGTCACTGGTAACAATGACCAACATCTCCTTGTATCTACTGTTTACATCGAGCCTGCTTACCAACCTTCTAATTTAAGTTTTTTGAGGCCTGCAGTCACTTCTTATCGCAAGTACCGGGCCAACATTTGGTCTACGGACCGGCGTCGTCTAAGAGAGCAGACGACAAGCAGAAACGTTGGAAAGAGCAGACGACAATTCGAACAATCGGGCGGCCGTTTGAACTTGAAGACGCACTGAACGTAGTCTACAGGTGGTCCGCACAACTTGACAGTTTTCTGGCTGAGGAAGTCATCTGTTACCAGTAAAATTGTTAATTGTAATTTGTTACCCCCAATGCTGTTTCAAACATATGGTACATATGGTACCGGGTGTTTCTACGAATATTTTCAAAAATTTCTACAAATACGGTGGTTGAGAAAGCAACTTGTTTTGGGGAACAAAACTGTTAGCCACGGTGAATGTCGGATGGCATAGAGCACTATATAGCTCCTTCGGAGCAGAGTACCGCAATCTAGAACGCCATCTCTCGGCGACTAGCGGCGAACTCCTGGAGGTTCCAACTCCGGTCAGAAATGCATGGGGAACGTGGGAAGATCGCTGTTTCTTCAATGTTGTGGGGATGTACGGAACGGCAATAGTTTTTGACATAATAATGGAACATTTTACAATAATTTACGCTAAGTTCTGTGCCACGTAAGGACGTAACTTTTTTTTTAAAAATGCCTAAGCGGTGCAGCAGACGACGCGGCGACGTCACACCGTTCACGTGACCCGCTCCGGCCAACCCAAAAAGCCCATCTCCGCTGCGTAAAACAATCGTCTGCTTCAAACGCCATTGCCTTGGAAATTGCTTTCTCACAATTTTCACATGCATCCAATATTATTAAAACTTTGATAAAGTGTTTAGAGCTTTACCAACTTCACGACAGACTAGTTTCAAAAAGTGTAAACTTGGCGTTTATTTTTTAATCAGCCGTGTTGAGTGTAATCTCCCATGTATTCTCCCATAGGGCGGGCCGCCTCCTGGAACCCTGAGTACCACGTGACTCCCGCCGGGCTGCTCATTCGGCCATCTTGTCGGTGAAACACGCGGATCAAAGGATTGCGCTACTCTGCTCCGTAGGAGCTATATAGTGCTCTAGGATGGCAAAAAAAGCTAATGAGCAAAACATTTGCGAAAAATGTACTAACTTTTTAAATTTGTGAAAATGAACTACTTCCATAAAGCCCTGCATGCAACACGGCGCGCGTTGCACTCTGGGAACTAGTTGGCCATGGGGGCGAGTGTCATGGTTTCGGTTTCGATCGACACGTCGATAAGAGATTATACACAGAGCGTGGACTATTAACGGCCGTTGTCTCATGTTTTCTGGCCCGACAGCGTCATTTTTGGTCTCTAAACTAACCTAAATGGCCAGACGTCGCAGCTTTAGCACAGGCCCGAGACGTATAGCTTGTCTTAACGAATGCTTGCTGTATTTTTGTACTCGAGCCTTTCTGTTAGCGTTTCGAGGTATGGTGGACGAGCCAGTGCTGGGAATCTCGACGCTGCGAAGCTGGGGGATCTTGCTTGTGTACAAATCAACAAGCTGTAACAACCAATAAGTATGCATAGATCGAGCTCGTGCCTTTACTTTAGTATTGTTGGTCAAGAAGTTTGTTTCATGCGTCCATAGACAAGATATAATCTTTTGATATTACTGTTTTTCTTAATACGCCTGAGTATGCGAGAAAACTCGGAGGCGCCATTGAAAAGCTCCATTTGAACACACTTCTTATCTCTTATCTGTATTGACCCGCAGCACTGCACGAAGTGAAGTCACCACCCGCTTGCATTCCACTAATATTCAACATCGCGTATGCGCCTAAAGTTATCCTGCAATCCTATAGGCACATTCGCACATACAAGCCGCTTTAAAAAGTCGAGCACTTGTGTGAAGAATGTCGCACCGTTCGTCGGAAGTGCGCCGACAGGCATGAACCCCTATGCGGTGCGCCAAACGAACGAATTCAAAGCACATTTGACGGTTGCTAATAGCCATAATACTTGTTATGTGTTTGCTTTCTTCCTGCCTGAGTATGCCGAGATAATTTCAGACACACCGTTCCCGGCACAGATCTCGGGCGTCAGTAAAAGCTCGTCCAAAAAGGCTTAGCGAGGAGTAGGGGACGCTTGTTAGGGCCCCCGTTGTAGCTAGCCGATCTCAGCGTTTACGAAAACTTAATCTTCTATCAGCATAAAATTTGAGTGGGAGATATATGGTGACACGAGAAAGACATCATCCTAACTCTTCTGCAGTAGTGAGGTCAAGTTTATTGCGTTTCCTTAAAAGTTTGTGCGTCAACGCTGCAGGCTCAGCTTTGATTAGGGGTGTCGCGAACCGGCTGCGGTTCGAGTTCGACCAGGTTCGACTTTTCGATCTTTTAGTGGAAAGTTCGTCGAACCTTGTAATTAGGTTCGACACGTGTGCGCATGCGCGACAGGCTAACCAGTTGGCTTCGGATTGGATGGTAATGGCTAAGAGATGAATTAAGTGCAGCGCTGATCCGCTATTTCAGTCAATACAGCACCAAAATTTAAGTTATTAACTTCTTCAGTGAATAGAATTGGTTTCTTTCAATTGCAGCTGTTCACAAAATAAAATAACCCTTTGCATAAAAAAAAAAATTCTCCAAACCTAGACATGCCTGTATCAAGGTCTGGCCACACTGTCCACAAAGTCGAACCGGTCGAATCTGGTGAAAAGTTCGAAAGTTCATCGAACCGGTTCGACCCAGTCGAACCCCCAAAGTTCGACCAAAAAATCTGGTTCGACAAAAGTTCGCGACACCCCTAGCTTTGATACTCCTGTGAGGATGCGGCTTGCTTTTTAAAGGGGCCCTGCAAGGACTTTTTACTATTTTTTTAATTTGCACCGAACCTGAGCGCACTGAACGTAGTAACTTAGTGAAACTTTTCTTTTTGCGAAATTCGCTTTATTTTAAAAGTTATAGGCAATTTAGAATTACAAAAACAAGCAAAAAATAACCTCCTTCATGACGTCGTAGGTCCTGGCTTGAGTGGCCGTGAACTAGAGGAGGAATAGTGA